TCAACCGTCAACTTGCACAAACGCAAACTGGTGGAAGGCATTAGACGGGTAAGTCGTGCTGGTTGAATATCACAGGGCTTTCAAAACTCTGGCTTTCTAAAAAAGTAATGCTTCGATGAATTCGAAGCTTCAAAATCCCTCCGGGCGACCCCCCGGGGCATTTGAAATTGTGAGGATAGATTTTTTAAATACCTGTCACCCGGGGCAAAAATTGTGCCCAAATGCCCCGCCTAATTTATTCGTAAGAGGCAAAATCAGTGACCGTGAGTTTCTACACATGGACCAAACCTGAAAACGTAGACCATGTAGACCCACTTTTCTCCTGAGCTATTCGCTCGCACAAGTGAACTATTTACCTTAAACACCTCGGCATATTTGAAGATATAGCCCTTGTATTTCGCTGGAAAGATCTGACACTTTCTGATCAATTTCCTCACCCCACGAGCACGGACAACGGTCGAATGTCCGTTGGTTGCCTGAGGGGGGGGAGGGATGTTGAAGATTCGAATTGTTCAGCGCATAATAGAATGTCCTCTCTTATGTTTTGCCGTATTTAGGCTTTTAAAATAAACCAGTGAAGCTCTATCCAAAAATAATGCTCGAAGTATAACGGTCTACCAGGTTACAAAAACACGGATATCCTTTCCATAGCGTAGAGGTATTAAAGTAAGTTTGAACACTATTTCAGTTGTTCTATAACCTACATTTTTCCTTTTCACTTCTCTTTTTCAGAAAAAATGTTTGGGCTCAGTGTCCTGCTGGCTATTACATGGAGGGCATCTATATCACCGATCCAACAAATATTTACAACATCGAAGAGTCCAAGTGCTGTCGTCCACAGAATCATCCGAACGCTTATGATGACTGTTATGATGAGGATGTTTACATTTCGTTCGACAAGAAAGGTTGGAGCGAATGCAAACGGGATGGCTATTACATGACTGGAATCTACAAAGGCGGCTGTGAGCGCCTTTACTGCATTGAAAAATTCAAATGCTGCAGCATGAAGAAAGGTATTGCGTTCTATGTGCTTCAAAATCTTTACAATTATAGTAAAGAGGGAAGTTTAAGACTCTGAGTGATGCGTTAAGTTTATCAAAAGGGTACAAGATTTAACTAAAGAGAGATGTAAAATTGAAACTATAAAAGGAAACAAACCATTGGAATTCTGATAGATAAAAGAACCCAGAATATTTCTGCATTTCAAATGAAATGTCAAACCATTAAGGTGCAAGGCACTGGTGACAAGGTGACAATCGGGCCTCATTTCACACTCATACTTTGCTCTTCAAGATGAGAGCAGCGATAAGATCATATTATGATATGATTAAATTTATCATTCACAATGAAAATAATCATATGTCGATCAAAAAACTTACTTATTTTAGAAAGAACTTATTTATTTCAGCTGCAGTTAATGGTGGATGGTCTGAATTCGGACCTTTTGGAGAATGCAGCGCCACTTGTGGAGGTGGAATCAAGGAGCGCTCACGAACCTGTACCAATCCCCCTCCGTCAGGAGGTGGAGCCCAATGTTCAGGGTCAGCTAAGGAAACAATGGTTTGTAATGTGGAGCCTTGTGATGGTAGGTACCTCACATCCTTTAAAAAATGACTTCAAATATCTTTTCTCAGCGTCTACTAATCGTACTATAGGCTATTATTATCCAACTGCAAAAAGTGAAGTACAAGCAACGCTCGAGTGGAGTACAAATTGTATATCTTATGAGATGTTTTCGTGTGTAGTATTGCTGAGTATTTTACCAGTTGTGCCGTATTTCGGTGAGCCCGTAGGGCGAGACAAAATACAAACAACGAGTAAAACTACACAGCGTTACTACACACCAAAACGTTTAATGAGTTATTTATTATCCAAGTCTTTCAGCTCATTTCTCTCAAGGCGGGAAAAGCAAAGCAGATAGAGAAGCGTAGTGCGCGCAGCGGACTGGTTAAACTGGTTTTTTACAGTACAAAATAACCAGCGGTCCTAATGACCGTACAATATCGCAAGATTTTTGTACTCTATTTCGCGTGTTCTTTGTACTCAATCATAGAGGACATACTTACTGAGAGATGTTATAAATTAACATATGTTCGTTTGGTTCCTATTTTCAATGCGCCAAGGAAATATTAGTCTAAAATTCATTGATTTAGTTTCATTTTAAATTTACAGTAGATGGTGGGTGGACCAATTGGAGTAAGTATGGTGAATGTAAAGGCAAGAAGTGTAATAAGAGAGGCAAAATGTACAAGTACCGAACCTGCACCAACCCGCCCCCAAGCGGCGAGGGGAAGAGTTGCAAGGGGAAAAGTAGGAAAGGGAAGAGGTGCAGAGTGAAGTGTGACTAAGGTACGGGAGACTATGAATTGATGTGAGAACTTTTGAGTCTTTCCTGTAAGGAGGAAAACTCTCTTCACCTTTTCAAAAGTATGCAGATGGTTATATATCCAAAACATCAATTTTGATTGAAAATTGCTGTGTTGGAAAAATTTTTTAACATGTGGAAAAGATTTCTAAGCCGGAGAAAAGCTGTAACTGCCCAGGTGTAAAATTACGATAATTTCTTTTGTGTGTTTGATATCGCCAATCAGCTGCTGAGATATCGAGTTGAATACTCAAAGAGACGTTGAATATCTATGTAGGGTTAATGTTGGCCAAGTTTTGAGTTTCTTTGCTTTTGCCTTATGGGGCTGGAAACCAAGAGATTTTATGACTATAGGCAGAGATGGTTAAAATAAATATTGGTTTTTGTACAAATATGAAGCCTTAAATAAAACAAAAACAATTGAAAAATGAATAAAAAAGCAACATACAATGGTTAAACATGAGAATAAAATTTGCAAACTTGGTTTAACATTTTGCAAACTGGAACTTAGACCCCTGTTCTTGGAGAAAGAAAGAAATAAAGTAATTTCTTCAGAGAATAGTGCCATTCAAATCAGGATCAGTTATTTTTTTCCCTAATCCATTAGAGTTAGAAAATATCATCACTTGAAGCATAGGCATGACTGACTCAAAAGATTAGCCCTTTACACCTTTAACATCAAGATGCATATTCTCCATACTGTTATATATACATTTCTTAAGGTGCTGATAAGGAGAATTTGTTGAACAGTCAAGAGCTTTTTTAGTTAGTGATCATTTCCTTTATTCTTCTGACTTAACATGTGATCATGGGGCAATGTTTTTAGGAGAAATTAGATGCTAGTCACTCTTACAGGTCAAAGGGTTGGTTAGTCTCACAACTGATCCATCAAACTTGATGTTACTTTTCCAAATTGTACTTGCAGCTCCAAAAACAGCCTGGAAACAAGGGGGAATTGTCTGGGAATCAAAGGACAGCTTGTTACATTTTGGGATATTTGGAGGGTGGAATAACCAAGGATCACCAGTAATGTAGAGTTAAGAGTCCACACAGGAGCTTATCATTTTTTATGTGTAATATTGGTGCTGGTTAAATAAAGCTATGAAAATGTCCATATTTTGTTGTATGTTCTGGAACTGTCATTTCACATTATTTATTTTGGTTGCTAAAGAGAGGATATCTTGAGAATTTGCTTGTTCCTGAAGAATTTCAGAAGAATTTCTGGCCTTTAAGGCCATAGAGAGAGGAATGAAAAAATATGTGTTGCTATTTCAGTCAAGATACAGAACTGAAAAACAAAAAACTTTCAAAAAAACATTGCTTGTCATATTATTGAGGAGACAGTAAAAATTTGTTCTTTCAAAAATGTAACCTTTACTTTCCACACCTCCACACAACACCCACCCCCCCCCTCCTTTACAATGACCCAAATTAAGGGACAATACAACCACCTTGTGCCCTTCCCTTAAAACTTTCACTAAGGGCACAGAACTACCATCATCCATGTTCTCTGTAGAAGAGTTTTAAATGCAGCATATATAACCAAAAAAAATAATGTACTGCAGCCCTATGTGAAACAAATGAAGATTTTGTCTTAGAGAGATGAAAAAGAAACTGAGGTTGGCCAGTCATGGGCTGGCTTGAGAGAATATCAGTTGCATCACTGGGAATGTGATTTGAGAACTGGGAATGGGACAAAGATATAAGAAGAAAAATGTCCTAGCTATTTAACTCACTCGAATGTCCAAGAGATGAATTTCTCCTTACAAGATCAATGCAGCGTTGAGCAGATAAGTGATGAGAATGAAGGCAAAATTAATATAGATAAGGGGAAGATTAGTTGATCCAATACCAAATTCCCTGAAGTAACATCATAAGAATTGTCTGGCAGACAGTGAGGAGAATTACTAATTGGATCTTGGGAATTAAAGGGTTAAGTGTGACCAGTAAATGAAGTGCCCATTCCTTGACTTGAGAAATATCAGTCAACAATTACTAAGATAAGTAAAATTGTCTACATCTTAGGGCTGATTTTGTCATACAAGACAAAGAATGATACACATTTTACTTTCTTGATTCGTTCAGCAAAATACAGACTAAAGAGACTGATTTTGAAAAGAAGAAAATTACAATATTTCATAACTGATTACATTAAACATCATTCTTTTACATCCATCCAAGTAATTAATTTTGATAGTCATTCTGCTAAAAAATAATTTAAGTGGTGTCTGATAGAGAAAGTCTGAGGAAGGAGACATCCCTCTTTCTAAAGCTTCTCTCTGGCATGTAAAATTTATTTAGAAGCTTTAGTTGGTACCATTCATAAGTATGACACACATGTTTGGAAGGGGGAGTGGAGAAACCAAACATCCAAGCACACTTGTCTGGACTTTCGCTGAAGGTGGGTGTTACCAGGTATTAACCCTTTACACCCTAACATCAGTATTTATATTCTCCATACTTCTCTCTTTACATTTACTAAGGTGCTGACAAGGAGAATTTGTCTAACAATCAAGAGTTTGTTTAGTTGTTGATATTGTAAGCAGAAATTAGATGCTTGTCACTCTTAAGGGTTAAAGGGTTAAAAAGAACATGGCTCTGGACCTTTGTGGTCCTCAAGGAGACCACAGGAGTGAATAGCCTAGGTATTTGTCCTTTAAACTTTGAATAATGGTGAAATTTTCAGATAAATTTTATAGACTATAGCACTAGTTATATATGTGAAAGCTCTATTTCTCTACAACAAATTCAGAATTAAAAAAACAACAACAACATCTACAGGTGTTCTAAAGTACATGTTTGTAAAACCTGATAGCGACCCCCACCAAGAGTTCCAAGGACTTTCTACTGTCGCCTGCCCCTCTCTTCCCTCTCTGTCTCTATCTCTCCTCTCCTCCCTTCCCTAGCACTTTCAATGTCCCTTGCAGACACTGGAAAACAAGTTGGCACTGAAAAAAGGATGTCTCCTTCCCGCTCAAGTTATAACGGACACCACCAGTAACAAATTGACCATTGCATATTTATTTTCTCAAAAACACAAACATATAATATTCAATCTCTGTATGTTAAGACTTCTGTGATGCTACAAATTCTGGATAATCAATATAGCCGTCTTTGTTGTGGTCATCCTCATCTAAAATTTGATCTATCATGTGTCCCATTTCGTCGTCACTATACTGTGGGTTCTTTCCTTCACCTTCTTCATCATGATAATGGGTCATGGCATTCATTAGCTCAATTCCATCCAATTTGTTGTTATTGTCATAGTCATGCAGTTTAAAGTAGTGGAATTGGAGATCCTCGTCAGACATCTGTTCATCCTTCAAGTCAATTTCATCCTTAAGATGTTCCTTGATATGGCTGCAATTTGAATAAAAATGACAGTCAGAGTATGCATGCTACCCTGTTTTTGACTTAATCCTTTTACTCTCAAGATATGATTCTTAATCCCCTCCTATGGCTGCTACACATCTCCCAGTATATTAGTAGCAAGAATTTGGTTTTAGACCAAGATAACAACTTCTACCTGATGATTTTGGGTATTCTTGTAATCTGTTTGCTGGTTAATGCATGGAACTATTATGGGAAGAAGTTACATGTTAATCTTTTCTGGGAGTTAATTAAAAAAGTGCACTATATGCAACACAAACTAAACAGAGGATCTCCCATTGTCTTTCTAGCATGCTAGATTTATCTAATTACAAAAAAAGGAGATTTGTGACTTGCATGTGAGATCTCAGAGGGGAAAAAAATGATTCTGGATTGTAAATCTGAAAAGGATAAATATTTGGGAATTCTACAATGAGAGGATTGGCAATACGTAACTGCTGGCTCGTACCAACCAAATGTCAGAGTCCAGTTGTTTTCCAGATCATCACAATTGATGTTATCTTACACTACTCATTGCAAAATCAAATAGTTGATCGATGGACAAGGCTTCTTACAATACACGTGTAATAAGTTAATACGCTACGGTCGTTTTGTGGTTGGTTCCTTAATAAAACGAGACAATTAGCTCGAAAATAGATTGAAAATAAATAACATACGAAAAACCTTACGCAAAGGGAGACAGAAACCTTATTATTGGTTTAGAACAAATAATATTACATCTGAAACTATTAACTATAAGGATTTTACACTTACTCTTTATCGTGTGTTAGTTTTGAATCGTGTAGAGGGTTATGCATCCCCGCAGCCTGCGTATCGTCAGATTTTATCAAAGAAAATAGAGAAAGGAACAGTAAGAGCCCACAAGCACGGCAATAAGACACCATTTTTCTATCCATCTAGTTAAAAATATGTGAATTTTGAGAAAAGATTTCTACTACGAGACTATTCTGACAAAAGTAAGGCGCGGTTACTGAGCAGGAAATGGATCCTTTCTAGATCCCAACCTCCCATTGGTCCACTTGCTGTGTGTCTGACTTCTTATGCAAAAGGTTCCGTGAGATTTTGGACGGTTACGTCTGAATTATGCGCCGATCAATCAGAAGCTTCAACATTCTCCTCCCCCTCCGGAAAACGCACGGGTCTGTCGTCCTTGCCCGGGGGTGGACAATTTGAACCTTGCCTAGCTGGGGTGAGGAATTTGAACTGGAAGTGTCAAGTCTATCCAGTCAGGAGCCCAGTGGAGCACAAGTGTTTATCTTAAACATCGAGGTGTTTCAATTTAAGGTTAGGAGTTCACTTTCTGAAGGGCATGGCTTAGAAGAAAATTTCAAAAACGTTCAAGTTTTGAAGCTGAAAGTAACGGTCGCTAATTTTGTCTTTTCGAAACGGTTGATCATCAAATTTGGCACTTGGGTGGGGTTCAATTTTGGCCCAAACGGACGGGAATTTGCACAAAACAATTTCAAAAGTTCAAATGCCCAGGGGTTGCCCTAAGGGGGGGGGGGGCTTGGCTGGTTCTCCCGGTTCCATCAAATTTCAGACAGATTTCCGTCATTTCTATTAAATCAATCTAATTTGTTCATGAATTGGTTGGAATCAATTCTATGCTAGATGTATTTGATTTACGAAGAATAACATATCTTTGTATATTCCACATATCTTTGTTTATTTTGACAATAAGAGGCCACGTCTAGATTTGAAGACGAGGGGAAGGGGTGGTGAGGAGTATTTCTAAAACCGGGGAAAAAAAAAAGATTGGGGCAAAGATAGAGCAGAGAGGGTTCGAAAGTAAATTCTTAGTCTCGTTGAAATAAATACACCAAGACAATCAATATGGTTTTTCAAAACTATTTTTCAAAAAGTTTTAAAATAAATTGAACGAAAACTTGTGTTTTTAAAAATAAATTGATATAAAACTCGTGTCACAACCTGAAAATTCATCTGAATATCGTAAAACGTCAATAACGAAACTCATGTTCAACAGTTTCGTAAAAGACACCGTAAAAGAAATAATTCCTTCTGTAAAGAAAATTTATATCTACCTAAACTAATTAAAAACTCGCCAAGAGGAAATATAATGCCTAAAAGAAATTAATAATTGGTATTTGTATATAATATATCAGTAATGATTAATAACACTAAATTGGCGAGGGCCATGTAAAGGGTTTTCCTAACTGCGGGGCTCACAAAGTTATCACGAATAACATCACCCTCTATTGTCATTACACAGAGCTCTGGCATTGTTACAGCAACGGTAACCACGTCAATCATCTTGCCCTTGCATTCAAAGACATGCAGTGCCTGGACAAACTGACAGGTTTACATCCTTTGCTTCTCTTAATCAGCTGCCTGCAACAACTCCATCCCTTGTTCACCACGTACTCTCCCTGATGTCGCGTCACAATACAGGTTCTGGTCTTCATGGCTGCCCGAGGAAGGAACATTTGGCATCTGTTACAGCGGACTTCCTCGAGTTGTCTCGTCAATGTGCGCACGCATTGAGAAAGACTCTTGATTTTGTCCTCGTGCACACGCATTTTCTCGAGTGCGCGCGCGGAATTCTGGATCGCGCGTTGATACACTGGGCGGAACGCGGACTGTTCAATAAAGCAAAACAGCGGAGGTTTCTTGCCCAGCGCCCATTCCAAATCCATCAAGCCCGATTTCTCTAAGCATTTGTGCTCCATAAGAAGACGGATTGACTCGGAAAAGTTACATTCTGGGCTTTCTTCCTCTTCATTCCACCAAACTACAATTCTTAGCATATCTCCCATGCTGAAAACGCTGTTTTTTGTTCCCAACTCTAAAATCGATGATAAAAATTCAGAATCAACGATGCTTCTCCTAAACAGAGGAGAAACGGCGTAAAATTTCCACCTCGAGGCGAAGTTCTCGGCAGCCTTAATCAACAGTTCCTCGACACCCAAGAAATTTGCATTTTGAATCGTGCTGAACATTTCGTGAGCTTCGAATAGCGCGTCTTCTGCAATACCCGAGTACATAAAGCGCAAAATAGGCTCCATATTTCCAGGCGCCGGAAGGTGAACGGAGATAAAGTCCATGCTTGATTCGCGGTAGACCCCACAAAATAGAGCCCGAAAATACTGACTTCTAAGAACCAAGTACTCTGTATGACAATAAAATCGTTCAGAATTGAAAGAAATAATCTTGTCGGCATGCTCTGGTTGATTCACAAACTGCAAGGCTGTTTCTCCATCAAAAACGTTGAACGCTCTCAGTTCGTTTCGTTCAGTGACAACAGCGCGATTTTGAAGCACGTGGACTGTAAGACCGGCAGCTGACAGCTGAGAAATCAAATTATTCAGCACGTCTTTCATTTCGCAAACAAGCTTTCTGTCAGTAATGTTCTCTATGCCTTTCTTACCCTCCATTACCCTGCTATTTTCCGAGTGCTTCTTGCAGCTTCTCAGGCAGTCTTTCGCAGATGTGAAAGGAGTACGCTTGTGAAACCTGCTAGCTTTCAGTGCTTGTCCACCCATTCCATGGGGACTTATTATAAAAAGGTTCACTGACGAACAGAATTCCTTAAGAATTATTAGGGTGTTTGAAACAATTTTCACGTGAGAGCTGAGGGTTCTAAACAAGAACATCAAGTAATTTGCGACAATCAAAATTCCTCACACGCATTTATCAAAAATTTTTTAAGTCCGTTTGATATAATTTCAACCTGTCTTTTTTTCATATTACTTTAAAAGTCCAGTATTGAAAATTCTGAAAAGATAACGATACGACCAAAAACAGTTATGACGCAAATACCACGTAGTTTCGTTGGCTGTTTGCGTTTCCTTTTTTCTCTGCAATTATCTGTCTATCTGTCACCTCGTATTTTTTCACAGGTACGGTGACTAAAGAATTGCATACCGTACATGTACTCCGAGGAACTTTCAAAAACGTGATCGAGTTGCCCAACATAAATTAGAAATAAGTCATTGCAAGTGGAAATCGTTGCGCGCAAGCCTCATGACTGGTATCTTTGCAAAAAAATTACAGGAAAGAATGACACGAGAAAGACGTGATTAATCCTTTAACCCCTCAGAATGACTAGCATCTAATTTCTCCTTACCATATCATACCATATCCTGAATAAAACATAAAGGTCGTGAGAATAGAGTAGATGATCAACAACCAAAGGAGCTCTTGACTGTTAGACAAATTCTCCTTGTCGGCCTCTTTGGAAATGTATGGATAACAGTAAGGAGAATACGCATACTGATTTTAGGGTGTAAAAGGTTAATGCAATAGCCTGCGGGCAGGCTCTTATTCTTAGCGAGCGCTGCTGGATAAACGTTTTTCCGCCTGCGGGAAGATTGGAAACGAATCGGTTTACCGGGGGTCTGGTAAGGGTCTGGCATCAGTGCTTGACCCGTTCCAGACCTCTCGCCGGCTTTCGTTACTCAAGGAGTCAAACTTTCCCGCTGGCGAAAAGAAAAGAAACGCTCTTGCTGAAAAGCTAATCGTGAGGCTATGCTCGCAAGCTATTTCAAAAATCATACCACATCTTTTCCAGGGCAAAAAAAAAAAAAAAAAGAAAAAAAAAAAAAAAAAAAAAGACTGACACCCAAGTGTCCAAACTTTAGCCTTTGCATTAAATATGATTCTTGTAATCATCTGCATTTGAAATTTTCGTCAGAGGCATTTACCTGTTTACTAAATTGAAGGACAGTGCTCCGAAGAAAAAGTCCATGTGTTGTTTAGCTTTTTAACGTGTAACTTGCAATGGGTAAAGTTTGGATTACAATTTGAAAATTATTTTGTACATGAAAATACATCAGATATGTACCGTTAGTCCTTGAATACAAGCCCAAATTCAGAAACAGAGGCCAATACAAACAAATTCAAACTTGCATTTTCCCACTGAAACATTTAGCAGTCATGGAAAACATGGAAAATTTCATTAAGGGGGCTGGATCGTAACAAATCTAAACTTTGCTTTGCCAGTGGTACTTGAAATGCTTTGGTTGGTACATAAACATAACCAGCTTAATGTAGTCAATTTCTAAATGAAATGGTCCTGTGTTCCAGTCTGCTAACGTGAAGCCTAATGTGCGTATCCTTGGAAATGCCATCTGTTGATCCTGCAAGTAACCTGCATTGGTCAGGACAAACTTTGTGAATGGCACCTGATAAGAAATGTATTCACTGCATCAGAAAATGTAGTACAGTGAATGATCATATCATGATGCTCATTGTCTAATGTTGTAACTGTATTGCCTTAGTTTTATGAGCCCTGAATTAACAAAGGTCTCATTCAGTGGCTTGTGCATGAAGAGGTGGGGGGGAAGGGATTGGGTTTTGGGGAAGATGGTAAATGTTAATATTAAATATCGCCATGAAAACTCTTACATTTATGCCATAATGCTTATTACGAAAGATGATAATCTCACAGCTGGAGCTTGAGCAACCTGTGCAACCTTTCAGATACAAATTCTCACTAGCAGTTCCAAGTTTACTTTGGTTGCTCTTCACTTCCCTCTGGTATTTAGTAATTTACCCAGGAATCATCTTAAACTACAACATACATCCTATGTGCATTCTTAAACTTGAATATACATGTACATATGCAAACCTTCCTAAAAGTACCAATTTATGCAATCCATTCAATAGGAAATGAGAGTAGATAACTTCAGTATCAGCTAGGGATTGTTTTCTTGACATGATACCACATTCTCCAAATAATTTTATGGAGATGGTAGCAGCTCATGGGTAAAATCAAAAGTTTGATCTTTTGAGTTTAAGGGTTGGAAACACTAACTAGGCTAACGTATCTAGTGTTACTAACTGAACAGAAAATGCAAGTTGGCCGCCATAAAGATTTCCTTAAGCTGATCTTTTGAGCTTTTGCCCTGCGTCAGTTGATAGATCCAAATTATCTTCTAATACCCCCCATTGACGCAGCTCCACAGTTTCTTTAGAAACTTAACCCCCCTTAACAACACAATTGTTATTCCTTAGAGTCCTACTGTTTGCTGTAAAAGTTGTGTATGTTTTCTCAAAATTGTACCTTTACTGTCTCCCAAAGTGGTCCTCCTCTTGTATGAAAGAAAGATTGATGAATATCATCATCTCTGATACTCTGCGTTTGAACGTTCAGTGCATATGTTCTACCATCACCTCGCACTCTCATTACAATGCCATCATAATCTGTTACATCATTTGCAGTAACATCACCTTTCCAATCCTGGAGAGTAACCAAATAATTCCCAGTTAGGAGTGTTTGCACATATATATTTTTTGTCTTTCCAAACAATTAGATCCAAGATTTGAAAGAAAAAAACACTAATTTGCTAATTATAAGGTCCTGCTTAAACTTTTAATCCCTAACAGTGACTTGTAACTAAATTCTCCTTAATCCTTTAACTCCCAGAAGTGATGGACATGTAACTTCTCCCAATAAAATCCATTCATCATCTAGCAAAGAGGTAACGAGAATACTTAAACTTGTCAAGTAGAGGTTGTTTTCCTGATTTAACACCAAATTCTTGTTACTTATTTAAGAGGAAATGTGAAGCAGCTAGAGGGGAGAATCAGATCTTGGGAGTGAAAGGGTTAAGTACTGTATCACTGCTGAATCAAATGTCAGGATCATCAAGAGAAAAAAAAATGCAGTTAAAAAAATTTTCTTCACAATATAAGGCAAGTTGTTATCTGCCAATATGATAATATATTATATTTCAGGGTCTGTATTACATGAAAATCTTGAATCACTCAAATTTCAAATGATTTTATGATATTGAAGGATTAAAAGTTCTTCATTATTTTTTCGAAATTAGTACAGGTTTACATCGTGGCTGTTATCTTTAACCCTTTAAATCCCAATATCTAATAAGTATTTCTCCTTACTGTGTACCATACAATTCCTATGATGTTTTTCTGATAATTTGATATTCGATTTACTTATTATCTCTGAATTTATAATTCCTCAATCTCATCACTCGTCTGCTTGATATTGTTTTGATATTGTGAGGAGAGATTCTGTCTTAGTCACTCAAGGGAGTTAGAGGGGTTAAGTCTATGTGGCCTGTAACTAACCCTGTGCGGCTGCGCCCTGATAGCACACATACCACTGTACTTGACACTTGTAGCTTGAGGTAATTCTGTCGATAGATTTCCACGAAACACTGCTTTTCCCCCAGGGCTTTGTACAAATTCAGCTGTTGATTTGCCACCAAACTGTTCATCTGTAATCAGTGTCCACTTCTCGAGAGACTCCTTATCGCTGAAGTCCCACAAAATTTCCTGGTATTTCAATCTCGACATGGGATCCGGAAAGAGGGTGTCTACAACTTTTTTTACGGCTGGTTTTTTGAAAAAACCTTGGACACCTCTTACGATGCCCTTTCCAGCCGCCATGATGTTTTTCTCCTGATACCCAGGCTTTACGCTGTGTTACTTTTCCGACAGAGACTGGCTCCAACAGGGATGAAAGATGGCGGGTGTTTGCGGCAATTGCCAAATACTTCGCCTGACTTCAACCCTAAAAGGATGCTTTAACACCAAATTCCTGCCTTTTAAACCAAAATATACCATACCTGCTACCTTCGTCTCTACCTTCAGTTTTCTCGGATATCGACGTTCGTCTGAAAATCGCCCTTCTGGAGGCTTCATTTGGCAACACGGAAGACGTGTGCCGGAAGACATCTGCACGTTTTGGAAGCTGAAAGGATCAAGATCTTATAGATCCACTTCTTTTCATTTTCAACGAGATGTAGAGGAACCAGTAAAGACAAAACCAGTGTCTGGGATAATTAAGACGAAACTGGAAAAGATGAAAGAAATGGTATGTTATACTCCACAACTGAATATTGCCTGGTGGTTAGTTGGAGGAAAGTGTGTAAGGTGAACGGGAGGCGGCATGGGAAGGAAGGGTGATGGGGAAGATAATGACTATGCTAAAAAAAATAATAATAATAAAAACAAGTGTCTTTTGCCTCCTGTGCAGCCATCAGGAAATACATGTATTACCTCCTTTTTCAAGTTGCCTGACATTTTGTTATAGTTGTTTTGATCATGTTGTCTGATTGTCTAAACCAGAGTTATTACACTCAACTGAAAACAGTGCTTCACTTGACTCTGATAATGACTTTCATAAGGCTGTTGAAACCTCAGTCACCACTATCAACAACAGTCTTACTCAGGACTGCCCTCACCCAGATGATCATACTACATGATCACATCATGGGCATGATTGTGCTTTCCAATACCACAGCAAAAAGATTTTTCAAGTTTTCTTTTGCACTATGTTGTCAGTATGCAATAAAAAATTATTTGATGGGAGTGTACATGCATGTATTTATTTAATGATAATCAAAGTTGCATTGCACCCAAATTGATATAGAATTTATGCAGAGTTGAATGACATTTCAGTTTCTAGGCAGCAGCAGGCTACATTTCTTCCCATTATTATTATTTTTTTTAAAGAAAGAAGATATTTATACAGTGCCAAATCTGCTGTCCACCTTCAGAATACTGATCACTCCAGTTCTTGGCTATCTGATAGTTACAGAGGATTTTGTCAGCTCTTTACTTTTCTTTGGTGTCGCTGGTGTCACTGACATGGTATGATATGAGTGAACAATGCTTTAGTCACGCTTTGTGTTTCTTTAATAAATTTTCATGAACCCTTTACACCCTAGAATCAGTATGCATTCTCCATACTGCTCCTTATACATTTGCTAAGGTACAGGCAAGGAGAATCTGTTTAGCACTAAGAGCTTCTTCAGTCGATGATCATTTCCTTTTTTCTCATGACCTTAATGTGTGATTCAGGGGTGATATTGTATAGAGAAATTAGATTCTAGTCACTGTCAGGGGACAAAGGGTCCAGGATGGAGTCCAATTAAAATAACTTGAACCAAGCACTCATTGACCCTTTACACCCTAACATCAGTATGCATATTCTCCATACTGTTCTCAGTATATTTTCTAAGGTGCTGACAAGAAGAATCTGTTTAACAATTAAGAGCTTATATAATAAGTGATCATCTCATTTATTCTTGTCGCATTTATGGGTTATACAGGGGTGATATTATGATGCTAGTCACTCTTCGGGGTTGTACAGTTAAATATATACTACATAACCTTCTTTCAGTTTGTATCCCTGTGAGATGACTCTCTATTAGAAAGACATGTATTTGTGTATGATTGTAGTTACCCATGGAATTTTAACCTTAAAACATCCTGAAAATTCTTTTAACTTGAGACAGTACTTGTTACAAGAAAAATAATGAAAAGTATTTAAGGTGAATTATGACCATACAGCTTATCCTTGTGTTCATTTAGCTTGATGGATTCATTGCAAGAAATTTTAAAAACCAGAAATCAGTGCTGGGCACAGTTTTAGATCCATTTGCTGACAAGATTCTGATGTCTGTACTGACCATATCTCTCACTGTTGTGTCTCTTCTACCAGGTAAATTATTTAGACTTGAGAATAAAAAAAACTAATTAAGTTTATCAAGAGTTAACAACTATCCACAGTAGTGGAGGTGGTTAGTGGTGGGTATTAACCAAGCTGCACAGCAGAAATATCCACTGCTATCCACCAACAGAGGTGAATGGTTGAATAGTTGTTTCTGTAATTACCTAAACACAGAGATAATATTTCCCAAAGACATGATTTGAACTCTTTTACAGTATTCCTGCAACAACTACAATTATTTTGGGCATATATACCCATGTGAGTTGCTTGGAGATGAATAGTGCAAGATATTTGGAGTTTGAGTAGCCAATTAGAGCATGCCTTTAATGCCTTCTAGTATATACTGAAACTGTTTTTAGATATCATAAGTAACTGTAGGTTGTAATTTCTTTTTTTACGATTAAAAGAATACGAGTGTGTCAGATGGCTAGGGTTAGGTGTAGTTAAGCTAAGTTATAAAAAGGTCCCTGATGATGACGATGATGATGATGATAGTGATAATGATGATGATTACAAAAATCTCAATGATAACGAGAACTAGAGTACTGATCAAGATTATGTTAAAAATGACAACATTGGCCATGAAGGTCTGAGACCAAAGTTAAATGTTTTAATGCAGCGATATAAAATACAGTGCTGTGCCTTGCTGTAACCCTTTTTTTATCAATGAAGGAACACTGCATGGCATAAAGAAATGCATGGCAGAAGGTGCAGCAAATTGAAATTTGCAAATTTGGGTGAGCTTATCAGCACTGCAAGGCTCAAACTGATTTCAGAGTCCTCTTGAACTTCATCTGATACCCTTTTTTCTTTCTTTCTTGTTAGTTACCCTGACTGCATTGATTCTGAGTCGAGATGCCCTTTTGATTGGCTATGCCTTTTACTTGAGATACAAGTCACTTCCATCACCGGTAGGTTTTACCTCACTCAATCTTTTTAGTATTTCACAACAAACAAATGCTTGCGATGCAGTATTTAAATGTGTTCATTTGTCTTATTTTTTTGTTAAAACAATTTTGTGTTGATATCTTTAGAAAACAATTTCCAGGTACTTTGATTTTAACTTACCAACAGTGGAGCTTAGACCCAACTTTCTTGGCAAGGTCAGTCAACTCCTCAGATCTGATTTTTATCTCTCTCTGTCAACTGCTCTACACTTCCTTAAGATTTGGTGGAGAGAATTTAGTTTTTTATCAAGACCAAAGTTAGCGCATACATGCATCAGTTACTGACCAAGGTTATATATAGTTTACTTTCAAAACTTTAAGAATGTGCAAATTTCTAAACTTGATAAACTCTTGTAAAATATTAAGTTTCTTTTGTAGCCAAAATCTAGAATCAGAATTAAAAGTTAGTGAAGACAGATGTAATTAAATTTGATGGAAATCACTTGTTGGTGAGATTTGCCCACAGTTTAAGATATCATACACTTAAATATGAGCTAAACTGCACAACCCTTAGCCTACACCCCCCCCCTCTCCTTATCCTTCCTTAACCCATAGAACAATTTCTACCCTCTGCTGCAGTAAAATCAAAGATGGCAACATAATTTTCATCAAGAAATATTGAGCACTTGCTTGCTTAAATTAAGCCTGTTCTGAAAGCTAACACTATCTACCACTTAGTGCCAAGATTAAGTTATTTAATACAATTTGATTTGCAAAAATGTGTTTAAAAAAAGGCCAACATTGGCATTTTTTAATCTGGTGGTTCCAGTTGTTTGATAACCAATCATGACAAATTTGTATCATAATGCAAGAGCCTCTGTTTATAAATGAACGTTCCTTCATTGTTTTAGGCCAACACAGTTTTACAGCTGGCTCTTGTTGGCTGTTCACTGGCTGCTCCTGTTTTTGGATTTGTGGATCATCCTCATTTGCAATATCTTTGGTGGGTAACAAATTTCATATTTTTCATCACTGGCTGTTTTTCTTCAGGTGAAAAAAAAAAACACAAACAATGGAAAAAAAGATACTTTTTTGAATGAAGCTGATAGAGGAAGAACAGTTATTCCTGTAAAAGATTTTGATCAGTTTTGTCCAAACTGTAGTCTCAGAGATTCTTTGCTCCTCACTACTCATTGTTAGACTATTTCACACACATCAACCTTTCTACCCTAACATCAGTGTGCATATTCTCCACACTGTTCTCTATACATTTCCTTAGGTGCTGACAAGGAGAATTTGTTTAACAATCAAGAACTTCTTTAGCTGTTGATCATTTTCTTTATTCTTGTGACCTTAATGTGTGATACAGGGGTGATATTGTAAGGAGAAATTAGATGCTAGTCACCCTCAAAGGTTAAAGGGTTAAACTTTTCTACTCTAACATCCATATAATATTCTCCCTACTCTCCTCAGTAAAATTCCCAAGGTACTGATAAGGAGAGTTTGCTTAACAGTGTAGAGCCTCTCTAGTGCATTGTTGATTCAGGGGTCATCCTGTAAGGAGAAATTAGACACCAGTCACTCTCAGGGTGTAAAATTTGGCAGCAAATGGCTATACCCATTGTAGGGAAAATTAAAAATTTTCTCTTATACGTATCATAAACATACAGAACATACATGCACATGTGCATACATTAGTGCTCCAAGTTGCCACATCAATTGAGTTAACTCCCAGACGTGATTAACATAAAACTTCTCCCTACAATATCCATACATTCTTCAGCAAGCAGGTAATGAGAATATTCAAACTTATCAGGTAGAAGCTGCTATCTTGATCTAGCACCAATTTCTCATAACTAATTTACAAGGAAATGTGTTGCAGCTACAGGGGAGAATTAACAATCAGATCTTGGGAATTAATGGGTTAATGAAATTAATCCTAAGCACAAAGCTGCCCCATGTAGGAACATTCTCCCTAGTTCCTCAAGAAACTTTACCAGGGAAAACAAGAAATTTTTGAAAACCGTAACTTTTTGTTAGGGTGTAATGGGTTCAGCTGAAAAACTATTAAACAAGTTATAAATTATTTGTTTTGTTTTGTTTTTTTTCATCGTATTATGTAATTTTTTTTTCAGGTATACAGTGGCTTGTTCAACTGTCATGTCTAGTATTAGTTATCTTATCAACTTTAGAGGATCTGTAAAATATCTTTAATCAATTAATTGAACGATTGCAGCTTTGGAAAAAAAGATGAAATAAAAAAGAGAAAATAATTTTAAAGAATGCGTAGTGTTTGTTGTGAGATGTGCCCTTTGGATTCAACTTTTTAAAAAAATACAAAACAAGAAAAAAGGTTAAGTAAAACCAACCAAATATAAGTCAACAAACAAAACGTAACAAGAAGCGAAAAACAAACAAATACTCACTGAAATAGAACAGAAAAAAAGGATTACCGTCATCCTTCAAGAGAGATCTTTCGAACCTTAAACGCTAGGAGTTTAAATAAAAGCCAGTTATTGGCTGTCTACCGCCGCCTGTAAGACTTCTCACTGCCATCTGTTTCGATGGCAAGCAAGCTCTCGGATTTGGGTTTTTCCGCACGGCTCAATCGCCTATTACGCCATCTGGAGCCGCGCACCCTATCTTATGTGGACAGACCTAATTACTCCACTTTACAAGATACTATTTTTTACAATTCCATTCGACTTTTTGGTAGGATGCATCTAAGTTAGCCTTCCTTAGCTTGACAAATTGCAGGGGACGGTCGACAGTCAAAAATAAGGAGAGGGCTGGGGTGGGAGAAGTCTTCTCGCCCTTTCCCCACCCTACCCCCACCGTCCACTCTAACTCTAAATCAAACATGACCGGCCTGAGAAACGTTAGCTCGCCCTAATAAGACGTCGGCAACTGCACTGCAGGTTACTCAGAAATGATCTTGTCTAGATTTTGGCTTTTTTTAGATACCAAAACACTTAACAGTGCTTCCACACTTATACCCATTGAGAATAATCGCACCGTGCTTCAATGAATGATATCGATACAGGTAAACGCTCGACTCTGATGAGTCATGATGACCTCCGCATAGGTTGTCGAATCGTTGGTCACCTTTACCAACAACAAGAAGTCCTCGGGACTAGTCACGATCGAACATGATTCAATTGCTTTTACTTAACCGGTGCAGCTGACTGTTTTGTTAAAGGTTTGTTGGGCAGAGTCACAAAGGGAATCAGCTGTACTTCTCGTTTTCTCATGTCCAACTCTTTTATTACTTTCATCGAGCGCACGAAAAGCTACCTCCCTCCCTTAATCGTTTCTTTTTTTTCTAACAAGCATCTAAATTCTCCCAACAATATCAGCCCTGAATAAAACATTAACGTCATGAGAATACAAGAAATGATCACAAACTCTTCAAGCTTCGGATTGTTAAGTAAGGTCTCCTTGTCAGCATCATAGAAAATGTATAAATAACAGTAAGGAGTACTTGCGTACTGATGTTGGGACGTAAAGAGTAACAACCAACCCATTGTGATAGAGGTGCGTTGCGCCTACACACGAATCATCAAGCTGTAGGCCTAGACAGCTCGAGTAAGCTGATCAAAAGATACTTGAAAATTCTTTAATTTGACACAAATTTATCATTTGTAGCCTGGAACAAGAAGATAATCGACACATCTCTTCAGACTATTTGCAATGGAAAACAGCAATGAAGCGATAAATTTCAATTGTTCTTGATATCCCTTTGTGGTTTTCACCAATCGAAATTCCATACGTAGGCTCGGTTTGACGGAAAATAAAGTTAAGAATAGACGCAGGCATTAACAAAGTAATTAGCTGAATTAGCATACGTAAATTGTCTAAGCGAATGGTGACAATTTGTGGCAAGCCTGGTAATTTACAGAATATTACGGCACACAGACATCAAAAATAAGGATGGCACCCCTGAGTATGCGGTGTATTTTCATTGTTGCTCTCTTCGGCGGATCTTTCGCACGTGCCGATGAAGAGGCGAAATCGGTTCTACACGATTCCAAAGTCACGCACGATCGAGAGTAAGTAACTTTACATCAAAAAGTACCTAACTAAACAGTTGAAATCCTAATGTGCGCTTTGAAGATCACTATGGTTTTCAGTACCAAGCGAATGCCACCTAAAATATTTATTAATAATATTTAGACAAAATAGAAATATATCCATTTGAATCAGGACTTGGTGCTGCAATATTGAAAGTGTGAAATCGTACCGCTTGACTGTGTGTGAAGGTCGATGTAAATGGTCCAATTATTCATATATTTTAACTTGTTTACCGCTCTGTTGCTATCTCAAACATATAATTTCATCACATTTTGGGAGGTATAATTTAATACGACCCACACTTGCATGCTGCTGGTTTTTTTTCGAAAAAGCCAGTAAATTTTTCTGTGTGAAAAGTATGCACACCAGTTTTTTTCGTCTGTGTTTGTATAGGTAAACATGATTTCAAATGGTTAAATTTGCAGCATTCAAATTGCACCTGCTTCGTAATGTGATAATCCATGCGAACGCGAAACGAGGCATGCGTGAAGTGTGAAAAACCAGGCCAGTCGAGTGTGACTGAAGAGTAACTCTACTGACTACCTACTTATTCGGCCTGAGAAAAAACAAAACAGCGCAACGTGACAAACGGTGGCCAGCGCAAAACCCTGGCAAACTAAGCCAGCCCGGCTCATAGAAATTCTTTACCGGGAAGGTGGCCAATTTATATTAACAACTCACTTGAGGATAGTCTCCACTTATGCCGCTTTTTTGCGGCTCTGCAGATCGGAAATCCTTCTTTTTCACACCAAAGAGGATATAAAGGCGTCACGGGCTGATCTGTTGTTACTCACAACTTTTAAGTTAAAAATGTCTTTTTTAAGTGTTGTTGACCTTGTTTCTGCAAGAACTTTTAAAGGTTTATTTTACCTTAGTTTGTCATCCTCAAGTAATTTGCCAGAAAAGTCAGCTTTTCACAGGAATTTGCTTTAATTTTAGTCATATCAAGGAGCATCTAAAAGAGGAAATTGAGTTCAAAGAAGAAGAAATGAGTGATGAAGACCTACAGTTCCACTACTTCCGACTTCATGATTACGACGGGAACAGAAAACTGGACGGACTGGAGATCATGCATGCCATCAGCCATTATCAGAACGAGTCGGGAGTAACAGACAAGGAGGAAACTTCGGAAGAAGCTAATTCGAGAACCGTGGACCAGATTTTGGACGAGGATGACTTAAATTCAGACGGATATATTGACTATCCCGAATATATCGCATCGCACAAAACCTCGACCAAAGATTCAGAAGGGCACGCAAACTAACCCGATACTCATTCCAGAAAAAACTGCTTTTCTGTGTAATTCTGATTTCAACTATTGCCTTAGTTTTTTCAAATATAACATTGATTATTAAGACGGGAAAAAAACTAATGTTACTTTTGCGCGTAGTATCCGTTCCGACTCGTTGTTTCACACGTCACGCAACGTGCTCACACGGGAACACAAAGCGTCGCGTGACGAGACTAAACACATGAGGCATGTCCGAAGCATTAATTTCGGCCGCCAGCGAGCCAATTTCCCGTGCATAATTTCACATGAAAATGTAAGAAACGACCGGTCTCAAAAAATCAACAAAAGAAAATTGAAATCTGTAAAAGAAAAAAAGTAGGAAATTGGAAAACTCGAGACTTTTGAACACAAAGCTTCTTCAAGAAATTTATTCCAAAACACCATGACTCACTGGCTTGTGTGGTTGTTTGCAAATTGTTTAACCCTTTAACTCCCAGATCAAATTTGTAATTCTCCTTACTGTCAACCATACAATTATTATAATGTTAGTTCAGAGAATTAAGTATCAAATCAACTAACTATCCCCAATTTGATATTTTTCTTTGTTCTCATCACTCATTTGGTTGATATTGTATTGATACTGTAAGGAGAAATTCTGTCTTGGTCACTTATGGGAGTTAAAGAGTTCTGGCAGCCTGAAAGTACTCCACCTAGTTATTACAACAGTCGCACATGCAGATGCACTTTGTTGAGTGCTAGGTAGACCATACGCTCGAACCACTGTTCAGAAAATGAACCCACAATCCTCAATCTATCCACAAGGATAGAGCATCAATTGCTTCATTTTGTTATTTTCAGTCATCAATTCTTCTTTTTTTTAGTTCACATTTAATTTCTGTTGTTGCAACAAAATAAAAATAAAACCTGAATAGGAAACCAAATGATTCTTCACTAGGATAAAGCCTCTTGCAACTCATACCCTTCTCCTACCCTTACTTATTTCAAGTGTGTGTGCATGGGTGTGGGTGGGTGTGTCTGTGTGTAATTTTTAGAGGAGGTTGCTCAGGTTGCTTGTCTTTTCAGTGTGAAATCCCTTACAAACAAGCATGCCTGCTCTGAACCCTCAGTCAATAGGGACTGGTGATAATTTTAGTGCAAGAAGTGTGGCATTGGCAAAATAAGCCAAAGAAAAAGGTAGAGGCTACTTCTAAATATCTGACCACAACAAGGTTGCCCTTCAAGGTGATCTAAAGAGGAACAAGTGATACTCAAAGTGAACTCCCCTTCTTTGAAGAAAATGTAGAGTAATCATAGATTAAGCTCGATTTTTGCTGCTCTCTCCTGACCACTTTTTGCTCCTCCCTGGTTCAAGGGGGGGAGTGTGGGCTCATATTCCCAAACAGTGGCAGGTTATTGAGCCTATCATAGACGAGTATGTAAGATACTTCAGTGGATACTTGGATGAGAAAGCAAAATAAATGATTGACCATTATCATGATAATTATGTACTCAGACATACTTTGATGTTTTAGAACTATACTGTGCATAATATTCTTCCTCCCTTGATGCAAGTTTTTGCCACTGAAAAATAGGGAAAAACCACCAGAGGTACCACTTTTTTCCACAAATGTCATAGAAGTTTTTCTTCCAACCTTTGCTGTAAATGAAATTTTTATGTTGCCATTCATAGGTTGTTTGCCCAGAGAAAATCAATGTCAGTTGAAAGAAGCAACAGCTGGCACAACCCAGAGTTTGAACAATACATAGCCACGTTACAACAACCACCAAGAAATAATACAACGTGACACTTCCATTCCATACTTTAAAGACTGTCAATAGTGGAACAACTTTGCAGATGGCCTCAAAACTGAGAGGAATTAAAGGACCGATCTTCAGATGTAAGTAAAATAAGTTTATGATCGCCACATAAGCTGATCCGACGAATGCGAAAAAATTAAAGACGACAAAGAAACGCGTATTTGCGTGACCAATGCAGGCTGCCGCAAAGAAACAATGATGGTCACGCCTAACTATACACCTGTCACAAAACGAACAATGATGTGACCTTGGAGGCGAATTTTGTTCGCACGATTGGCAATAGAAATCTCCATCGCGTCCCTCGCTTAATTTCTCCAGCCTCTTATGAGATGTGTCAGTCGTTACTACGTAGAAATAGTTTCCAACAGCATTGATCATAATGTAGATAAAAAGTATTAAATTTGTCGCCAGCAGCCCGTCAGAGTTCGTAAACAATATTGGTATCACTTCAAAAATTTCTAACCGAAAAAGAAGGACGAACATAACAATGACATATCCAAGCCCAACAGTGTGAGTTCCGAGGATGGTGCCTCGGGAAGTCTTCCCGTAGAACTGATGCCGAGAAAAATCAATTGGTTGAGATGAAGCACTCATCTTCCTCAGACCACTCCTTAGAGAATTCTCAGTACTATTGCACCACAGAGCATACGATTACTGCTAACGCCGCTGACATATTACGCGGGAGAATCAAGTTCACACGAGTATCTTTTCGTAAAAATGAAGTCGAGTTCTAGAAGGCGCTCTGCGTTTTCTGTGTATCAATCGCAGATTGGAAAGGATGAAGAAAGTTCCCAGAAAGTGGAGGAAAAGGCTAATCAACCGTCTGGATCAAAGAAAAGGCCGCTCGACGAAAATCCTTCGAAAAGCACCTCAAAGAAAGTGAGCAAATTGCGCGGCAGTAAAAGTTTGGACGACGACGGAACAAATGGGATATTCGATCACGAGGAACGTACACCAGACATTCTAGAACCTAAACAGAAAGGAAAAGGGAAGTTACTTAGTAAAGCTAACAGACTCAGACAGAGTCTGTCCTTGTCTAGCCGGAAAAAGAAGAGGAATGGCTATCAAAGTTATGATCGTGTAGATTTACAGGAAAAGTCTTCAAGTAACTTGACCGTGCATAACTTGCCCGCTGATAAATCAGACAGAACAGATAGTGAGACCGGGAATGAAGAACCTTCTGAGGAAGAGCAAGCCAAGTGGAACTCGGAACAAGGAGATATAGAAGCTGACAGACTTTTCTCCTGGTTGATAAGTCCAGTGAAACCTGGGAAATTTTTCAGGTATAGGTTTAACCGTTGACTTTCCACAGGGAATTATTAGTTTGTTTTCGGAACAGTGTTTTTGACCCAGAGACTCAAACTGTACTGATCTGCAGTTATTGGAAACGAAAACGACAAGAACCAAGATCAATAACACGCAACTGAATCCTAATAGAACATTCCATTTTTTTTTTACCTCCACCCTCTCCCCCTCCCCCCTTACTTAGGATGGTGGATTGTAATTCCTATGGAATCTAGATTTTTCTTTAGAGAAGCTGAAATATTCTGAACTCCTCAGAAGTCAAGTGTGAGCACAAACACCTCTCCACCAAACACACTCATTTAGGTATATATATTAACAATTATTCTTTTCTTTTCTTTTTGTGTAGTGACGTATGGGAACAGAAACCCCTGTTGATCAAGAGACATCATCTAACCTATAATGATGGCTGGTTCAGCACAAGCGAATTAGATACTATTCTTAGAGAGGTACATGTTAGCATTTTATTAGTTTTGCCATCCCTTTATAGGAAATGCATTGCCTGAGTTTTGGTGATGAAATTCAACTAAAAATGCTTGATACTGACTGAGACACATTAGGCCTTTACACCTTAACATCATTGTGCATATTCTCTGCACTGTTGTCTGTATGTTCCCTATGATAATTATGGGGAGAATATTTTCAACGATCAAGAACGTCTTAAGCTGATTATTATTCCTTTTCTTCTTGATACCTTAATGTTTGATTCAGTGATGATACTGTAAGGAAAAATTAAATGATTGTCACCCATAGGGGTGTAGGATTAACCAAATGCTTTATGCACTGGATTTTAGATTAAAAGTTCAGGGTTCAAGTTCTGGCTGGGTCATGGTGTTGAGTTCTTGGGAAAGACAAAGCTAGTCACTCACAGTGTGCGTCTCTCTATCCACAAGAAGATTAGGTACCTGGTAGCCGAATAGGAAATTCACAATCTCTAGGGGGTGGAGAGAGGGGTAACCTGCAAGTATTAGCATCACATCCAGGGGAAGAATCAAAACTTAAAATCATTTTATGCTTTGGGAACTAGGGGAGGATCCACCTGTGTGGGTGATTAATTTTGTTTAGGGAGCCCTCAGGGTTGCAGGCCAAGTCATTGTGTTCTGTTCTTGAACAAGAGACTTTACTCACCCATTGCTTCTTCCTACTCATGAGTATCAGCAGACACTAGATAGGATACAAGGAAACTTCCATTTAGGGCAGAAGGGGGTGGTAATCTGCAGTGAACTAACATCCTATCCAGAAGGGGTAGAAATATCCTTGCCCACTGCATGCTACAAAACCATGATAACCTTAGCAGTGTGGACCTCTTGTCTTGAGAGCTGAGTTTATCATACTTGGTACCCCAAGCATTGTGATTGGAATACAGAACTATGATTCAATCAGATGCTGTTTGAATAATCTAAAAATTTCATGGTTTATGTGTCTCTTGTGAAATAATCTCTCTTTTTGATTGAAATGCCATTTTCAGCACAGAGTTCTATTCTCAACCAATCTGGATGTGACATCTTATAAAAATGGACAACGAGAGACGCCACAATCCTTCAGGGAGAGCTCATGCTCCAGTAGTATGGGATTATTATGAGGTATGAAGATCAAAGGATTAATTCTTCACACTCTAAGCTATACATCTTTTTTAATTCTAGCATAGAGAAGTTGTTTTTCAATGGAACAGTAGCCCTTAGTTGATATATTTTTCATTCTGCTTGTTATCTTTCTGCTTTGAAATGTATTGATAATGTAGGGAGAATTTCCTTTTTTAATCACATTTAACCTGGGAGTGAAAGAATGAATCATTTTGAAAATTTCTGAGATTATTTTCACTTTTATTGTCCCCATTCAAAAATCAATTATTTTGTATGGCCAATGTGATGTTTTCCTTTAATTTAAAATAATATCAAAATTTTACTTGAATTTTTAAGTCTTTTGTAACCTAGAATATTACTTATTGAAGTTTGTTGTTTGAAGTGATAAAAAATGTGTGGAGAGACTTTCCTAAACCACCTGAGAGTGGACTGCTATTTGAATTATTATTAGTATTTCTATGATTGTTACTATTGTTAGTATTATTATTATTGCTTTTAATGTCATTTTCCTTATTATCATAAGAATCATTTCTCTAATTAAAATTATTAGTGCAGCATAATAAATGTATTTTTTTTAATTTCCAGAAAGCCTTCTATTTATCATTCTAGTATAGTGTGACATTTCTTACTACAAAGTAACTGGTTATCTCTATTTTGTTAAATTTTATTTTGAATTATAGGTGAATCATTTTTTTTTTCTTTTTAGAATGGCTGTTCTGTTCGTTTCCTCAATCCTCAAGCTTTTTCACAGTCAGTGTGGAAGTTGACTTCCCTTCTACAGGAGTATTTTGGTTGTCTGGTTGGTGCCAACGTGTAAGCTGCTGTTTCTAAAATGTTTTTTATTGATAACAAATAACTCTTCCATTCTACATGTGAATGAAATGAAGACGCATTTTACCTTAGTATAATTGTAAAAAGTGTGAGATTATGCTTGTATGAAAGTCATTTGGTGTACAACATGTAGCTGCATGTCTTGCAGAGAATAGGGAAAGATTCAATATTTGTTGTGAAAACTTGGAGTTAGATCAAATTGAAGTTTTCTCTTTACCTGTTTTCTGATGATATATGGATATTATTGGGACAAAAAAAAAAAGAGTAAAGCCTTTGTACAGGCCCAAGTGGCCCATGGGGCCAGTGCTTAATTCCAGTTTCATTAGCATGAAGTAGCCAGGAGTATTGCTACCCCCCCTGGATGGGATGCTAGTCCATCACGGGGTTACCCCCACATTTTTTCTGGAACCCATTTGTACACCTGGGTGAAGAGAAGCACTGTGAGAGTAAAGTGTCTTGCCTAAGAACACAACACAATGACCCTGGCCAGGGTTTGAACCTGGACCACTCGATCCGGAGTCGAGCACACTAACCATGAGGCCACTATGCCTCCACTATTATTATTGGGAGAAGTTACATGCTTATCACTCAGGTGAAAGTTAAAGGATTGATATAAAATCAAAACTGTGTTTATTTTTACTTTAGTTATCTAACTCCAGCTGGTTCTCAAGGCTTTGCCCCACATTATGATGACATTGAGGCCTTTGTTGTGCAACTTGAGGGGAAGAAACACTGGAGACTTTATAATCCAAGGTACATGTAAATGAACTATAGAGCTGAGAACTACCAAAGAACATTCAAAGACAGAAGACTGATTTTATGGTACATATGCCTTTTGTGATTTGAATAGTAATTGTCTTCTTTATATCTTTGTAGTTTGATTTGGAAAGATTTGTTTCCTCCATCTCTCATGTTAATATTTGTGTTTTTTCCAGATGTGATGCTGAAGCCTTACCAAGGTACTCTAGTGGTAAGTCTTGCATTTTCATGTAAAAAAAGATTTGTATATTTTACATTTTTGTTATTGTAGGGAAGTACTTAATTACATGTGAGGACATGTAGGTTACACAAAGGTCAGTCAACTAATCAATCAATCAGTCTTGCCATCAATTGGCTGGAATTAATCAATTACCCCTTTACTCCTTAACATCAGTATGCATATTCTCTTTACTGCTCTCTATGCATTTCCTATAGAGCTGACAAGGAGAATTTGTTCAACAATCAGGAGTTCCTTAAATCTGCGAACATTTCCTTCATTTTCATGACTTATGCATTTGATTCAAGGATGTTACTGTTAGGAGAAATTAGATGTCAGACGCTTCAGGGATTGATAAAAATGATGAGGTTACCTTCCATGTACAATAGATAAGAGTAACCTAGAAAAAAGAGATTCCAAAAAATACTTCAGTTTAAATTGGTCAGGCTATGTTAACTCTTTAACCCTGACATCAGTATCCATATTCTCCATACTATTCACTATACATTTCCCAAGGTGCTGACAAAGAGAATTTGTTTAATAATCAAGAGCTGCTATAGTTGGTGATCACCATAAGGGGTTAAAAGATTAAAAGTTGTCAAACTATTACTGCCTTTTCATCCTACCACTATCAAAATGAAAAAACCCTGAAAATTAAATTTCTGAGCTGTTTTTATTTTTTATTTTTTAACTTGTTAAAAATACTTATTTACAATATACATTTACGGTACTTCTTGTATAGTCTGAAAATTTTCATTTTTTTGAATGGCTATCAGTATGTTGTCTTTTTACACAACACAAATTTGAATCCTTTGGCAGAAAACTTTACACAAGAAGAAATTGGTGAACCCATTCTTGATACGGAGCTTGTTGCTGGAGATGTCCTCTACTTCCCAAGGGGGACAATCCATCAGGTTAGTAATTTTTCTTTCACGAGGTTCCCCAAAGTCAACCAATAGTTGAACCTGTACTCTTTCAACCTTTAGAACAGGTTCCTTCTGTAATTTTTCACCAGGGGCTATAATTTTTTCATGCATTTTTTAAAATTTTTTTTTTTGTTTGGTGGGTAAAGAGTTTGTTACATGACCAAGCCAGACAACTGCTGTGAAGGAGGCAGTGTGGCCAGGCAGTTAAGGTGCTGAGCTTGTAATCTGGTTGCCCTCCACCCTTCTATGCACTGGATTTGTTCTTGTTTGCCACAAGTTCAATTCCTTTACTGTACTTTGTGCAATGTATTTAATTTCTCTGCCTCCTGCCAGTTGGGATTTTTAAATTTGCATTGGCTCTAAAAAGCACATTGGGGGCATGGTCAATTAACTATACACATACATACATGCAAGGAGGGAGAAGGGAAAGATACTACTGGACTGGAAATCTCAAAAGGAAATATACCAGATTACTACATATGGTTAGAAATTATTGCCTTTTCATATCAACCCAGGGATCACAGGCACATTCCACACCCCTTCCCCCCTCTCTAATGCTAGCTCACTAGTGAGAAATAGCCAATTTTAATATTTCAGTTCTTGTATTCTATCCACTCTGATGTGTGAACAGATGTGTCTAAAAAGTTCATATTTTAGAACACTTTAAGACTTTAGTCAACTTGTCCCCAAATTGATATTTTCTTTATTCTCAAAACACCAGACATTGTATTGATAATGTAAGGAGAAATTCTGTCTTGAACCCATGGGAATAGTTCATTATCCACTAGACTGTTTTTGTTTTTATCAAACATTTGTAGGTACAATATACATCCAATTTGTTTTTATTTTATCACATTTAGGCAGATACACCAAGTGATACGCATTCTTTACACATTACTCTGTCCACATATCAAAAGACCTCCTGGATGGATTTTATGGAAAAGGTGAACTACCTGTATTTTTTGTAGACTTTGAGCAGTCCCTCATTTTTGGCAAAGTCCTTTGCGCAAGTGAAAACAAATAAGCAAAAGCAAAAAATTGATGTTAGAGTGCACTGTGGAACATTGTGAGGTGCATGAACAGTAGCTGCCTTACTCCTATAGTTCTGCATGGCACACAACATAATTTTTGTTTTTGCTGAATTTTTTTTGCTCCCCAACAGATTCCTTGGGAAAAGGATGGACTGCTCATTTTTTTTAATTTATGTAGAAAAATCTGCTTTATTTGTTTAAAGCTTTTCCATTTTTCATTCTCAATTTTATTTGAATATTCAAATTTGCAGTTAATTCCAGGTGCTCTGCAGGTTGCATTTGAAGAGGATCGTGAATTCCGTCAAGGATTGCCACTTAATTATCTTGACTATATGGGTGTGGCAAATTCAGAATTGGTGAGTTGCCATGGTAAGAACTGAAGAAAAAGGCTTAAATTAAAACTTCAATCAACAAATACATGGGCAGACTTTGCTCTTATTAGTACATGTAATTACCATGTTTTTTTTTAAGTCAGACTGTGTGTTATATACCTTGTGAAATAAAACTGTTTCCATTGGTATTAGGCTGTGTAGCAGGGACCTTTTCTGCAAGCAATTGGTTTAGTTAATATTCTGATTTAAGGTTGAAGCCAATAAGGAAAGCCTTAACTGCTCAAATATCATTTTTTTTTTTGCACTGGTACCTCTTCCAGCATGAATGAACAAGGAATTTCTTTATTTCACCACTTTTTATCATGAAATGATGCCTTTTTTCTGTAAGAACACTAAAGAGAGGTCAGATTTCCTGAAGAAGGTGGAAAAACTTATGATGAAATTGGTGTCGCATGCTCCAGTTGATGCAGCTGTCGACCAGGTAAAATGTTCAACTGCAGACATTTTTTTGGTCAATATTTTGTTCACATTTTAACTCCTCTTTGTGGTCAAGACAGAATTTCTCCTTACAGTATTAATATAATATAAAGCAGGCAGGTGATGAGAATATAGAAAAATATCAATTAGAGGATGAGTAGTTGATCCAATACCAAATTCTCAGAACAAGCATCATAAGGATTGTATAGCAGACAATGGGAGAAACTGCTGATGGGATCTTGTGAGTGAAAGGATTAAATGGTATTCTTTTGTCTATCCTTCTCCTTTTTCTAAAATTTTCTGTTGTTGTGGCCAGTTTGCAGTGGGAGCCCTTCGAGATTCTTTGCCTCCAGTTTTAACTGAAGGTGAGTGAACTAGAGTTATTAAATCTGAAGATTTTCACTATTTTTCTTTCATAAATATATATATATATATATATATATATATTAAAACCGGAATTAGGTTAAGGTATTTAAAGATTTAAAACTGCTGTAATTAAACGATCGGCTGTCGGCCGAAAATAGATATTTAACAGATTTGACAGGTGTTTGACAGGCGACCGAAAACTGCTTATCGTTCTAATAAGTAAAAGGACTGCTAAAAACTGTCGGCTAACTGTCGGCTGTCGGCTGTCGGCTGTCGGCCGAAAGTGGACCGACGGCTGGTCGGCAGAGGGCCGACAGTAGACTGACAGGTGCTTGACAGGCGACCGAGAAATTTATTTAGAAGCTGATGAAGTGAAAGAGGCTTATCGTTCTATTATAGAAGAAACAAAGAAAAGTGTCTTTGGCAGTGATTCTTCGTGGAAAGAAGGAAAGATTATCGGCAAAGTTTCTATCAACGAGGAAACAGAAGTCAGGCTGATACGGAAGGGAGTGGCGAGGTAGGATCTCCCGTCCTTACTTTAACCCTTTTAATTTCACACGAGTGACCAAGAAAAGATTTCTCCTTACTATATCAATACAGTATCAAGGACACAAGTGATGAGAATATAAAAAAATATCAGTTAGCGATTATTTGCCGATCCAATACCAAATTCTTCAAACTGACAGCATGAGAACTGTACGGTACACAGTAAAGAGAATTGCTAATGAGATCTTGGGAGTGACAGGGTTAATTTGAAATGAGGTGCCCAGAGTGTACGTGCTAATTCGAGATTTCACGATTTCCGGCCTGTGGATAGAATGCGTCGCTGACTTGGCAGTTCCTCAGTTGTCTTTAAAACAACTCTTCCTTCCCTTAAAAAAAAAAACATGCAAATTTAAATTAGGATTGGAAATTGTCATTTTCTTGTAGGCTAGTTGTCGAAGGTGAAGTCGTGCATGTTTACCACACACTGCAGAATTCTAGAGTCTATCACGAGACTGAGCTAGACAGCTTGGAGTTTGGTTTAGAGGTAATAATTTCAAGTGTATGCTTACTTCTGTCAACACAGCATCAACACAACAGTCAAAGACCGGGTATGCAAAAAGAAAGAAACAGTCGGTCTTACACGAGTAATACATTGTTTACAAGGAAAGTTTTATTGAATCCGTGAAAATTTGGAGACGGAGGTCAAAGTCTGGAAAAGCAAAACTTTTACTTTTGAACTTAAGTTTTTTCCAGCTTCAGTTACTCAGTTGATTGAGCTTTACCAAGAAGGGCATATGTTTTCAAAGCACCGTGTCGTGCTGCTTGTGTTAAAGTTATCATCGCTAGAACGCTTTTCGATTGGGTGTGGTTAAAATCAAACCCAAAGTAATCACAACAACCAACTAGGAGAAAGGAACATACCTTTAAGAGCCAATGAAAACTCAAAGTAAAAACACCCATACTGCCTGAAGCGCGGGAAAACGCGGGTTGCTTGGTTTTAGTTTTACATCTGATTGGTTGAGAAAGTGGCGCGAGTTTTCTGAAAACGGGAAAATGGGAAAACGCGGGCTGCTTGGTTTTAGTTTTACATCTGATTGGTTGAGAAAGTGGCGCGAGTTTTCTGAACCAGTTACAGCGGGAAGTAAAACAAAACCAAGGCAATCCTGGATTACTTTCGACTCTCTCTTGAAAATTGCTCTATTTAGCTATTAGTATCATTATTATTATTTGTTCATTTGTTACGCACTTTGCTTTTCAGGCTGGTCCAATAATAGAGAGCATTCTACAGAGTTACCCTGATTACATTGCAGTGAAAGACCTGCCTCATGATGATACGAATTACAAGGTAAATTTAAAATTTTCTCCTCTTTTCCTTGCAGTTTACATTTGAACATTTCAATATGCTACTTAGCTCACACCTTTATTGATATTCTTTTTCTCGTGTTTTGCCTTTTTTCGTTCTTCAGATTGACCTGGTCACCTTGCTCTACGAAAAAGGAATTCTGGCCAGAAAGTAAAGCTGCCGCTGTTTACATCGCTACCCTAGAATTTCAGAGTGATCGACAATTTGATAAATATTTCGGCAAGCTAAGGATATTTGTCATTTTTGGGTTGAAAAGACGCAATCCTCATCAGCTGCCTTAGAGGAATAGGAAGTTATTATATTTTTACTCTTGGTTGGCTTTTTGTTGTTATGTTTGTTGTTGATGTCATTGGTGGTGTTTTTAATTTGTTTATTATTTTGATTGTTTTTGCGTGGGAGACCAGATTTTCTTTTAAAAGTCAAACGTTTTTACGTGATCACTAAGTATACAGATAGTTGTGAATTTCGTTGCTTCTGCTAACTTGATGTAATAAAACCAATTCCAGGAAAGACTGCCGTTGATGTACAAATTTGTATTGATTGTGATTGCCTTAATTTCTAGCGCATTATGCATGGTAAGAACATCATGGACACACTCGGCTGCCCCTCGTATGCCACTTGCATGTCCTTACCGCATTTTGACGTCATATCACTTAACTTGTCGCATCTTTTCCTGAACAGTCGCGTGTTAACAAGGAATCTCTTTGTTAAAACGTGCCACCTTTCACTGTTTTCCCTTCACTCTCCCGTACAATTCACTTGATAACCCTTTTAAAGTAGAGTTAGATGTTTATTTATGAACTTAAAAAAAGACTTCTCTCAATTTAAGATGGTAGCAATGGTAAAAATAAGTAATTGGGTTTATTTCAAGGATAGCTACATCTTTTAAGATCTTGTCCTGTCTAAGGTTCATGAATGGATGACATTACTAATGATACGTGATAGTTACTCGTCCAAAGGAGAACGTCGATCCAAATGACGTCATATTGAAGACAATAAACACTTGGGCAACACTATAATTTTCCGTGTTTTGATATCATTAATGTTCGCCGTCATAAGGAACTTAAGTGTTCTGAGAACGTTTTTTCTGGTACCAAATCTGTCAGGAAGGGCCGATAATATCGGGGAGTTTTGGAAAGTCATCATAATAGGGTAGAAGCGAATTTGTCTCCAAATACTATAGAACTAAATCTTTGACCCAAATCGTGATTAAAAGAGGAGCCGAAAACCGCCTAAAACTCTTGTTAACACCGACATCATTAGGGCCGTTTCTTTGTTCTTTTGTTCTTGTATTTAAAAGTTTTCAATTTGGTTCTTTTTTTTTTTACTTGTTTGGTATTTATTTGGTTAGTTGTATATTTAATTTTTACTTTTGCAGCCTATTTTACACTAACCGGCTATCTGTAGCATGAACGCTTTGTGATCATTCATGCTTTAAGTGCAGCTGCCGTGACAAAACGTGACTTGAAATAATTATTCTGATCGTGGTTTCCTTTTCCGGTTTTCGGGGATTGGTTCAATCTGACAGTTTCGACGGTTTTTATATCTTTTCTTTTCTTACATAGCTATTCAGAAATCTTGCATTGCAACGCACTCAAGCTGAAGAAATTGTGGCTTAAAATGGAACACGAGAAGGTCTCGGAGAGGTCTCAAAAACATAGAACTGGCCTTGATTTTACAGGGTTAGGGATTTTTTTGTTGCTGATTAGTGTTGTGGCCGCGATAGTGCTTGGTCTCACAGTTGCACGTTTCGCAGTGTACGACATGGAACTGAAAACGTCCGAGTGTAGAGTCTTATCCACTGGAGTAGCAAGCGAAAGGATGAATTGTAGTTGCACGAACACCGTGCCCTCTTTCATGTCGTCTGAGTCGTCCTACCCATGTCTTCTGATAGAAGTTGCCTTGTACGCGAACGGTGAAGAGCACACAGCCTATCTGTATGAAAATAGTTACAAGGAGAAAAATAAGGTAAGATCTGAAATTATGGCGGGATTTCATGAAATGATCTTCGTGTCAGGAAATGTATGTATACGTAGTAATACGTTGATTTGGGAAGATCGCGCAAAGGTAGCAAACAGAATTAGTCATCAATTGTCCGTGTTAATGACAATCTTTCACTTCATATTTGAATAATAATTGTAATTCAGCCTAAGGGCCACTTCTAAATAAGTGGCTTTTAATAAAGATGAAGGTCAAAATGCACCAATGTCAGCGCGCCGAAAAAAAAAACCATAACAGAAGAGCAGGCGCAGTTAGAACACTACAATTTGATCTGATAATGAATGAAGACATTATTTACATAGGTATCAAATCAGTTTCGCTGAACTTCCCATAACTAACGCTTATCTTTTTTTTGAACGACTTTGTTTAAGTTGCACATGTCATTTCAGTGGCAAGTTTTGTTTTTTACTGTCATTTGCATTTGGGCTGAAGAATGTCGGAAAGTCCTGGGAACCATTTCGAACCTAGACCCAAACTCCACCTTCCTGATAATTATTTTGCACTTTTCAAGTAACTTATGCCTTTTTTGATTTTTTTTTTTTTTTAAATTTTTAGTGCAGCACTCAGCCGTGTGACTGCCTCGACGTCAATAATGATGGAAATGTGACAGTGTTTTGGATTAATTATGGTGGAATGAACGACACGTACACTTGTTACTACAATCCCAAAAATCTCAACGAAGCTTTTACAAAAAGACTTTTGAAGAGTGATGGCATGAAGTTGATGCATTCCTTCTTGTGGCCAGGGCTAGTTTTGGGTATCGGCATCGTCTTTCTGGGTATAGGGTTTTGCCGAGATAAAGGACACTGCCGTTACAGGAAGCAGAATAAATCCTCCAGTTCTGTTCCATATCAAGATCTTTCGTCAATGGCCTAATCATAAACATTTTATCATAAATTGTATGAAAGATTAGCTATCGTATTAATGTGTGGTTGAATCAAGCATATAGTTAGGTTATTGTTTCAATCTGTTTTCGATTTTCAAGTGCCTTTAACCTTTTATTATCATACGGATCACATCTCAGAGATTTTCCTCTGCTCGGGCTCGTGTCTTAAGAAGTTACCCCTGATTTTAAAGCTGCATCCTTTTGCCTTCTTTTTTTTTTTTAATTTCTTTCTGTGCAGCTATCGATCTCTGATATCGCACAGATAAAGTTGACATTGACCAAGTCTACCTCAGGTCTGCTCTGACAAATGATCGTCAACTTTCAGAGTTACACCAAAGAAAAGAAAGAAACTCCACATTGTGCTTATAGGCGCGTATCGTTTAGGTAATTTCACAAATTATTCAGAGTTGTAGCTGCAAAGCGGTCATATATTAAAACTAAAATTACAAAAAAAGGTTTCCTCACTATGGTTTCCAGTGCCTCCTCGTCAGCATGTTTTCAGTTGTTTATAACCCTTAACGTTCCAACAGAGTATCCTTTTCCGACAGATGTCTTAGACTCCCTTTTATCTCGTACGCAGACCTCCAACGGCCAGGTAATGAAAGGGGCGCATCCCCAGATGCGGCTTGAGCCGGGCTGTGTGTCTCTGTAATTTTACACCGGATAAAATCTCGAGTCCCTGCTATTTCAAAAGTTACTTCCAGTGGTTCAAATGGGGAAAAGACAACCTGACTCTAAAAATTATCGTATGTGGCGAGGATGATCATGGCCGATTGCGAGGCTTGTGCTATCTGCAGTAGCCGAAGATAGGGAACCGTGAAACCTTCCCAATGCAGACGGAGCGAGAGCCTCGCGAGATCGTGAAGGGAAGGGATTTACGTAAGCAGAAAGTGTTACGAAAGCGAAATGGACAAAGGAAGTGCGGTGGGCAACGTTCCAAAACGTTTCTCATACTGTTTCATGCCACTTTTAGTCATTAGATGCTAGCTTACGTGCGAGCCTAAAGTTGGTGTCCATCAATCACCGTCAGTCATCGTTAAGCAGAATTTTCTTCTTGTATTAGAGGACGACGATGCGGCTGAAAGGAATCGAAAACTTGGCAAAAGAACTTCTAAACCGAGACCAGAAGGTTGTGATATTTGAAACGTTTTTCTATCTGTTAACAATTTCGGTGGCAGTCGTTGGAAACTCCTGTGTTCTTCTGGCAGTGTACAGAAACTCAAGACTGCGAACGATTCCTAACTACTTCATTGTGTCTCTGGCGATCTCTGATATTCTTTTACCTTTACTGTGTGCTCCGTATTCTATAGCTGTTGCCATCGTTGGTTACTGGCCATTTAATGATAGCGTTTGCCAAAGTCAAGGATTTTTCGTCATAATTTTAGCTTGCGCCTCTTTGCTAACCTTAACCCTGACCGCGATCAATCGATTTTACCGAATGGTCCTAACGAAACATTATCGGCAAATTTTTACAAAGTGGAAAACCTTAACTATGATAGCATTTGGAGTCGGCTTAGCTTGCTTGGAACCATTACCTTATTTACTTTCGGGTCGACGTTATGTCTTTCATCCCGGAAAGTTGTTTTGCTTTCAGACAGGTGAGATTTCCCTTCCAAACTTCATCGTGTATTTCTACGTCGGCGTGCCTACTTTCACTTTAAGCATATGCTATGCTCTTGTCTTCAGACAAATGCGTATTCACCGGAGAACAGTTCAAAATTTGCGATCGTGTGCTATGGCTGTGGACAACATAACTCATGCAGATATCAGAGTTACAAAGATTCTGTTCATCACCGTGATAGGATTTTTGGCCTGTTGGACACCGATTGCGGTCATGGATTTTGTAGACACGTTCCGGGGTGAAGTGTCTCTTCCGAGACAGGTCTATGTTTTTTACCTAATTCTGGGAAATTTGTCAGGAGCCATTAATCCTTTTATATACGGTTTCCTAAACAGGAGTTTCAGAAGAGAATATGGAAAGATGTTTTCGTTAAGGAAAAGAAACTCAAGACGGCAAAATTTGCAAGTGGATTTAACTTCGTTTTCGAGTCGAAACCCTCGCAACACAGAGCTCACCGCCAATTGAGAACTATCCAAGTAATCTGCAACTCAGTTTGTTAATTCGCCGGAACAATGGAACATGAATATATGTCTGGTTGTGTTCGACTTCATTTATCGTGATCTGTAGAGGTAGTCATCGCAGACGTGAGAATGAAATCGATGCTGAAGTGCGTGGAAGCGCCAAGCTGTACTAATACTCTCGGGATGATGAGACATGAATATGGCTGATTGTGTTCTACTCCATTTGTCGTGATGTGTAAAGGCATGTATGTTGAAGTGTGTGGAAGTACAAAGCTGTTCAAATTCTCTTTATTTCAGATTTTCGAAATATAAAGATGTTATTATCAAAGATTTCTACAGAAACGGAAAAAGAAAGTAATTACTCTATAATTCTTGTGTCATGTTTTTTTTTACGCTTCAAAATTTTCAGTTTTACCTTTTTTACTTATACTACTTATTTTTTTATATTTTCCTTTCCTCTTTGAATGTTTAGTGTTTTCATTAATTTTGTAGTTTGCTCAGTCTGCGAATAACCAGTAAATAAATACGACACGGAAATAATTAATTTATCTTTTAGCCGAGTAAGGAAGCAATTCAAGAGGTTTGCCAATCAGTAGTAATAAAAAATCAGAAAATCAAGAGATCTAAAATTTTCTTCCACGCTAGATGACTGGAAAGTAATAGAAATCTCGAACCTGCAACAGATACAAACACTGAGTCGGGAGAAGAATAAACCGAAATTCCCCGCTGCTCAGCTTTTTCATACTTGCTTTCGCCTTGCAAATGGAGTACTGTCTTTTTCCTCCCCGACACCCTCAGTTCCGACTGCAGGGACGTCGTCTCAATGTGCTGAGTAAGGATATTGTAATGTAATTTACATATGTAAATACTATTTTGTGCAGTATATAGTACTGTGTAATTACATTTATGGATTGATTATATTCTTGTGACGACATGGCAAGTCTTGATATTCTGATTGGGATCAATTTTCCAACAATGACTCCAACAACCTTTAGGAAGTTTGCTATTTCAGAATATCATCTCATGGTAGCCTAAAATTAAATTTGTCAGCGCGGTATCACTGTTTTTACTGCAAGGATGTAAGGTTTGCATGAACGAGGTAATTTTGATTTTAAACTTGATCAGGAAAAACTACGCAAAGTTCTTTTGCGATGTGGTCCCCCATTGGAACAGAAGCTTACATTTATTTCAATCGAAAGTCGCTCAATAGAGTCAATGCTGTTGTTAATCTCGTACCGAGATCCCACTGTGTAACTGTGACTAAAATGACAATGGGATCCCTACAACCGCTTAGCCGTGAAAGGTATGGATACAGACTAGTTCTGCGTTGCAATAAATGGGGATTTCCTGTATCAGAATGATCGCAAACAGCTACAGACCTGATAAAGGATGCGTATAAGTGTTTGTTTTGTATTCGGAGAAGTCCTAATCCCTCACAGCTTACAATTTTTCTGGCCTGGGTTGTTCAAAGCTGGGTTAAGATAACCCAGGGTTAGTGTGAAATTTGATTTTAGGTCTGAAAGCTTTAAGAGAAAGTTCAGTTCAAATATTTTTGCTTGCAATTTCATCATTGGATTCCCTAAAAGTAATAGGGAAGATTTTTCCTTAAAAAGGATTTTTGAACAAAGAAATAAAGAAAGCTGGATTAATATTTAACCCCAGGCTAGTGCTAATCGGCCTTCGAACAACTGGTCCCTGGAGTTTTGTTCTCGAAAAACTGCTCGCTTGTCAGAACAGATAACGTCCGTGAAAATTATCAGTGCCTATTTTCGCGCTAAATGGAGGATATTGCAATTGTTTATTTGATTTAACATGCTCACCTACGTCTTCACGCTCTGAGGAAATTCGCGCCACATGTCACGCTAAAGTTTGTTCTCAAATCAAGCCACCGACTATGAAAATCTTTCATCTGATGACCAATGTCTTTCAAAAATGTCGTTCTTTTTTATATTCCCTATCGATGTTCTTACCATGTATCGTCTTGTATCTTCTCGATTGTACTGGCACGATTCAGACAGCCCCGACGGCAGATACATCTCAGATCAAGACATGCGCGAACAGTTTTCGGGAAAAAAAAATTACGTGTTTTTCTAGGATGCGAAATTTTTGGTGTGTTCCAGTAAAACCGAAACCTTCTTCGAGTGCTTTACGCGACGGTTTCCGGGCGCGCGAGAAATACGCTTAAACACAACCTCGTTCCCAGGGTCTTCTCTCGTATTTCTTTAGGGGGGAGAGAAAAACTCTGAGAACTACGTTTTACTCTCAAGGATCTTGTGAGACACCAGCAAAAAGCTTTTTTGGGATCACATTCTGAAGGAGCCTTAGAAACCAGGCTCAACTCAGTAACCAAGCCTACCGAATTTGTGCCCAAGCCTTTTCTTGCTTGCGTGACCTTTTTTATCACACTGGAGAAGACAAGGAACTTCGGCGTGCAGTAAACACAAGCTCAAATTTTCAAAGCAGCAAAGAGAAGAACGTTTTGAGACCGAAAGGTAAGTAAGTAAGTATTTTAGTGTTTTACAACCTAAATTTAGTGTTTTGCTTTGTAATTTTACAACGTACAGTAAATTGTCAAAATAATAACTCGGAAAGCTTTCGGCTAAAATTTAACTCTTTTTAATAACCTTATACTTTCTTGATCTCATATCTCAATTAGTGATAACACCAGACATCATTTGCTTTTGTGGTATATACTATATGTATACCTAACTTGTTGAAGTATGTTGTCATGAAATAATGCACTTAGCAACAATTAATCTGATTTCACAAAACTGAGTTAATGTTTAAATTGTTCCCTGGACTGCTTGGACATCTGAGGCAACTTATAATCCATTTCGAGAGTGGTAGGGATGCTTACTTCATAGTGGCTATGGCTGTACCTGTCCTTGAATTTACCCTGTTGTTTGTAATAGATTTTCCATGCACTGTCTGTTATTTTTTTTCAGGAAATTTTTAGTCTGCAAGAAGAGTCTTTTTTTAGAGAAGAATCCTTTTCCTGTAACGTGTACAACTGCTGCATTACTGATATTTTCATCATAACAGAATTTTCACAAAAATTATTTGACATTGAATTCTTATGCAAATACTGCAAGGTCACGCTTACCCACCAACCCATCAAGGTGGTGTTGAAAACTGCAGTAAGGTCTATTGAATATAGTTAGAGTACTGAATTTGACTTACAATTACAGAATATGGGGCTTTTTTATGATTAGGTATCAAACAAAATAAAAAAACTTTCTTGGCTCATTTGGATCAAGCCACCTTATATAATGCAATCAATGTCTTGTTTTCTATATCCCGCGTCATTGCTCAGATAGAATTGATGTATAAATATTATAGTCATTTAAATCCAACTGAATGTATTTTTTTATTACTTTTCCATTTATTGCCGAACCAGCAAGCCTTGAGGCATTAAACAGTGAGCACTTTTAAAAAGTCCTATATTGTACACATGTAGTTGCTTTGGGGAAGGGGAGTGGTAAAGTTTCAAATTTGGTTAAGAGTATTAACACAATGATAATAATGATAATAATATCAATAACAATAATAATTCATTTTTCCATCCTTTGTTGCAAACGCATCTGACCTAGAGTAATTAGTAGAACATACCAGATAGCCTTTTTATTAATGCAAGGCCCCAGTGATGCACAGTTATGATATGAAAATAATTTTCTCTTGTGTGAGGCATCAGTCAATTTAGGAATTACCAAGTGTAAAATTTCAAGTCAATATGGTCCAGAAACTACTCATTTTGTGGAGGGTGGGGCTGGGAGGGGTGGAGGGGTCGAAATTATTAGGTTTGCATACCGTTTTCACTCTTTGCACCCTGAGCACTTATACACGCACACTTCAGATGAATGCGCAACACAACAGCGTCAAAAAATAATCAAGCAAATGACTAAGACGTGCAAAGCTTCCAGGGTTAATATAAATTTACCGCTATAAACAGTGAAAAGGCCTTACATATTTTACTCGTAGCTTCTTTAAAGGTACAACTTCCAATGACGTTCTAACAAGATTATCAAGTTGTCAAATACGTATTTTAATATGATTGATACCAATTGCTTCATTAAGTCGAAATAAGCTTAATTTCCAGAATAAATAAGTGGAGTACTACACTTATGACGAATTTTGTGGTCCATTAGAAAAAGTACTTGATTCAATTACGCAGTTCACCGAAAGGTTAATGTTGTTTGCTTGCTGAGATTTTTTTAAACATTGAATACATTTTCAAGACCTGTACTCGACGAGGTGCACTTCTCGCGATTGTGCTGCAATCCAGCGAGTCCTTCGGAAAAACATGTCACTGAGACCAGAGCTTGTAAGACACTATCGAGAAGTAAGTATTTTCTAGGTTTGAAATTCCCTTTGGTTCCATTTGACCGTGAGTAGTGTTTAGAATTCACGAAGAAAGCGTATTTTAGCCAAAGGCAGAAGATTCGTATTTGAACGGAGCGCAGCGAGATGATATAATATTCTTTCCCGCGAAAATCACAGAAAAAAAAAAAAAGGTTAACAGATAACTTCCCATTTATTTTTTCTCGCCCAAGTAACAAAAATGTTCCCTTCCCTGTCCCCCTCCAATCGCACTTCAACCAGTCGGGGGAGGTGAGTGTAGAATTGTTAACAAATCCCTGGAAGGCTTGGTTACCTAATTAAGCCTGGTGTCTACGCTCCTTTGGAAAGCGATCTCAAAAACATTTCTGCGAGACGCCATAGCTAAACCTTAACATGGACGCCCAGAAGGAATCTAGGCTGGTTGGGACTGTTGTTCACTCAAATGACGAATCTAACGGAGGACAACGTGGAACTGGAATGGAACCTCCACCGCCATACACTCAAGTGCCACAGTATAGAGAGGAAAACCCACAAGTAATTCAGAATCCCACAATACAACAACAATGGCCGACTCAACCTGGATCCAACTTCGCAGGAAGCGCTCAACAGGGTCAACAGCAACCGTCCTATTCCCAACAGCCGGGTGCATTTCATCTGTACAATACTGGGTATCCCAGACAATATTATCCTGGTCCTAATGTCGTCAGTGGAGAAGTTAATCATCGTCGGCAGCAGGAGATAACGATCCAACAAGGGATCGCCAACACGGTGGTCATCAGTCGTAGGTACCCTCGGCGAAGCTGTGCCTACCGTCTCACCCGGCTCGGCGTTTCGTTCTTCCTGGTAGGTTTGGTATTACTTATTGTGCTTGGTGTCCTTATCGTCCATCCCACCATGAACGACATGAAGCTGAAGAAAGCCGTGTGCACTGTCACCTCTAGTGAAATGACAGGAGAGGATAAAAGTTGTAGTTGTGGTCGGTACTGTTCTTCGTCTTACCCTTGTCTCGAGATAAGAGTGGGCTACCACGCTAGCGGTGAGGAACACACTGCTTATCTGTATGAAAATGTTTACGACAGCAAAAACAAGGTGAGAGGTGACTTTTTAGTAAACAATTTTAGTTTTTATTAAGTATATTTTCGGCTGAGTAACACGCAGTACTCGAAACCTTCTAAAATCGTCTTTGGACAACGTTAAAATTTTTTCACTTTCTAGAAGCGCTTGAGGATTCTAAATGAAGACGAAATATTTCCAATAGAAATTGGTATTTTCCAAAGAGAAATATGGACGAATATTAGACTACCGGACGTTTAGTTGTTCGAAGACCGTGTCCGGTAGTGTCCGGTGAAAATTTTATTAGTGGAACGCTTGGATCTCCGCACTCTGTGTACAAGGTCAGCGAAACAGATAACGTTGGCATTTTTTCACTTTCACATTTACTTAGTAAATATCAAAACAGGAATGTATTACAGTATTAACATATAATACAGTATTTATTAACCACTGAAATTATTACAATAAACATATCATTTACTGTATATGCTGGTACATCATACTTGTAAGGAAAACCTTCATGTGTTTACTTTCAGTGCACATTTCATATAGTTTATCATTTCAATTAGTGACAAAATTGTTCACACACATCACCTTTGAAAAGGTTTTAGTGGACTAACATAACAGTTTTATTACTAATCAAAACTGTAACAAAATTCTCAAACGTGATTGGTCATCACCAGCCTGATTTGAGCGCTAACTGGACGGTGTGTGCATCATGCTTGTAATTGGACAGTGTAATAGGACAGTTACAGGGACAGTTAACACATCATACCTGTGTAAGTGGACAGAACCCATCATGTGCATGGCCTGTTGTCTTGCAATTCGCTGAGTTAACAGTTTTTTTTTTTTTATGAAAACATACAACTAATGTCTAGTTTCTTTCTCAAATTTTGTCATGGTTTTGATAAATTAGTAACAGGACTTTGTGTTGTCCAATTCTGTCGGTAATCATACTCATAATTAACAAATCAGACTCCTGCTTCATGGTCATTCAATTTTGTTAAGTATTTGTGTGATTACAGACCGAACTGGACTTCACTTGGTCCTATTACCATTATTTGTACCCTTGTTTTCACCCAGTCTCTCCCTGCACTAAGGATCACTGTGTTTTCTGTGATTGAACAACATTTAACCTTTTACACCCTATCATCATTACGCATTTTCTCTTTACTGTTCTCTATACATTTCCTAAGGTGCTAACGAGAGAATTTGTTTAACAATCAAGAGCTTCTTTAGTTGGTGATTATTTCCTTTCTTGTCATAACTTTAATGTGTGATTCAAGGGTGATATTGTAAGGAGAAATTAGATGCCAGTCACTCTTAATGGACAAAGGGTTCAAGAGTTTCTTCATTTGCTGATCATTTCCTTTATTCTCATGACCTTAATGTGTGATTCAAGGGTGATATTGTAAGGAGAAATTAGATGCCAGTCACTCTTAAGGGTTAAAGGGTTAATAGGAAGATGTGTTTTATGGTGAACTACATGGCATTGTAAACTTATTTTCTACTTTTGTTCCCAAACATTTTTTTTATTTGTAGGAATTCATAATTACATAATTTCTACATAGACTTCTTACAATGTTGGTCGCATTACAATCCTTCAGTTGCAGAAAAATACTAAAATATGTAGTTTTACAGATAGACTTTGTCAATTTTTTGGCCATTGTATAATATTATTGTTATATTTTTGTTACAGTGTAGCACTCAGCCATGTGATACTTACATGTATGGAAACTACGAAAGTGTATCAAGCTTCGAAAACAAGTATGGTCAAGTTCATGATACTTACACCTGTTACTATAATCAAAAGAAACTTGATGAGGTGTTTTTAACAAGATCTTCAGTGAAAAGTGATGAGATGAAGATTTTGCATTGCATTTTGTGGCCGATGCTCATCATCGCAATGAGTGTTGGCCTCCTTGGTACCCTGTTTTGCCGATCCAAGGGCCACTGCTGCTTTAAGAAGACAAATGGTTCCTCTGTTCCCTACCAAGGCCTACAGCCAACAGCTTGAGGCCATGACAAGTCAGAAGTGAGTATATGGAAGTGCTTTTTGATAGGGTGGCAAAACGAAAAATGGAAGTGACTGCAAAGTGAAAACTTTAGATAAAGATAATTAATTTAACCAGTTGCCCAATTTATTAGTTTAGTACATAGAACAAATAGTTTGAACCAATCATGGTTGGTTGTTGCTCAAAAACAGAGCATTTCCAGATTACCATTGAAGCCCTCTTTAAAAATTGCTTCATGGCTGAGTTTGCATAATCTCTTAACTCCCTAGATCTGATTTGTAATCTTCCCTCTAACTGCTACACATTTCCTTTTAAACCAGTAAAGAGAATTTCTTGTTGGATCAAGATGAAAACTTCTACTTGATAAGTTTGAGTATTCTCATTACCTGTTTGCTGGATGATGTGTAAATATAATAGAGAGAAGTTACATGCTAATCACTTCCGGGTGTTAAAGGGTTAAGCTTTCAATAACACATTTATTGTTTTAGGTTAGATCAGCTTGACATTTTTTAAGGATTTCTTTTTCTTTAAACACTTTATTTGCAGCTCAATTGGGAAATCATTTCATTACTTGTGCTAATAAATGATAGAGCCCTGCAAACTTAACCCCTTTAACTCCCACTGTCTGCCATATAGTTCTTATGATGTTAGTTTGGAGAATTTGGTATTGGATCAACTTATAATCCTATGATTAATATTTTTCTTTATTTTCATCACTTGTCTGCTTGATTTTGTATTGATATTGTAAGGAGAAGTTCTGTCTCAGTCACTCATGGGAGTTAAAGGGTTAACTACTAAGGGAAATAAAAAATATTTTTACCCTTTAACCCTGAAAATTGTCTGGCAGTTTACTTCTCTTTACAATGTCACCTCCGAATCAAACATTAAGTTAACATGGATAAAGGAAGTGATCATCAACTTAAGAAGCTCTTGATTGTTAAAACAAATTCTCCTCATCAGCTCCTCAGAAAAATTTTTAGAAAACAGTATGGAGAAGATGCAAACTGATGTTAAGGTGTGAAGAGTTCATGTAACAGGAGTTAATGAGGCCTATGTTAGATTTGTGAAAATCCTCAGGAAACCCTAGTAGCTTTGAGTGACTGTTTCCAAGATTTCCATACTCAAGTTTGGTCTTTTCTCGTTTATCCATGTAACTTTGAATATTAATCACATTTTTTTAACGATACTTTAAAAATGCCTTTTATTTTGTTGTGTGGTTGAATTTTTCTGTATTCTGCATGATATAAAGATGCAGACTCCTGGGTCACTTGAATATTATCACCAGGAAAGGCATGATTAATTGCACTAAGACGTTACATAAACTTGTACTATGTGACGAAAAATAAGGTACTTAGTTGTTTCTGAAGATGCTGTGATTGTTAAATAGCATGCATAGATACAGTGATAGCATATATAATTGCCAAGACCATAATGATGAGCAAAGAGGGTAAGTTTCTAAAGAAACTGTGATTCTGTGTCAATGGGGATACACTAAAATAATTTGCTTTTATTTAAAATTTATGTATCATAATGTAAGTTGTTTGCCACTGTAAAGAGTCTCAAAAGCTGAAGTTTCAAGGGCGAAGCCCTTTGTCAGGTGTAGGAATTGACTGACACAGCTAAAACACTTAGCAATGTCATATTAGCACAGGAAAGATAAATCAATATAACATGGTTACCTAAAGAGTGATGTCTCTATAATATGTAATGCTTCATTTGAAGGTACTGCCAAGTAAGTCTGGCATTCTCAAGGTAATCCTTAAGTAAACTCTCCATACTTGAGTTGGGAGGAGCATTTGTAGCAGAATACACTGTGTGTCCCATAAGGTAAGAAAAAAAAACATATGGCACTGGCTTGTGCTTCTTATTACATGTAACTAGGGACGCTACCTTAATTAGAGGTGCTAACATCTGTCACGAAAAGCAACAAAACAAAATATATAGAGAGTGAAGGGTGGAGTGTTGGGAGGAATTTGATGGACTGGACTTTACTTTTTTCTGAAAATGGAAAGTCAAAGTTCACCTTTCTGGAGCATTTGCTTGGGATTTGCGTGCTTTGCCTGTTTTTGATAACAACATAACTACCGGTAGGTTTGTTCTCTCGTATTATTGAATGCAATATTCAGTACTTCCTGCATTTTGAATACATTTAATCTGAGCAAGAGTAAGAAAACCGATTCTTCCTGATAGGAGACAGACTATTAGTTAGTTCTTATTTGGCTTGGGCTAGAATATATCTGTCTAGACCTGTTTTGGGAGTTTTGTTATTTTGTATTTCTATTTTATTGGAGTAAATATAAGCTATATTGGACTCAGATAGTGTTTGTGTACTTGAATTCCTCAAAGGAAAACTTTCATAGATTTATTGTACCAACAGTTACATACATTTGGGATTGTTTTAGCTTTGAAAAATCAAAGGAAAACTTGTAGACATAAAGGAATTAGCTTCAACAGTAATAAGTATGTCTTCTTGTAAATAAACTTTAAGATTGATGTCTTAATCGTGTAGTAGAACAGGATGGGTGGGGGGAGGGGGGTGGGGTGGACCCTGAAGATTATTACCAATTTCCCCCCCTTCCCTCTTTCCTCGTGTTTTTTTTTATGCTCTGGTTGTAATGAGATCTAATGGTTGCTATGACAATAAACTTGGTAACAGATGATAATTACTGATAAGGCTGGTCTCTTGGGAAGGCCCCATACTTGACCCCCCTGAAATACCGTACGACTCAATGCTCTGAATGACGAGTGAATGTTGTTTGTCATAAATCACACTGAGAAAACCAGGTGGTAAAAAATAGGCCTTTTGGTCGTTGTGTTTTATCTTTGAGCAACAAATTTTTTCACTAGTATTATTATTCTATTTAATGACAAATCCATCGCTACTTTTTGTGCTTCAAAAACGAACTTAGACAAATTGGCTCAAATTTTTTTTTTTCAAACTTTACAATTATTCTGATACATGTATCAACAATCACTTCCACTTTCTCTTTCGCTTGTGCCTGGTGGAAAACTGAAATTTGGGGCAGTGCAGTGGACTTATTTACAAGAATGAAATTTTTGGAACATTTAGAACGTTGTCCCAGCCTATACCATTTGACTATACTTAAATCTCTGTTTCCGTGCACCAGATATAGGTATTGTAGTTGGCTGAAATTTGTATTCTCTCGGTCATTGTACTAGTCATGTCTTGTCTGCATGTCACCGATGTATATTGTCATTCAATTGGCTTTAGAAACTTGAGCTCATTTATTATTATACTTGAGCCATGCATGGAAACGACAACTTGTGCCTAGCGCAAAAATTGGAAATTTGGGATAATTTTAATCTTTACTATCCCGGGATAAAAACGCGCAAATATTATTTTTTTTATAGCAGGAATAAAATTTTTGGAACATTTAACAGTGATGTCTCAGCCTATACCTTTTGAGTAATTTTATAACGTCTGTCCTTGTACTTCAGATATAATTATGACACATAGCCTCAAAGTTATTCTCTCTAGCTCATTGCATCAGTCATAGCTTGTCTGTATTTCATCGCTGTATATTGGCTCTTAATTCCCATGTACTTTTAGCTTTTAGAAACTTGAGCTCATCTATTAATAGACGTGAGTTATGCATGGAAGTGGTAGCATCACCCCTACCTCTCACTGTAAAGATGAATACTATTTTGGAGAGTAAGTTTTTGAAACACTAGTTTTAGATATACGATTTCAAATACAATTGGCAATAGTAGATGAATCTTTAAAGTGGCTTACGAGATTATATTAAAGAAAACTGCGAAGAATGCGGGACACAACAATATCAGTCGACCCTTTATAACCATTAGACATTAATACTGGAGCACAGACTACACCATGAGTAACCGTGATGTACTGGATACAAGCGCGCCATATGGCACTCAGCTAAACCTTGAAGAGCTAAAAAACCTGTGTGCTCTTGGACAATGTTGGTATCTTTTTAGTCGACCAAACACAACAAGAGAAAATCACTTTTCATTTACAGTCGATTCGCGTTCATAATATTAAACAGAAAATACACTGATATACAATTAACAACCATGAATACAATATCCACTTGATGCTGTAATTAATACAGAGCAGCACTCGATGAAAACAAAGTAAATTACCATGGAAGTTACAAACAAACCGATATATGCGACCAGATCCGTGCACGCAAAACGTTCTAAAAAGGCTAATGGTAAGAGAAGTGGGTGACACTATAGGGTTAGCTTTGATGAGAACAACAGCTTTATGAATTCCTAAAGCTATTTTTCAGACATTTCAAATTAGAAATTTTTTACCCTGGCCACAAGGCTTAAGGAGCCTTAAACATTTTCATAATGCGTTTCGATCTTCTGTTTGTAGTGGCTTTACAGATAGCATTTTTATCAACGCAATCCTGGGCTCAGATAGGTAAGTGAAAGTAATTGATAACGCCGTGAAAAGAAGAACTTCGTTTTGCATTACGTAACATCATAACCTATCAATAATTAAAAAAACAAAATCGAATGTGCTTGTTGGAAAAAGGGGCTCGTCCGAGAATGATGAAAAGTTTTATTTCATTCTTTATTTTTAGTGAAAATGCACGATTTTCCACGTGGTATATTCCGTGGGTATATTTGACGTTGAGTTGGTATTTTTTTGTTTCAAACTTACACCTTACACATCACTCCAACTTAAGACCTTTAGAATACCTAGTCACCGAAGGTAACTTAGTATAACTAGATAGCATTTCCACAGAGTCTGAGTATTTGGAAACCAAATTATTTTTTTCCATATAGAATATTAAAATCACGGTTCAACCTACGAATTCGTAGCCTTTTTTTGGCTTTGTTCTTAAGATGTTTACTTCGGTAGGTTAATTATTCTATAGCTAACATTTTGAAGATTATGAAATCCAAATTAATCATGAGGTAGTTCAATGTTTTTAAAAACTGTTCAACCCTTCATTTTACCGTTTCTTCCGCTTTGCTTGTCCTGGATAACAATTATAATCATTCTCACTGTGGAACTGTAGGGATCGCCCAGATCATTCTTTAGATATATAAAGACTTTGCTTTTGTCGAGTTAAGCGATCGATTCCATGAAAGTAGATTTGTAACCTTTTATTTCAGAAATATTGTAAAATACCAAGGCGTGGTTGTCCTAACTGATAGCTCTGAGTAAAAACCCAAGTCATAACTCAAGAATGATGATATTGATATTGGCGACTGCTAGGTTGTTTTGATTGCAAACAACACGAAACTCGAATAATGCACTATGACGATCTTGATTTGAGAATGATAGATATAAAAAATAAATAAGTAAATCAATGCAAATTGTTATATTGGACATTTTCGGCAGACCATATTGAAAAGGGCATGAATTTCGGCCCTTCGTATTTTTGTAATGTGTGAAAGAAGTGACTCTTAATATCAGAGGATCAACATTAACTTCCAGCACTGATATTTGCAAAGTATATATTTTTGGTAACTTCCCCAGGAAAGGAGTAGACAACTCATAGAGTCGAACAACATTTACTTAAACCTAAGATTAAAGCCGAAAAGGGACAAGGTGGCTTCTCAGGCCTGTCGTTTTTCTAATGAACTGATTCAGAAACGCTGTTGTGTTTTCTTGATAAACTAAGAAAGATACATCTATTTCACTTTAATTTTGAACACTTGCTTAGGAATATTCCATCTCCGTATCAATCCGGCTTATTCAATATTCCTGACCGAGGTAGTACATCACAGACAACAAAATAATCGCTAAACAAAAACCACAACAAATGGAACACCGTTAACGACAAATAAACCAACGTAAAATGTCCTTTCAGGTTGAAATAACGCAATATACTATTTTGAAAAATGCTTCACCCTCACCTCTCCTACCGAAAACACTAACATAATCAACCGCTCTCTTAAATAAAACAACCATCTGTATTTTTTTTAATAAATACAGAGACAGTATCACCTTATCTATCAAGAACAGCCACACCAAGACAAGGTTCATCAGCTTCAACAGTATTATCTGATGCTGTGCCAAAGACGACAACACCAACATCTGTGCCTTCGAGTACCACACCATCAGCTGTGCTGACAAGCGTTCCATTAGATTCAACGACACCATTACCTGCTGCGTCAGAAACAAGATCAACAACACCTGCTTCAGTTAATTCAACAACATCATCAGCTGTTGTGCTAGAAAAAACAATATCCACATCTGCTACAGTGGGTTTGACAACATCAACTGTTGTGCCAGAAATAAAAAAACCAACATCTTTTCCTGTTGATTCGACAACACCATCACCTGTTGTGCAAGAAAGCACATCACAAACATCTGCCCCAGTAGATTCAGCAACACCATCACTTGACCCGACAACTTCAGCAGCAACAACAACCTACATTATTTCTGATTCAAAAACACAATCACCTACCGTGCCGGATACATCAATCTCAACTTCTGTTCAAGTAAATTCAACAACACCTTCAACTGTTGTACCAAAAGTTGCAACACTGACCTCTGTTCCAGCAGCCTCAACAACACCATCAGCTGTTATGCCTAACATAACAACGTCAACATCTGGTTCAGATGACGCAACTACATCACCACCTGTTTTGCCAGGAACAACAACACCAATACCTCTACCAATTAATTCAACAACAATTTCGGCTATTGTGCCTGGTTCAACAACGTCAACAAATAATCCTTCTGTCGAGCAACAAACAACAAGGCAAACATCCAATTCAACATCACCATTAGCTGTGGCTAAAACAAAATCACCTGCCGTGCCGGATACATCAATCTCAACTTCTGTTCAAGTAAATTCAACAACACCTGCAACTGTTGTACCAAAAGTTGCAACACTGACCTCTGTTCCAGCAGCCTCAACAACACCATCAGCTGTTATGCCTAACATAACAACGTCAACATCTGGTTCAGATGACGCAACTACATCACCACCTGTTTTGCCAGGAACAACAACACCAACACCTCTACCAATTAATTCAACAACAATTTCGGCTATTGTGCCTGGTTCAACAACGTCAACAAATAATCCTTCTGTCGAGCAACAAACAACAAGACAAACATCCAATTCAACATCACCATTAGCTGTGGCTAAAACAAAATCACCTGCCGTGCCGGATACATCAATCTCAACTTCTGTTCAAGTAAATTCAACAACACCTTCAACTGTTGTACCAAAAGTTGCAACACTGACCTCTGTTCCAGCAGCCTCAACAACACCATCAGCTGTTATGCCTAACATAACAACGTCAACATCTGGTTCAGATGAGGCAACTACATCACCACCTGTTTTGCCAGGAACAACAACACCAACACCTCTACCAATTAATTCAACAACAATTTCGGCTATTGTGCCTGGTTCAACAACGTCAACAAATAATCCTTCTGTCGAGCAACAAACAACAAGACAAACATCCAATTCAACATCACCATTAGCTGTGGCTAAAACAAAATCACCTGCCGTGCCGGATACATCAATCTCAACTTCTGTTCAAGTAAATTCAACAACACCTTCAACTGTTGTACCAAAAGTTGCAACACTGACCTCTGTTCCAGCAGCCTCAACAACACCATCAGCTGTTATGCCTAACATAACAACGTCAACATCTGGTTCAGATAACGCAACTACATCACCACCTGTTTTGCCAGGAACAACAACACCAATACCTCTACCAATTAATTCAACAACAATTTCGGCTATTGTGCCTGGTTCAACAACGTCAACAAATAATCCTTCTGTCGAGCAACAAACAACAAGGCAAACATCCAATTCAACATCACCATTAGCTGTGGCTAAAACAAAATCACCTGCCGTGCCGGATACATCAATCTCAACTTCTGTTCAAGTAAATTCAACAACACCTGCAACTGTTGTACCAAAAGTTGCAACACTGACCTCTGTTCCAGCAGCCTCAACAACACCATCAGCTGTTATGCCTAACATAACAACGTCAACATCTGGTTCAGATGACGCAACTACATCACCACCTGTTTTGCCAGGAACAACAACACCAATACCTCTACCAATTAATTCAACAACAATTTCGGCTATTGTGCCTGGTTCAACAACGTCAACAAATAATCCTTCTGTCGAGCAACAAACAACAAGACAAACATCCAATTCAACATCACCATTAGCTGTGGCTTCAGGAACAATGACCCCATCATTTACACAACCAGATTCGATAACTCCTTCAACAACAACTCTTACATCCCTTTCTGTAAATTCAACAATACCGATGAACGTTTCAAAAACCAAAACACAAACATCTGTTCCATCAAATTCAACTTCACCATCACCTGCAGTGCCAGAAACAACAGCATCACCAATCCCAGTTGTTTCAACAACATCATCCGCCATGATGACAGGTACAATAACACCAAAGTCTGTTCCAGCTGACTCAACAACGCCATCAGCTGCGGTGTCAGAAACAAAAACGTCGACACTTATTCCATCAAATTCAACTACTCCATCACCTTTAGTTCCACAAAAAACCACACCAATATCCGTTCCAGTTGATTCAAAAACAACATCTCTTGCTGTTTTAAAAATAACAACACCGTCAGCTGTGGTGACAGAAACAACGACAGGATCATCTTTTCCAGTTGAGTCATCAACAAAGTCACCTGTTATTTCAGAAACAACAACACCAATATCTGCTCTAGTTGATTCATCGGCACAATTATCAGTTTTTTCAGAAATAACCACACAAACATCTGTTTTATTGGATTCATCACCAACATCATCTTTTCTGTCAAAAACAACAACTTCAGTGGCTGTTCCATCAGATTCAATGACATCATCACCTGTTGTGCTACAAAAAACAATGCTACCATCTGCCCCATCCCGTTCAATGACATCATCAGTTATTGTGCCAAAAATGGCAACACCAATATCTGTTCCAGAAGATTCAACAGCATCAACTAATCTGCTAGCCACAGCAACACCAACGTTTGCCTCATCAAAACAAACATCTGTTCCGTCAGCTTCAGTAACATCCTCGGCTGTTGTTCCAAATTCAACAATATCAAAACCAGTTCCATTAGATTCAACAACTCCATCAGCTGTGGTGCCAGAAACATCAATAACAGTAACTTTTCCTCCGGACTCAAAAGCAAAATCAACTGTTGTGCCAGAGACAACGACATTAATATCTACTACATCAAGTTCAACAACAACATCACTGGTTGTGCCAGAAACAACTGCAATGTCTGCTCAAGTGGATTCAACAGCCTCACCAACTGTTATGATAAATGCGACATCAATAACACCTCTTCTGTCGGACTCAGTCACATCGATATCATCGTCTGTCGTTTCAGAAACAACAACAACAATTACAACATCAACATCTCCTTCATCGGATTCCATGACAACTCCGCTTGATTTGCCTAAAATATCAACGCCAACATCTTTTCCAGTTGATTCAACGACACCATCAGTCGGTGTATCATCAACAGTATTACTAACATCTGTTTCATCAGATTCAAGAGCACGAACGACACCAGCTCCTCCGCCATCAGATTCAAGAACACCAACCACTGTTGTGCCAGAAACAACAACACAAGCATTTGCTGCATCAAGTTCAACAAAACCATCAGCTGCTACACCAAGTATTTCGATTGCTGTATCAGATTCAACAACGCAATCGGCTGTTTCACGTGTCTCAGCAACATCAACAGCAACCGCATCAGATAACACAACGCCAACAACTGCCGCGTTAAATACAGCAACAAGATCAGCTGGAGCATCAAGTAGTGTTCTCAAAGCCACCCCGTCTTCTCGAGGCCTTATGGCTTTTCGATGATGGTGTTGGCCATCACTCTTTGATGTTTTTTTAAAAGGAAGCGTTATCTTTTTTGTCCTCTTTAGGTTAAGTTCTGTTAAAATGTTTTTTTTAATGTTTGGTGGCAGAGTGTGAAAACGTAATTAACTTTAACATCGAGCTGGCGTGTGAATAGCTATGGAGACAGTTTTAATGTCTTTAAGCTGAAATGATTGTTCTGAATAATAATTAGTAGTTCTTCGTGACTCTGTTTAGTTACACAGATTCATGAATTGAGTTTTAAAACTGCTTAAGATTTTGCTTTCGAAAGTTTTCCCCAACTAACAAGAAATGTTTTCTCAGACCGGAAATTGCTTTGTTGATTTATGCATACTTTGATTATAGGTAGTGTTTGTGTTCCATTGGTTTGATCATTCACGGCATGAAGTTATTAAACTATAACAAGAAAAATTACTTATCCTGCTTCACAATCCGCTATTACAGAGAATACAACATCATTTATGATAAAAACTCAATAATAACAGCTTTAAGATGAAAAAAAGTATTATCACCTCAGTAAGTACCAAACCAGAGAACTTTTATACACAAACACAAATGAGTGACACCGGTAACAACTAACATTGCGAGATAGGTAATTTGGAAAACTTACAAATATTCTTGGCTAACACACCGCTGTTTTTTGACTCGTACGTGTTGCTTCAGGGCGGCAACTTTGTAAATTAGTTTGGAGGAAGTATGAAGAATTTCAAAGCCAAAATGAGATGTTGTTTTCCGTTTTCAACGAGGTAGCTTCATATGAGAAAGAGTACATCCATAATTCATCGTTCATTTCGGTGAGCCAAAACGAAAAAGAAATGGACAGGCAAACATACAAAAACATAAAGAATTCCAGCTCTTTTGTTATTAGATAGATGAGATGTCAGTGGTTAGCCAATCAAAGCGTGCCCATTGCTGTCATTCGGTAACAAAGCACGTTATAAATTCAAAAATAAAAATTTTTGCAGCGCAGTTTACGGCTTTCTCGTTGCTTGCCACTATGAACCACCTCTGGGTCTGCACTTATTTTTCTCTGACATTAACTTATCCCGCTATCTCGGGGAAAACGAAGTGTCCAGGTAATGTAAATGTAACTGATCTAAGGAGAAATGAGAAAGATCTAATTCAGACATGTGATGTTCATCTTTTTCCTTACTTGAAAAGGTATTGAATGGTGCTCTCAATTACGTTGTTAAGTAGCTTTAAGTGTCCTCTCCTTAAAAGGGATAATACTTTCCATGTTAAGTGGACTTTTAGAAATTGATATGAGAGCGAAAGAGATTACAACTGACAATCAGGCATTTGAAGGTTTTTGCAAGAATATTGTTCAAATCGTTTGAAAATAGACTGTAGATATATGAATATAAAATCAATTCCTGACAATTTTCTCTTTGTATCAAAAGACAAGAATTGCCATGATAATAGCGTTGCTATGGTGTAAAAACAGCATATAACCTGTCCCGGAAAAAGCCCCAAAAATATCCCTACACAAATGCTGCTTTCACCCTTCCCTCGTATTTTAATCGAAGCCCAAGCGAGGAAAAAGTAATTATGGCTTGACCGTCTCTTCAAAACATCTTTCATTCTAGAGCTGTGATAGTAATGGCTTGGGTTGCAAATCCAACTCTCATATGTCCCCAGTTTTCCAACGTTGTCATAAGCAACCGTGAACATGATTCGCTTTAGGTCAAGAAAATTTTAATTCCCCTCCGTATCTTATGGGAAAAAATTTCCGAAAAGATATACATGTAGGTGAAATTCATTTTAACCTTTAATAACACACGATGGCTTTTTGGGGTCACGCAAGTGAAAAATTGGTTATTTGTTTAACCCTATGAGCAAAATTGTGTAGGTTAAATATATTTAGAAGCCAATTTAAGATATTGTTCATGATGAAGTTTCTATACACAGCTGGATACCTAAGCCGGAGGATAGATAACAGCGCAAAATGCTTATTTTCGTCTATATTTTCGGTTATTAATCCACCCGAAATGCAAATGAATGGATGTAAATAACAATCGACATTGGCTCGTATTTAAAGATAATTTTTGTCAAAGAGCCAACATAAAGAAACTTATTGATTTGCGCTTGCATGCAAGGAAATTACGAAAGATAAACAGTCGGTTTTTTTCTAATTGAAACCGACGGTTAGCGTAATGTTTCTTTCGGAGAACTGAAACGCGCCTTTATCTCGGTCTGAAAAGGTGTTAAAATGTTATTTCTGTCATTAACATAATCGTTCAATAATATGCGCATTGGTGTCCCATGAAACGCTTTAATTTGTGAAGATTTCTAGCTGCTTCCTAATTTTGTTTTCATCTATCATTTTTTATCATATCTTGAAGTTATTGCGTAATTTTTTAGCTGGAAGCAAAGGAAATTGGTCCCAACTGCTTTCAATTTTCCTCTTGACCTCGACACAAATTTGCGTTCACTCGGGCTCTCTGTTGGAAACAAACTTTGTTTTTTTCTTTGTGTCTGCATTTGCCAAAGTTTCTTTATGCAATTATTGGTTTATCCTTTAACTGTTTTCTGTCTTGGTATGTCGGAGATGCAGGTTTCTCACATATGTATACAGAGAGCTGAAAACAGCATTTGTTATGTAGTGTACAGACACTTTTCTGGGGTGGGGGGAGGTAGTGCCATATGTTATTGGCTATTATTTCAATACTTATTACTAGACGTTATTTCCTTTTTTTTTTTTTTTTTTTTAGTTTTCACTTGATTAAATATTGTTTTGCGGGTTAAGGGGTTTTAGCGGGGTGAGTCATTTACCACATAGGCTGTCTCCTTATGTTTTCCTTTTCTTGGTTAACAAAAGATTTCAGGGTGGGATAGCTTTTAGTTATAAACAGCCCCAAGTGCAAGGGTGATGACACTCAACCCAAGCAAGAAAACCAATTGCTTATTTTCTTATCACTAAAAGAAAACAAAAAGTCACAACCAGAGCTAATTTTCAGATATGGACGACTCAAAGGCTCCTCGTAAAGAGGTACAGTACTGATATCCCTCTATCGCAGTTTCTTTGTGAACAGTACCAGAGTAGCTTTCACTGTATTCCAGTTGATAATCAGTATCAAACACATTTAATGCTGTTGGTAATTCTGACTGCCTTAACAACGCCTGTCTGATTAATCATGACAAACTTGAAAAAACCGATTTCCAATATTCATTATTTGCATAAGATCAATTGTAGAGCTGATCCCAAGTGTGCCATTGTAGATCAAAGAGCACAAACTCATCACAAGACATTGTTATCCTGCATTCTGCCCAAAAACTAACTCGTTACCTTGACCATATGGAGCTGCTATTCTTTTGTTGGGTCAACAAACATTGGAGGACCAGGATTTTTTTCTATGTCTCTACTTAAACTATAGTTGCAATAGGACAAATCAATTTGTACAAGAAAAAGATGTTAAATATCGACTGGCCCGATACTTTATCTTTCTTATACTTTGACGAATTCTTTCACGACAGTTAAACTTAAAAGTCGTTTTATTTAATAGATTTTAAGCATTTACATAATAGTACAATGTAGATGACATGGGTATACATGAAAGAATACGTGCATAGACAAATTTTCTAACCCTTCTGCTCTTAAGCTTGTTCCCTAAACTTTTCAAACTTCGTATTGGTATTCTGCTTGGTTCACGATCACGTCTACATACCCGATGAAATTTGCTTTTATGCTTCTCTCGATTAGCATCAGGTAGCTCAGTTGATATAGCATGTTTCTCGATGAAAGGTTCACTCTTAAATGTTCGCTTGTAAAGAGATCTCTCATAAGGTTCGCAGACCGACCCGTTCCGAAAACTCTCGACATCTTTTACTGTGAGTTTACCGCGAACGCTGTGTGCATATTTTGTATGCGTTTTAAGCGTATTATACACAGTATCTGTACTTATTTTGCACCGCAAAGACCTCTCTTCTTCCGCCGTTACACCATACCATGTACTCATCAGTCAGAACGTCGCGCATGCGGGTTAAGCACTTGAGTGCGATTTGCAACTGAACGTGAAAAGCGTTGAAAGCCCAAGTGAAAATGAAAAACAAACACAAAAAAAGTGCTAATACGGGTCTAGTATGTCATTCTGCCGTGGTGTAAAATTTCAAGTCTTATTAGTGAGAACAGCAAGTTGGGATGACTGTGCGGATAAGAACTTAAGACTTTTAAGCAATTAATTCTGAAACCTTGAAAGAAAAGAAACTGCATATCATTTATATTCTAATTATAACTGGACATCGTGTTCGACACGATAAAAGATCTATCGAAAATATGCAAATTTTCACGAAGCCTAGCAGTTACAACTCGTGCGAAGAACAGAAGAGATTTGAATTATCGAGAAGAGCAAAGCAGTGCCCGCACCCCTTACTTCAAGAGTTCTTGATTTTTTGTTGTGGAAGATCGTTTGAAGTGCAATGATCAACAAAATTCGTTAGGCCATTCTCAACCTTTATTGGTGTTCACTGGCATATAAATGAAAGACGTTCCTGAAGATCTTACGAGAACATTTCTTAGTGTTTTCGTAATCGATGCGAAAAGTAATTTATTGGATTGCAAGATGTTACTAAAAGAATTGTCTCTTATCCAATGGTTTTTTTGAAAGTATCGGCGTTTTAAAAACGGAAATTCTGTTTTGAGATGTTTTTGAGAGTCAGGTGATTATCAAAACGCAGGCTGAGGAGATTATTTGCCTTAATCAGCTGTTTACAACGCTATTCGTGCAATGCAAATAACCTCACTATTTTCATGAATACCGTATCCCGATCTTCGTCTGTTATGAATTTAACACTCCTATTTAGACTACTGTTTACGCCTATTGACTTTTAAGAAGTCTTGTTTTAGAAAGATAAGCTAGTTCCTTTGTCATATAATTAATCTTACTGGTCAAATGTTGAGCCTTTCAAACATTCGTTTATATTTTTTAGATGTCACAGACCTTGTTGCTAATTGGACCCTCGACGGCACTGACAAAGATGTAATGTAAGTCAAAGACAAACTGTGATTGCAATACCAGATTTTTTTCTAAATTGTGGCTTAACGCTGACTGGTCACTTCTTGTTTACACAACAATATTCATGAAATGTTTCCTGTGCTCATGGTTTCCTGAATTTGACATTTATTACCAGCTTCCATAAGTCTCCTCTTTTTTTCCCCAGAGACAATTGCAAATTTACCTCAGTCATTCGTATTAGAGTAACAGTTTGACAGTTTTGAACCGTATTGTGGTATTATTTCTTAACTCTCCATCTTTAATGATAAATACTTTCATATCCCAGCTTGCGAAATAATGCTTCCTATAAATCTGAAGATGGCGTAATTGCTTTGTATCTGGATGGCAAGGGTTCATACGCCGACACACCATCCACCGACCTCTATCAATTTTCGGCGTTTACCATTATGTGCTGGGTAAAGGTCTTAGTACCCGCAAAAAATAAGGGGTACATCTATGCTGATTGGTCCAGACCTTATCAGTTTTCTTTTTGGGTCAACGGTATCCACAAGTCACTCCTCTTCCATCTAAGAAACGAACTGGGAAGAGACATTCTTGTGATGCACAGGAGGTAAGCTAATTGGTTTAATTCCTCTTTGTAACCTTTGCTAAGGGTTCTTACTTGCGCAGCGATGTACAGCAGGACTCTGATGATCTTTCGCAAATTGTCGGGTGCAACATCAATCGTCATTAAAAACGACGAAACTCAAAGAACGTGAAAAAGTAATGGGTAATTAAAAATAGTTATTATCACTCTTATACAGCATACGAATATTCATTGAAAATCCCACCATCATTCAGTACTCTATGGCAGAACTTCATTTTGTTTCGGATTCTATGGTTTGTCATATGTGTCAAAACACTCACAGGGTTATCTAATTTTGTTTAAACAAGCCGATCGTTTTGGAAAACTTTTCATTGCATCTTCATGTTTACTCCACCCATCTCAAAAGGAGGTGATGTTCATCTTTGTCTTGCAGGGGAATACGTCTGGGCGTTTGGATGCACCTGGCAGTCACGTGGGATCAGCAGAGGCAGGTTGCTGAAATGTTTTTCGACGGAAGTAAAATAGGAGAGCAATCCCCTCTTCCTGGCAGGTCAGGCTATAGTATTATAAGTTCTCCCAGTACATATTATCAGATTGGAAGCAAGGCAGATACCAAGGAAACATTCCATGGACTCGTCAGAAAAATGAAGGTCTATAAGAGATTGCTGAACAGCAGCGAAATATTTCAGGAGGCAAGAATGTTTAAAGAGGATGGTATGTTCTGATGCCTTTGACTGAATGTTTGCCCCTTCTCTTTTTGATAAATAAAATATTTCAGGAACAGAAATTTTGGGACCGTAACACCACTCAATGTGTTATTTTTCCCTTCTTGTCCTTCCTTATAGTTTTGCAGATATGTTTCTCCCTACATATGATAAAATGTTGATCTGCACCTTCAGTGTGTCTTCATCTCCATCAACGAGACGCTGGCCTGCATGGACTAACGCTACCTACTTTCTTAAAAACCTTGAATGTCCTTTCTATCGATAATTTTTTACGTGAAGAAAGGCACTCGAGAAAATCTTTATCATCTTGCTTGATTTAAGACAATGTGTTCGAACTTTTAACAACAGTTTGCCAAATATTCAAGGTGAATACTTGAAAAAAATTACAAATTTAACACTTTTGAAGCTTTATGGGTCAATGTTTTCAATTTTCTTATGTTTCAGCTTATCACTTCAACACATGGCTTATAATCAAAAACACGCGTTTAACTCTGGATCTTCTCATTCCAACGAGTGCGCAATACAAAGAAATGAAGGCTAAAGTGATGGCAAAGGTAATACACAAAATAAACTAAGAAGGAACAAAGTAAATAAGAGAAAAAAAAGGATAAAGGGATAAGGAAATTCTGAAAGTAAGGACAAAGACAAACAGGCGGACTAACCGGGAATATCAAAAGAAATGCTGGTAGAACAGAAAGGAAAAGAGCGGAAATTAAGCTCATTTCCTCTTAAAGAAAATTATTCTCAGAAACATTATCGTAACAAAGTCTGGTCAAGCATTTTACCTCCAAAAGACAAAGTTTATAATTATTCGTTAATATCCTCATCGTTTAAGAAACATCATCTTTAAAAGTGGTGCATAACAAAAGCTGCAGAAATAGCTGAAGATACAACTTATGTAAAGAGTTATCCATCTAATACGATGATCAACACCTTTTTCAGTTCAATGGAATGGTTCGCGGATTTCCAGGATTTTTCTCCGCCGAATTGCAGCGATTTGGGTAAGAGTTATGATGAACACTTGAGTTTTGGTTTGTCTGGTAAACACATCTTTTGTAGCCGTATTACGAAGAGCAAAAGGACCAATCTTAGGAACCTGACTGACTGACTGGCGATGGCAAGGCTTGATGTGACAACCTTATAGGGGATTGAATAATTATTATTTTACCTCATCTCATGCAAGAAACAGATAAAGTCAGCATCATTTTTCAGAAATTAATTAGTAGCTTTGCTCTTTCTCCTTCTGCTTCCATTCTTTTTCTTATTCTTTTTTTTCTGAAGTCCGCAGAGTGTTGACAAAATTTTCAATTCCACGGCTGTATTGATGGCAGACATAAATATCTCCTGCAACAGCGAGCAAGTGAAATTTCAGCTGATGAAAAAGATTAAGAAAGAATTAGCTTCCGTATCGTTGTTTAACAAGACCTATATTGACTTTTTGGATACAGGTGATTATGCCCTTTTGATTTTCTTTGTATGTTGTTGGTCTTGAGCCCTAGATATTTCTAAGTTCTCTTCACCTCGAGCTTAGGCCTCTCTCTTTGTCGTGGGGTTGATCACATTTTGGCTGTGCGTTGATCATGAAACTCACTATAAAACTCCCCGTTGTCTGGAAGTTTACCGCATCGAAAAGATTGCGCTCCGGTGGTGCCGCTCTTCTGGAACATCTCTATTCAGGAACACTTCTATTCGGGGGAAAGTAGCTATTGTTCTGGGTGAAACAGAGATTACGTTTGCAATTGCTTCGGTTGCGTCAAATTGAGGAACATACGAATGTGTATGTGTGCCTGAATTTGAACATAAGGAGATAGGTACCAAAAGCTCTTTCCTGGGCCACGTCCATTCAAGAAACTCCTTCATTCAAAGAACACCTCCGTTCGAGAAATTGTTATTTCAGTCTATAATAAAAATGTGGGATGCTACAGCACAAAAAAAAAAATTTCGCCTCATTTCAGTCTTGCAAATTCCTACAGCGATTACAATATTCTCAGGTGCAAATCTCGGGTGGATTCCTCAGAGGTAAATAACAATGTTTCAGATCCATCAAATATTTTTACTAGCTAAAACTAGAGAATATCCGAGGATATACCTCAAGTAATATTCTCCAATCAGCGCGCGCCTTTAACGCTATCCACTGTTTAGGATACTCTTATTACTTATATTTAATCAAAACAAGGGACGTCCCCATTTAGGGTACACTTTCCCTGTTCCCGGGTTTTTCCCTTAAATAATGTCATAAATGTAAGCAGAAGTTGTTTGACGTCAAATCTGAAGCCAGCGTGAGTTAGCAAGACTATCTGAAAGACAGTATGGGTAATATGTATTATTTGATGAAGCTATACCATTTCGGGAGATTTTTATCCTGATTTAACCCAATTATTTTCTCAGCAAACTGCAAATGTCTCCCTGCAAATGTTGACGTAAACTTGAGCAAGGTACTGGGACAAGTAAAGGTGATCCATACAACCGACGTGATTAACTTTCAAGCAGAAGTGCAGCATTCGCGATGTAGTTCTGTGGCACAATCGCTATCATACTGGCTCATCACTAAAGCACAATTAACGGACAGAACATTTTACAGCTTTATGCGCAACGCCATGAAACAAAGTAAACCTGTCTGGTCTACGCAACGAAGAGTTTTTATCGACCGATTCTATCACGTTAGCTACATTTTACGAGCCAAGTCGGATCTCAGGATAATCGGCTATGATTATGGTTTCATACAAGTCACGCGAAGAGATTTCGTTGCCAGAATTTCAGGAGTATCTTCCGCGGAAATTGGAGGAGGGAATATATCCTTTGTTGGCTCCCTTCCATATGTTCGAAATTCTGATCTAGCAGATTCATTGATATTTACCTGGTTTTGCAGAAGAAGCTACGAAAAATTGCCAAAACGCGTTACCCTTCCAGTTGTCGATTCTCCCAAAGGGAACGCAAATGCTTCCGGAGGTTGCTATGGATACGGCCCGGGAAGACTTATGGGTCACAAGACTGCTATTGTTGTTCAAGTCGACAAAATGGAAAGTGGACAAACTTATGTTTTTGAACTTGATGTCTCAGATGGAGCTAGTAGTTCTAGGGATGTTCATGAATTGACCGTGATAAAAAAACCACATGCATCATTTTCAATGAGGTAATTATTCCTCGTTTGTAAAATATCTGTCTTCTTGCCCGGTTTTCAGTCAAAGGAATAACTGATAGTGTATAGGGCCATTATATCCCTTTACGAAAACGTGTTGATATTATTAGGGAGACTTAGTTTCCTTTAAAGTCTGCAAGCTTTTTATGCTTAACTTTTTGTATTTTCAGTCAGACATGCACATGCAATCTTAAAAAACATTCCTGATTCTCTATAGAGGGTCCAAATTTATGACCTCTTGACTAGACTTTCAGAGGCTTTAACAATGTGTGAAAGGAACTCGAGTTAGCTAGACCACTGATTTAGTATGATTCATTTCGTCTCACTCTATATCGTTTGGTAACAGTAGCGTTTTGCTATTTCAAACCTGCACATCTGCAACCCGTAGCTATCTCGCACGCAGCTGTCTCCTTCCTTGAACAGGAATTGTACCAGAGCATTACTGAATATATTAAGCAATACCAAGCACCTAGAGTAGTTATCGTCGACTTTCACTCGGATCAAGATCAAGGGGGCTCATCGGTAGCGATTTTCGATAAACGTCGTGACAGTAACATTTATTTCAATTTTACAGCTGCATCTACAATTGTGGACCTGAGGTTATTCCGACCAAGCGAATGATATTTGAATCCCGATGCAGAGGGAACCTCTGTGAAAAAGTTACTGGCTATGACTGGTCTTTATATGAGAAAGCGGATCCCAAGAGTTCGTGGGTGCAAATCGCAGACTTAGCAGAACGAATACTCACGGACCTAGACAACCCAACCCTTGTTCTCACCGGCAGGATGAAAGAGAATGAGTATTCACTCAAAATGAATACCGCATACAAGATAGCTGCCTCCATAAAAATGGCTGGTGGATATTTTAGAGATGACAGTATGGTGTTTCAAACCGTTGTGCCATTAGAAGTTCCTAAAGAGAAGTGTAATGTCCAGCCGAAAGAAGGCTTTGTAATTAAAACTTTATTTTTGGTGAACTGTTCTGGCTGGCGTATTGGAAACGATAATTTGACTTTCAAATACAGGTAAGTTTTGCAAGAGGAAAAATGCTCAGTTCTTTCTTCTTGCCAGCTGAAAACATTAAAAAACTATGTATTTTGGTGCAGTGCATTTTCCATTTGACGCCTGTTAAAATTGAATTCAGCATTTCTCTTTGTTCGATGTTTGACCTTATCTCTCAGATATTTAAAGTTGTGAATGACTTGCTATGGCCGACCTTTCCTGAAACGTTCCTAATTATCTCTGCTTCTCTCTCTTTTGATTAATAAGCTCCTTTGATGACGTCATCACCTTTTTTGCAGTTACAATACTTCAAGGAGCATTGTGACAGCTGCACGGCCTCAAAATGCACCATATATATCTCTTAAGCTCCCACAAGGGTATCAGGCTAAAGATTACAATGTCACCCTTAGAGTTGACATAACTGATGTAAGAGAATCAAGCTACAGCGATATTGTCACCGTAAAGGCAAGTTTAATTATAATAAAACGGCCTACTCCTACTACTGGAAAATTCGCTTGTTGTATGATTTCCACATTGGCTTCTAAGGGTCTTAGGGATGTTTGCGAGTGTCTGTGTGTCACGTCTGCTTAACCAATAAGGAAACCTAAGCTATTAAATCTCACCTCATTACAAGAAAAAGCCCAGTTTTCCATTCTAAGATCAACGTAGCCAGCGCATCCAAAACAGTAAGATTGATATCAAATGAACAAAATCGATAATGTATATTGGCCTCCATAAAGAATTTCCATGGCTGACGAAGGGCTAACCGGCTCGAAACGTTAGCTGTAGAAAATATTTACGGCGACTACTTTACATTATCAAGTCATCGATTTAAAAGAATTTACATAGATATCAATTGACTAGAAAAATTGTGAACATAGCTAAGGAAATTTCAGTTAAATCTCACGGTCTTTTCCGAATCTTAGGTGAAGCCATTGCCTCAGAATGACTCTTCAATGAATGTTGAAACATTGATGAACGACCTTGGGAGCCTCCTCGAGGAGACAAAATTCAGCGAAGCTGCTACTTTGGCGATAGCTATTCTTAGTTCATACGTTGAAGACAGAGTACGTTCCTTTTTTGTCGAAGTTTTGTTGATGAGCCTGTTTCCATACTTCTCCTCTAAGGAGTTATGTTCATAATCAACAATAATAAAACTACAGGTGTATGTTCTTTCCATTATAGACGAAGGACTCTATATTGAAGGCTATGGCTGATATCAAAATCGCGGATGTTAGCCAGGTCACAGGACTATCTACGATTGTTGTCATGGCAACACAAAACAGAGTCCAAATCCCTATGGACGCTCTGGCAAGTATATTGATTTTTTTTTTGAAAAGGAGGACGGTCTTTGCTCAATTCTCACGTCCATTGCTAAGAAAAATCAACCGAACACTTACTGTTCATGGTGCTGATGAGGCTTTTTCTTGCTGCAGATCCGGCATTCAGTCTTCATCGTTATTATGACAGAGTTGTAATTCCGCAAAACGTTCCTTGTACGAAAATTTTTTCTAATCGTTGTATTGAAATAAAGGTTTGGATTTAAGCAGGTCTAAGTCACGATATGTGGCCGTAAATGCATAGTTGTTTTTAAAGCCATGAATATCCTTTACTTCTCTAACTTAGGAAGATGCTGCCTCGTTACTTTCCAAAGCGACTGACTTCCTCCGTGCTTATCAAGGCAGAGATGTTGTTGAAGATGCTAGTGCAGATATTTTAGAAGGAATATCAAACACTCTGACAGCTTCTACATCTTTCGCTAAAAAAAATTACCATGAAGCTCTTTATCAGGAAGATGGAGGCAAACTAAACCTAACACAAACGATAAACAGAAGGCGTAGAGAAGCTGAACAAGCTACAAGAGAATTTTATAAGGTAAATCCTTTGTCTATACATTTGAATGAGTTTTCAGGCTTTCCCAAGTATCAGAGTAAACCATTTTTGCTGGAAATTCCTTCCCGTACCGGATCTTGCAGGGCAAGTGTCAAACGTAAAATTACATGTAGCGGGTGGTCATTTTTGAAACAATTTCACTACTGCTTGGAAGTAGCTATAGAGCATTCGATGCTAGATCCTGATCAGATACAAATGTTCTCTATTCCACGTTCATACAGGCCAAACAAGTCACGGAGAAGATTTTATCAACGGCGGACATGCTTGGTACTACATTGCTCTCTATACAGGCTCAAGGTCAGAGGAAAACAACGCTCCAAACAGATATTATCACTATGACACTTCAGAGTAAGGCACCATCAAAAATTGGAAATGAAACCTTTTATGGAAATGATGGGGAAGGCGCCGTTACTTTTCCGCCAATGGAAGTGCTGTTTGGAAGAAAAGGAACCAATTTGAGATCCGTTGGCACTCAAGTAAGCTGTCGAGAGAACTTTTATATTCTTTAGCCCATTTTCTTCACAAGTTGTTGTTTATCTATATCACGATACTTCAGGCCGTGCAAACTAGCTCTTTCGATCGGCGATATTCGCATCACGTTAGGATTAACGATCTTCAACAACTATACGCTTTGTGTTTTATGATGGACTTAAAACATTTCCTTGTCAAGCCATCAGGAGATCGAACACTTTGAATTTACGGAGCCTATTATGGTCTTAGTTTGCTTCTTTTTTTTTTTTCTGTTGTTTTGGTTGGAATTTGTCTTAAGCAGAAAGAATTTCACGGCTGTTTGCCAAAAGGATTATAGAACGTGAAATTTTGGTTGTTGCACGCTGTTGTTGTTATCTTTTTCATACAACGTCATGCTGTTCTGTTATCATTACTTTTATTTTAGATGACAACGCTGCAAATAAACCCTTACGTGTGGAACAACCGCTCGAACTTCATCAAATCTTCAGTTCTGAGTGTGAATTTAAAGCGGCAAGACGGATCCCTCTTAGAAATATCTGACCTTAGTCAGCCCATTGAACTGTTTATTCCAGAGAGAATTCATAGAAATGATGAAACTGGAAATTCTAGCCAGCGACATTTTTTTTTAAAGCGAACCTATAATGGATCCAGTCCTTTGCTCTACCACAAAATAGAAATTGAAAATGACTTTCAAGCTGCATTTGTGGAAATAAGCCCAGAAAACAATTCGTCTGTTGATGTCTTTGTGAGTCGTGGTGTTAAGCCATCACATGAAAACTACAAGTTAAAAACAAGAATTCCCGATTTTTCATCATGCGTTCGTCATCAAGACAGAACTGGTTATACTGATTGCACCCGTAACCCTAACGTTCTTTTGCTATCAAGCAATATTACTGGTGGCACTGGCGTTCATTTTATTGGTATACGTCTACTAAACATGACGGGGATTGCTCAGCGTCAAACCCGTCATATTTCAACTTCGTGTAAAGATAAAAATGGGAGGCAAAAGCGATCTTGTATCGGTGTCAAGGATCCCCCAACCACTCCTCCTCCAGTCCCAGAGATAATAACACCCCAGTATAATCCACTGACAGATGTGAACTACACCATGTCAGTAAAGATCAGGAGCTGTTTATATTGGTCTGAAAAGATTCAGGCATGGACAACTGAGGGGTGCGAGGTGCGAGTACTGTATATTTCATAACTATAATCAAAACACATATTCGTGTTATAGAGAAAGATGTTTTCGTCTTGTCACGAGCGTGGGAAAAAGAAAAAATTCTGAGTCCCCATGAGGAATCGAACCTCAGATCTTCGGATTCCGATGCTCTACCACTGAGCAAAAGAGACTTTATGGTGAGCAAGGCCCGTTACGAAGTTCATATGTGACACGCGCATACTGCTAGGATCAGCAATTTCGTGTTGTTTCGCTCTATTGTTTTTCCGAAACGGTCCTTCAACAGAGAAACCCAGCTCTTTAGTCTTATCAGAGCACCTGTGTAAGATCGACGGCCACAAAAAATGCCTCTTTTCTCCATTTTAATTTGTTATCATCATTGAATTTTATGCGGCAGTCTTAGCCCATCCCTCCATCTGCAACTTTGTCGAAAATTACGACAATTTATTTATGATTACAACAAATTAAACAAGTCGCACGCTATGACGATGACCCCCGGAATTTTGCTTTAAAGGCCCACTAAAACACATAAAGATGCAATACTGATAGTTTTCATTTCTTCAGGTTGGCTGGAAAATAACGGATGGAAAGCTGCACTGCCTCTGTAAACATCTTTCAGCGTTTGGTGGGAACATTTTTGTGGCTCCAAACCCTATCGACTTTGAAAAGGTTTGGACAGAATTCAAGAGGATCGCTGACTCCGGAAATTTCGTCGTGCTTTCCACTGTGTTATTCATATTTGGTGTGTACCTTTTAGGACTCGTGGCTGCTCGTCGAGCTGATAAAAAGGACTCTTTAAAGGTCAGTAACACTTAAGTGGCCAGTTGACCTTGTGGATTCCAAACTTCGAGTCATTCATTAATCAATACGCTAATTGGTCCCAGAATGACGGGACCGAACTCTCCTCTCATACTGGTAAGTGTGAAAAGGGCCTTCAGTGAAAGATAAGGAACTATATTTGTCTGCCTACAAGTGCGGTAAATCATTGAAAGTTATTTCGGTTCCATAGTTATCAATTGTTAATTTTTTTAATTGATTATTTAGGTCGTTTTTTATCAACAAATTAGTGATAGAGAAGTTCACTCTGGTTCAGCGCTGCATGCATTTTCCAGAATTACTTGTCGGGAGAATAATAATTACCATATAATTACAATGCGATGTGTTTGAGTGCTTAAATATTTTGTTTACCTTGTCACGCAGTCCTTTTTACTATTTCTAGGTTGTCGCCAACGTTTATATAACTAATTCCCAAACGGAGGGTTACACTTACTTTTTAAGCATCCAGACCGGAGTATGGAAAGGATTTGGTACTTCAGCGCATGTAGGAATAATCATCAATGGAGAGGAAGGAAGCAGTGGACCAATTACGTTGACTGATCCCTTAGCTAAGAGAAAATATTTTGCTAGGGGAAGTGTAAACAATTTTACCCTAACCTTACCTTTTTCCTTGGGAAAAGTGACAGATATCTGCATCTGGCATGACAACATCGGGTCCAATCCGGCCTGGTTTCTTCAACAAGTTGTTCTAACAGATCAGCAAACTGAGCAAATGTGGTACTTTTTTGTGAACCAATGGCTTGCCCTGGACGAAAGGAGTGGCTCCATTGAGTTATCTGTCGAGGCTGCAAAAGAAGATGAGCTTGCTGAGTTTAAGCATCTTTTCTTTTCCCGCACGGCCCGAAGTCTGGGAGACGGACACATCTGGATATCTGTGTTTGCGAGGCCTCCTCACAGCCCTTTTACTCGTTGCCAGCGTCTTACATGTTGCCTTGCTTTCCTTTTTGCAGCAATGGTGACCAATGCTATGTTCTACCAATTTGGTCGAATACCCACAGACTCCTTTAGATTTGGCCCCCTTGTCATGAGCTGGACACAGCTCAAGATTGGAATACAGAGCAGCTTTATAGCGATTCCAGCTAACTTCCTTGTGATACTTATTTACAGAAACACAAAACGAAAATCTTCCGATGAGGTGTACGATCCCAGAGAAGTCGATAAAAAGCCTAAGCCCCCCGGTTGTCTCCCACCTTTCTTTATCTACGTTGCGTGGACCTTCAGCTTGATCATTTCCTTGACCGGTGCAACCTTTTCAGTGTTCTATAGCTTGATGTGGGGAGCAGACACTTCAAATAAGTGGCTCACATCTATTTTAGTGTCCCTTTTCCAGGATGTTTTACTCACACAACCAATTAAGGTGTTTGCTTTGGCTGCATTTTTGTCTCTTCTTATAAGGAAACCACTAGAACAGGATCCTGTTATTGGAGCTTCCTTGTTTCAAAGTAAAAAGGGGGAGAATTTTCGAACTAAAAGGAAAAGGGATAAGGAACTCGCCGGAGAAAAAGAAGCCGATAGCCAAAAATGGAGCATGTTGGAGGCAATCAAAGAAGTACTATCATTTTCAATATTCAGTTTTCTGCTTATGGTCATATGTTATGGAGATATTCATCCGACTCGATTCCAGTTTACCAAATCCACGATGGACATCTTCAGTGGATTAGATGAGGTCAAAAGCAGTTCCATATATTGTAATTTAAGCTTTCGAATAGATCTGTTTTTACAGTATCGATAGTGGTTGTTATAAAATCAATGATGAGGGTGAATTGCAAAAATAAAATTTTATACTCCATTGAAACCAGTAGAAGTGTTAAAACTTTTACGTTTTAAAAATGTCTGTTTCAAACCCCGAGCTTGGGACACAAAAACTCATCTGAGTGACAAGAAAAAAGGACAATATATACCTCTTACTAACCGACTTTAAGTACCGAACTATGAGTTGCGGACCGATTTTTTTCCGCTCAGATTTATGGCCCAAGCGCCAAGTTCCATTACAGTATGGACTGAGATACTGAGAAACGAGGTTAACGTGTTATTTACTTTAACGCTAGGCTCAAACAGACTTTTGAATTTAGCTACAGTAAAAAACAGCCCCCTTCAATGATCGATCATAGCATACGTACTAACTGAGAGTTATAATAAATCAATGTATCTTGTCGACAGACGATTTAAATACTTTGTTTTATTAGGTGGATAGCACGTCTTCATTGTGGAATTGGGTAGACGAGGCGCTAATTCCTGGCTTGTACGATGTAACTTGGTACAATGGTAGGCCATTTGAATACAAAGAGGGATTTATCAGCAACAAGAAAAATTTCCTGATTGGAATGCCACGGCTGAGACAGTTAAGATCGAAACCAAGTAAGAGGGAAAAAGAAATATACCTGTAAATAGCGTAGTATCCGTATCAATGATCCCATTACATCAAAGCTTAAAGATGCTTCAAAGCTGTTTTGTTAAATACGGCTTAAAATTTTTTTCTTCAAAGAAGCTGTTTAAACTGGCGGTTGTCGGCTTCAAATATAGCGCATTGAAAATACGAGTTAGCGATTGCTTTACTTGATTACGTGAATCCTATCGAAAATTCCATTTTTTCAGTTCTTTGTTTAATCTGAATTTCACTCAGTTAAACACGGTTTAACTTAATGTGTTTTATTGGTGTGAATGGGGTATAGCAGAAAATATTTTTAAAATGGGAATGTTTTAGCCAGATTGAGTATATAAAATTCTATACCACTGCTTTAAAGTTGATAATCGTCCAGTTTCTTTTTCCAAACATGAAATTCTTGTCACAAAAGCAAAACCTTTCGTTATTTGTTAGAAGTGACTTTAAATTTCCTTCACTTTATAGGGATAAGCTGCCCAAATGATGTTTACAACACCCACATCACAGACGTTTTTCCTGGTTGTTTTCAAAAGTACTCACCCGATACTGAGGATATGACTCCATATCATCTCCCAAAGTGGATTAAGCTGCAAAATTACAGTCTCTTTTCCTCTATTGATGACCTCTGTCCTAAACCGTGGAGATACCAATCGGGATCGATGACACAAACTCTTTCACATGACGGTTATGGAGGCGGTGGGTATATAGCAGACCTTGGATACAACGGTCAATCGGCATCCAAAGTGATAAAGGGACTTAGCGAGAATAACTGGATTGATGGACAAACTGTGGCTGTATTCATAGAGTTCACTTTATATGATCCAGCTACGTCTCTCTTTTGTAGTGGTAGATTGGTCTACGAAGCATCACCTAGTGGGAAGCCTAGTACAAAAATGGACATCAGAACACTTGCCGTATTTCCCTCACCAGAGACACATTGGCAAAGGTTTTATGAAGTGTGCCAGTTGTTTTTTCTTATAGTCATTGTGATACATTTAATTGCTGCGGTAGTCAAGTTTTTTCGCCAGAGTAGGTACTTTCGTCAAATTTGGAACTGGGTGGAGGTCATTCTCCTTGTGGATTGTATCGTGGTAGTTGCAATGTCATTTCTTAAAGGGAAATACACCAGTTTGTTTGTTAGGAAAATTAAGTCAAACCCCTATGAGACCTATGGCTCCGATTACATTGTACGTTGGTTAAATCACGGAACTACTTGGCTGTCAATAGCAATTTTTATCGTAACTTTAAAGCTTCTGAGACTAATCCGTTTTAATTCCCATATCTGTCAAATGCAAGGAACTCTTAAAAGGTCAGCCAGGTCAATATTTTCGTTTTCGTTGCTTTTCGTTATTGCTGTTATTGCCTTCAGTCATTTTGGTTTTCTCGGTTTTGGAGCTCATTTAGAAATCTTTTCGTCTTTTTTCAACTCTTTGCGAGTAGTGCTACAAATGTCTGTCGGCAAGCAAGTAGATTACGTCAGCATTTACTTGAATAACTCATTGATGGGCTCGCTGTACTTGTTTTTATTTTTGGTTGTCGTAATGTTTTTCCTGATCAATATATTTGTAGCTATTTTGGTTGATGCATATGAAGAGGTCAGGGGGGGTAAAGGGGATGATTTTTTCGATGTAGAAGTTGGGAATTTTATGTGCAAAACCTTAAGAGATAGAGGAAAAGAGCTTCCTGCTCACATCCGTTCAACAATGAAGTCGCTGTGTAAACATCTCTCAAAAAAATGTTTTATAAAGAGCCGAATTCCTGATGTAGAACTGAGCAGTAAAGAGAAACGCTTTATTGAATCATCCAACCAAGAAGCTAAGAATAACATTGATATGTCGCCAGTTTCGCCAACACTTGGAATCACTGATTATCCTCTTAGATTCATCACAGAGGAGGAAGTTAAAATCAACTTTCTTTGTTGTATCAAAAATATTATTTATGAAGATGACTTGCTTGATGAAATGAAGTCTCAGTTTCTGGACATGGAAACTGAGCTGATATCGGTTTTGTACTCTGACGTAACCGATTCGAACACAGAAACCAGGCTGTAAATTTAAACTTAAGGTGTTTTAAGGCTACTTTTTTTGTTAAGTTTTAAACATAGAGTAATAACTTATTAGCAAATTTATATAGGTATAATTTACTTTTGATAAGGGCATTTAAGTGGAATCACCAGGAATTATTTTTAGAAAGTTTGAAAAAAAGTTGTATTTTGCTTCCTCACCTTATCGCTCAATTATAGCGGAGCTCGCGTAGCCCTATAATTATATAATATAGTAGAAACCCATCAAGCCGAAAAAATTTGGATGTACGACCGTACTACCGACCGCACAAGGTGCTACTTTTAACATGCGTGGTAAACTGTACCGCGGGCACGCGCGGCTTTGTCCAGTAGTCCAGTGGTCAGTGCACTGGGCTCCGAGTCGGACGACCTGGGTTCTAGTCCTGGCCGGGGCAAGGCGTTGTGCCCTTGAGACGTGCGGGAAAAAAAAATGCGAGGCTTGGCTAAATCTCTATATTATGTAACATTCAATCAAGAATAATTGCAGGACATTGGTTAATTTTAAATGGCACTCTTAATAAATCTTATCATTGGCTTACAGGTAAATCTAGAATGATTTTCAGTTACCCTTCTGCGATCTTGATAGAGAATGCATGAATGTATTTTTTGTTAAGACTGTGGACAAATGGACGGATATGTTTTAACCTCGAGCGACTCTTAAGTTTTTCCTGCGCTGCACATTTCTTGTGTACATCTCTAAGATAATTTGTGTCTATCAGCTGAGTTGATAATGTAAATTTGCCATCGCAAACTTTCTAAAGCTGACGTTTAGAGCGTGAGCCCTTCGACAGAGCGAATAGTGTGTATCTACATCTCGCCATACGTACGCCTTGTATGAACTGATTCCCATCCGTTATGAATATTTGTTTCCTTAATGACCAATGAGCATGGTATGTCTTTAGGAAAATATTGTAAACGCACCAGAATAGAGGCAAATCGGGCAAAGGCAGGTGTTTTGAAAGATCCTTGCTTGTAATTGTCACAATTGTCGCAATAATTTAGCCTACCATGACATTATGATAATCGTGAGAGCTTAAATGACAGCTGCCTTATCGCCTTTTTTAAGTTACTCTTTCGAAACATCCGGCGTATGTTTCGAAACTTGTACTTCACACCCTGAATAAACTAGAGTGTATTGGTGTGAAAATAACTTGTAATTGGCTTTCAAAATTATTTTTGCAAACTACCAATTTTAAGGGAAAGAACGATCCTCAACGCCTGGATTTTAAACCAAGCCTGCATTTCCCGCCATGAGGTTGATTCAAGCGATGTGTCGGCTCACTAGTAGCTAAAACGTAAATAGGGTAATTCAGTACTATCAACCGAGTTGATAACGTAAATTGGCCGCCGCAAAGAGTGGCGATTGGAGAAATTGTGCTTTGCGCGTGGATTTATATTCAGAAAATGGAGCTACGTTATTGATAGGAATATGGTTACGAGAAAACAAGAATAAATTAAATTTTTTCAGGCCCTATTTTCACACCTGCTAAGTACTGTTCAAAACTGCGGGGATCGCTTCTATATTCTTTTCTTAAACCGCAGTTCACATACATGATTTTTATATATTTACAGCCATTTATTCAAGAATAAATTAGCTGAGTACAAAGCGCTCTTTGATACCGTGGAGATTAATTAAGTGTGACGATTTGAAAAATAAATTTTTGTTCTAGAGTTTTGCTACTTTCCGAACTTCCTAGATGTAAGGTAAGGCCACAAACTGCCATATGCTGCTTAGAATGATTAGGGAGATTAAAGTGTCTAACGACTAGTTTGGATGAGTCCTTGTCATTTATTTCTACTTTCTGCGTGGTTGTGAGGGTTAATGTGAGAGTGAATGGAATGCGTGTGAACTTTATGTATTTACTTTGTACCTAAAATCCACAAACATAAAAACCCAGGTCGACCTATCGTCTCTGCTTGCAGTGGTCCCACCGAACTTATTTCCAGCTATTTAGAAATAATTCTGGCATCTATCGTCAAAACTTTACTATCATACATTAAAACCAGCCAACACGCACTTGAAAATTTTCGTAACTTTAATTTCCTTGGCCAAAACAAACTCCTTTTCATTATAGATATTACATCTCTTTATACTGTCGTCCCCAATGAAGGTCTCTCGATCAACGCACTGTTAAGGAACCTAGCTCTGAAACACTATTCCGTCCAGCCGAACCAGTACTAACACTCAATTGCTTTTTATTCGATGGTAACCACTACAAACAAACCAATGGCGTAGCCATAGGTACCAGAATGGGACCCAGCTACGCCAATCTGTTCGTAAGCTTTATCAAACACGATTTTTTTAAAATCAATACAACGGCCCCAAACCTGAACTTTTTGGTCGCTACATTGACGACTGTATTGGCACTACGGCTTCTTTACCAACGAGAAGAACTGACTCAATTTAAAACCGTCATCAATTCCTTTCACCCGGCTCTGAAATATACCTGGGAAATTTTCGACACTTCTTTGGCTTTTCTAGACATCAAGATTTCAATTTAAGGTAACGGTCTATGCACAAGTGTTTACTACAAACCTATAGATTCAATTGGTTACCTGTTGCATTCATCGTGGCCTTCATCACTCGTCAAGAATTCCATACCTTTTTCACAATTTCTCAGACTTCGTCGTTTATGTAGTGACGACTGTGATTTTCCGAAAAATCAGAGGTAATGTGCCAGTTTTTCGAGAAACGTGGCCATCATGTTTCGGTCGTTCAAGCGGGCCACCACTGCGCCCAACAAATTGATCGACAGTCAGCACTATAAACGGGGTAATTTAATATTATCAACCGAGTTGATAACGTAAATTGGCCACCGTAAAGAGTTAAAAGGCTGACATTTCGAGCGTTCGTGAGGGCGATTGGAGGAATTGTGGGTTGTGTGTGGGTTTATATACATACATACATGCATGCATACATACATACACACATACATATATACATTCTTTCTTTAGTAAGGCAGGTTGAATAAATGGCAGCTGTTGCTGATGTGGACCTGCTATCTACTTTACACTATACTTTACAGGCTAGACCACATCACAGTAATCTCGTGATTGGGTTCTTTAACGTCCCCTGCCTAACCAAATTATTAATAGATACAGCAGACGGGACCTACAGTTTATTCGTCCTTATCCGAGAAGACCGTCCATTTCTTGATATTATAGAAAGGTAGCACATTCTCCTCAGTTATTTTAAGACCTTGAGTGTTGGTTCGGCCGGGGCTCAAACCTTCGACCTCCTGCACAACAGTCCGGCGCTCTAACCAATTGAGCTAACCGGGAGGCGGTTTGCAGACAAATTGATTTGTTTGTTTCTCAGATTTCGTCGTTTGTGTAGTGACGACTCTGATTTTCCGATGAACGTGGCTATCCCGTTTCTGTTGTTCAAGCGGGCCACCACTGCATCCAAAAAATTGATCGACAGCAGGAGCTCCTATCGACAGTCAGCACTACGAAAGGCTGCGAAGAGAAATACTTAACGCATTCCATTCAATCTCACATTTCACCCTCACAACTACTCGGTTAACTCTATCATTCTTAAAAACTTTAAATCAATTTGAAACGATTCAGAGACTGGTAGTATCTTTTCTCAACCTCCACTAGTGTCATTTCCAGTGCGCTCGCTCACGATGCAAAAGTTGTCCTTTCATTCATAACGATGAGAAAATGTCGGGACCCAAGAGATCCATTAAGATCACTGATCACTTCACGTGCACCTCCGCCAATATCATCTACTTCATAACTTGCACTCATTGCAAAAAGTTATACGTTGGTGAAATGGGAAGACGACTATGTGACCGATTCCGAGAACACCTTCGCGACTGTTAAACGATAAAAATAGAACTATATTTAATCTGAAATAATGTAAGGGTTTCCTTATATTGGTGTTGGGAAAAGAATGGAAATATTATATTACTTCAAGCCATTCGATACAAAAATTATAATAAGACAGGTTGATTATTTCTTATTCCTTTTGGCGGTCTCATCTAAGTACAATTTCTTTCACCTTTTTCTTATTGCGGTTGTGAATTTGGTACGGAAACAGTTGCTCCGTTTCTACTGTGATTATATCTTGTACTAGTTGTACTATTTTGTGATAAGCTATGTTTTTAACATAACATCGCACAGGAATTTCTGGAAACTCCTGCTTCTTATACTATTGATTACTTTCAGACTGGTTTTTTTTGGTCAAATTCTAAGTCAAATTCACGATTTTAGAATATTTCTTAAATTTTAAATTAACACCTTCAACGCCTCTTCTTAAAGGTGACTCTGATTGTAAATAGCTTATGCTTTTTTCATCTCCGCACTGAAAATTAAATTAGATAAAACCACGTAGTGTTCCTGGGGGCGGTGCTAACGAACGCCCCTTCTTCTCCGAATTTTCTGTTTACTCTGTTGTTATATAATAATCCTCTAAGGCTATTTTCTCGTAAACTATCTTTTCAAGCGTAATTTCAATTCTGCCAATAGGTTAATTATAATTTTTAAATTATCAATCTTGTCTTTGTTGTGGTCGATCTTAACCGTAAAATTAAGAAATTTAAGGTAGAAGATGATTTTGTAATTGCGTAAACAATTCGAAGGTGCATACTTAGTATGCAGAAATTGACGTACGTACTCTAACGTGATTCGCTGGCTGAAACGGAGCGATCGCGAAGTAAGAAGATTGACAGCTTAGTAGTGTCATCTTTGGTGTTACCTTTATAAGCTGGTACACAGCGTTTCTCAATCAGAGAAGAGAGATTGAACAAAGCAGAGTAAAGTGAGTTGTTCTAAGTAAAGTTAGAGATCAGGCTAGTCCCCAAAGAAGAAAGCTGTACCGAGAATTTATAGGTCAAGGAAATAAAGGAATTTTACCGAGTGTTAGAGAGAAATTCTCCTAACACGACGTAGAAAGCAATGACAAGGACGCATCCAAACCAGTCGCTAGACACTTTAATCTCCCTAATCATTCTAAGCTGCATATGGCAGTTTGCGGCCTTTCCCTACATTTAAACACTTCGGAAAGCCGCAAAATTCTAGAGCAACATTTTTTCTTTCAAATCGGCACTCTTAATCCCCACGGTATCAACGAGCGCTCTTCATTCAACTTATTCATTCTTGTTTTCTCGTTACCAAAATTCCCACCAATAGCGTAACTCCATTTTTATGCATATAACCCCACACACAAACCGCAATTTCTCCAATCGCTCTGACGAAGGGCTAACGCTCGAAAGGTCAGCTCTTAAACACTTTGCGGTGGCCAATTTACGTTATCAACTCGATTGATAATACTTATAAAATTACCCTGTTATACTCTTCCACCACTGCAGCACCACAGTTCTTTAGAAATTTACCCCCCTTAAAACCTAAATAACATATTAAAAAAATTAAAAAGATTGGTCGCGGATTCAACTGTGGTTATTTCATTCGCAAAGGTTTGGTAATTTAAACATGCTGTAACTGTCACAAGATGGTCGCTTCACTGCAGGTGATAGTCGTACGGGAACAATCTTTAGTACCATAAAGTTGCGGGAGACTTTGATCTAGAAAAGCTTCAAAGCTGCTAGTTGAAAATTCTGTATTAATAAGTTGTCAATAAATTTAGAGTTCAAGTCTTAAAAGAAAGATCGATATGTCTAAAGGCCACTCCCCCACCCCATTGGTGGTCTTTAAATTATATCATGAAATTTTCGTATATGGGCCTCTATAAAAATAGTTTATCACCTAATTTGTTGAATACGAAAGGAAAGCGACGGATCTGTAACTTAGTATTTTTACATATGTTGAATATGTATGCATATGAAGCCTAGATAAGCTGTGGTTGCATGATTTGATTACCTTTTGTGGAACCTCTCTGATCTGTTGTTGTATTCAGCATGAACAAGCTTTTGAGAAAATGAGTTATTGCTTGTAGTCGTTAGAGTTCCCTCTGCATTGCAAGCCGCTTTGAATTTGAATGTCACGAACACTTTTAATAATTGAAGAACTCAGAGGTCGCAGAGATCCTGTTATGTTCCGAATGAAACAATTTGAAATTTTTAATGAAGGAAGTCTTAAGGCTCCATTGCGCAATTAACGGATGTGGAGAAAGATTAGGGCACGCACCAAATTTCAGCATCGAAAAACGTCCAATCACATCTGCAGTGATCTGCATTGAGTTGTTGGCAGCAATAAAAACGAAAGAAAGGCTTAAAAAACAGACACTGTGCCTCGAACTCTTCCTTAATTCAATCACTTTTAGTTGTCTAAAATAGTAATTTCTTATGGCCAGGATCACGAAAATGTCTGAAGACACCTGCTAATACAATAGACGAGTTAATGGACCTATTAACACAAAGCAAATAAATATTTTTAACAATTCCGCTCTTACTCTTCGGATCCATTTTTCTCTCTAGAAATTCACCTTAGGAGCAGAAGAAAGACACAATTAAGGTATCTGAAACTGTCGTCGAAAGCAATTTCGGGTGGCTATAAAGAGGTAAATTCAGTCATGAGATAGAGGTAGAAAGCAAGGGTGGAAAAAAAAAAAAAAAAAAAAGAAAAAAAGACGGGCTGTGTCTAACTTAACCATGAAAGATCTAAAACGGTAAAATAAAATTCTTGAGCAAGGGAAGCTAATATCTATAGCTAGATTTTATCTACCTAGATGAGACTTAGTTTTTGCCCTTGATACCTACCTCCGTGTTTTTTGATACTTATAGGTCCTAATAGACTGAGCTAAAATTGTCAAACCGTACGCCATATTTCGGTTCACAGCTTAAAAAAATTCCGTCACACTACAGAACAATAAGTGTCAAGCCATTCCCCAATTTTTTAGAAGGAACTATGCCCTCGTCACTCGATAGTTTCAGAGATTCACTCGGCTAGCGGCCGGGCAATGTTTCGGCAGAAAAACGAATTATCGAATTCAAAAAAATACGGACGTCGGTATATGTAGGTGGCGAATGAATTTCATTTTGTGGTGATGTCAGATGTTGCAATATTTGAAACACTTCCAAGTTCCCCTTCGGCGGAAAGTAATAGTTTTGATGTTCCCATAGGAGTAAATATTAAAAAAAAACACACACACACACACACACACACAAAAAAACAACCAACCAACGGAAAAAACGGAATGAACTCTCTTGTAGTATTTCAGAGAGATAAGACCAGACTTTTGCTAATGAAGTATTTAAGATATGACAAACAAGTACTTTTCCTCGACCGTTGCTCACGAGTGCCGTTTATTGCTCGTGCGCACAAGCTCATAATTAGCAGGGTCATCGAGAGTGACTATTGTACCTTATGCATGAAACAATCCAATTTAAATTTCATATTTATCATTTGGTGTCAAATGTATGAAATATTTTTGACATCTGTTTATGATCAAAACAATAACTACGAAGCAGCGTAAAGAAATCTCTCCCTTTCGCTGTAGATTGAGAATCCCCAGTTAGTGTGTCGTCCTCAGAAACTACCAGAAGTTTTATTCTTCTCGTATTGCATGGATTTTAATAAATATGAGCATTATAACAGGTGGTATGGAAGCTTAAGAGCAGGTATGATTTGTTTTTAAATTCGAAGGACTTTAATTTAAGGCAATAATTCCTGGAAGTAAACTGTTTTAGTAACACAGAGACTCATACTTGTAACAGGATAGCACTTAATTCTTTGAGAATATAAAAAATAAAACCGCGTACTTTTTCTAATACCACAATGCCAAATTAATGAATGGCGGTATTATGATGGCTATTTATTTTTCAAAGTTTTGCGCAATGCCTGCTGTGAGCTTGTTATACATTTTCATCACAAAACTCCGATTTTTAGGTATTGGATTTGTTTACGCCGTAAAATCGACAAATTTTATCGAAAGCAGATAATTGTTTGCGAAAATGTCATGAATAAACGAGGTCTTTCATGACTTTCTGGCTTAGGCATATATTCTAGACTTTTCGTCATTCAATATGTTGATTTTAGGTTGTTTCTAGGCAAATTTCTCCAGGAAAGGAAACATTCTTCACTTATATAACAGCTTGACATAGGTGTTCTTTGTGTTCCGCTTTGTATTTGTAAGAAAAGTTTTGAGCTCAAAGCTCCATGCTGTTTGGTAAATTGTATAAATGCTTCATTGTTTGAATTATTAATACTAAGAGGTGATTGTTGCTTATTCTCCTGTAGCTCTCTTGGCGCTTTTAAGTAGCCAGATAAGCTGTTAATCGCACGATGAGCGACGTCTGAATACGATTTTATGGTCAATAATGGTTGTCAAACACTTGAATTCTTTGGAGAATTCAATGTGAACGGACATGGAAATGAAGAGATGTCCACAACAAAGCGACAGTGCCTCGAGATGAAGGTCTTGATGTGGTTATGGATCTTCCTTGTTTGCTTGTGCGCCAGCACAAAATCAGAAAAATCCGAATGTCCAAGTAAGTATGTATGCAGGCAAGCAAAGAATTACTCGTCAAAGTAAAAAGCTAATTCAGGTTGTGATCTTGCTTGCCGATGTTTTTCTTTTATTAATAGGGAAATATGGTTATTGTTTCACTTTAGTAATATAGATTTAATGCTTTCACAGGAAAATGCGATGTTCCCCTCGGTGTCGAAAGTGGCCGTATTTCGGATCATCAACTCACGGCGTTTTCACAATACGAGAACGATTATAGGTTTGGAGCCCATCGAGCAAGGCTCAGACTAAACTCATGGCCGCCGGGTTATAGAGCTGACAAAACTATCCTTGGTGACACAGAACAATTTCGCTGGATTAAAATCGATTTGGGGAGGGAACAAATTGTTACTGGAATAGCGACTCAGGGTTATGGGAACGCTTCGGTTTCAGAATGGATTACCAGGTATAAATTAATGTACGCTACCAAGAACGAGATCTTGGAGTTTGTGAACAATGACGGAGAAGTAATGGTAAGTTTTTTTTGCCAGAATATCGAAAGACTTTCGTGTTACAAGAGTTTAGATGTAATTTCAGAAAATAAGACAGTCGCGAGCCTTTTTTACAGGAATTTTTGAATACGTCGTTTCCCCACTTTGTTAGAGCCTTGGGACATTACACTTGTTAGAGATAGAGTTACCCCGAGGCTCTAACTAAATTGTTCACGCGAATTCGTCACTTGTAACAAAAAGTATACAATCAGCTATATCCTGTGGTTACGTTTGTAACTCTCGGCCTTCTTAGTAGTATATCGCATTTCACTGAAAAGTGAACATCATTATTCATTCTTCAATTGTTTATTTATTTTCAAATCTCTAAGATAATCTATGTATGAATAATATGGAAATTTCTATTGTTATTATAAAGAATAATGCTGCAAACTTTTATAAGGTAACGATCTTGGAAAAAATGTTATCTTGAGACCTTGTGATTCACATCCCTGTACTTTACTCTGGTACCAAATTTCACATGTAGTTTATTGACTGAGCTGTATATTTTTTTTTTTACTTCGTACTCAGTTGCAGAGAAAGTAAACATGACAACGTTTGTTAAGCTTGCCAAATCAAACCCCATAATTCACAGCAATGTTTAGAGTAAATTTTGTTTTAGTCACCCAACAACATTTTACGAAATCATAAAAAAAAAATACTTTTCCTTATCCTTTTCCTTTCCTATTTCAAGTTCAGACCTAAAAAAAAATGTTAAGCGAAAAATCCGAAGCAATCTCGATGTGTTTTGATAACATCGCAAACAATGCGGCGCATGAACAACTTCCAGAACGACGTGATTACCAACGTGACGATTCCGCCTCGGTTATTAGCTCCGTCAATCCTGACAAGCTCTTTTTCTTTCAAATGGGAGATACAGTCCAGACAAATAGGATCCTTATTTGTTGCTGGAATAATTAAAAATAAACGCATGAGGTCGCCATTATCTCGCCAAAAATATTTGGATTACTTAAACAATACGTCTGGACACAGTCTGATTCCAATTATAACGAAAAAACCCTCGTTTTTAAAGGACTTCAAGTATGCATCTTTATCTAAATGTTTACCTGTGGTGTGTGCGGTTTAGTTCGACAAACCACACTGAGGATTAGTTACATATGTTTTGGAGTGTAGATATTTAGATCTGTTATAGCATCGCAATAGGGTACCGTTGACGTTACGAATAGCTAGTTCTCAGGGCAAAAGAAACGAATGATAACGAAGCTTTTGTCTTCAGAAAAAGTGCATATTTTTTTTCACCAAAATGAATTTAATAAAAATAGATTGGTGCGAAATAGTTCAGTTGTGGTTCCATAGTTGTCTACTTATAAATTCCTAGCATAAACAAGGACCATTTTTTGTGCGGTTTTGTGTATTTTTTCAAAGATACACGAGCAGGTTTCTACCACAAGAAGAACACGCGCGCAATATACTGGCTCCTGGTTAGGGTGCCAAATTTGAATGATTCGAACAGACAAACGTAGTCGACGAAACTCGGATCCATCTCAAATGTATCAAGCATAGTTTAAGTATGATTACAGAAATAACTTCGCTCAAAGCTATCGCTCTTTGTAATGTCCAGTTGGCGAGGGCGAAATATCAGAAGCTACATAGACAAAACATTTTTCTTTTTCTGCTCATCCAACTGCAAGACATGCGAGTTTTAAAATACCATTGATTTGCCCTTCGCTCAATTTCTTTTATTACTCGACAGCCCTTGTTTGAATAAACCTTTCGAATTCATGAATCTTTCATTTGTCTGGAAAGCCCGGAATCGATATTGTTATGCTAGGAAGCTGGAGACCAATATCCTTTATTGATCATTACTTTTAATTAGAAAAATTTAAACAAATCATTAACGAGCTGTTGTATTTCCAAGGAAAGGCCCATCACTCCCTTTTCACATTTCATTTAGAAAAATAAAACACCTCACTGCAATCACAGGAAATGGTACACATCGAAGGTAGTTCTGGGTAATAATAGACTACTCTAGTACATCATCCAATCTGACGAGATCTTTTACATAAACAAGATCTGTAGTGTCCCTTTTAGAGAGACAGATTTAGATAGGCTTTCCTACTAATTTCTCTATAAATCGTAGATAAGAAAACTTATGTGTGTTCGTGTTTTGTTTGGCTGTTTAAATGCCCCAGTGATCAGGGTAGAATGATTTTGAATATCATTGATACATAAGTGATTATCATGAGTAATTCTAAATTACAATCTCTTTTTTTTTCACAGATATTCAAAGGAAATAATGACAGCAACGGAATAGTAAAACACGACTTAGCAGTTCCCAGGATTACATCGAGTATACTTTTGATACCTCGTAATTGGACGGACAACATTGGACTTAGAATGGAAATTTATGGCTGCGAACCAAGTGAGAAAATAGTGTAATCTAGTATTATCAACTGAGTTAATAACGTAAATTGGCCACCGTAAAGAGTATAAAATCTGACGTTTCGAGCGCTAGCCCTTCGTCGATCACTCTGACGAAGCTACTTCAAGGTTTGCTGGCATCTAGAAGAAAAATTACCGAAGTTTTCAAACCCGTTATTTGCGATCACCACCAGAATAAACCTTCCTAGTTCCTGTTTGGTTTAATTGTAGCTCTTTGATGGTTTTCTTAACTAGGAAATGATTATTTAAAGTTGTTACAAATTCATGTATAAGAGTCAATTTTGAATAGATATACAGTGACCTTAAGGGTTAGAAGTATTCTACGCAGTGCTTTAAGGAAAAAAAATAAAATGAAAATAACAAGTTCTAATTTATCTTTCCAATCACATTTGTGATTTCTGCCCCGCTTAAGTCAGTGTTCAACTCATGTTTGGTTGTTCTGGAGCCTCGTACTGATTATTTCAAGGTGCGAAACTTTCCCTTTACTCAAAGCATTATGAGGTAAACTATAGCTCTTAATTCACTTCTAAATATGTGCGATCAACGCAATGATCACGCAAGGGTGAAATAAATAACTAATATTCCTGTGTGCTCGATCGAATGGCTGTTTAATGGATCGTTACTCTTTCATTTTATTATAGCATATTATTTCAAAGTGTGGTTGATGTTTCATAATATTTCATTCGTCTACAACTACTTAAATACTTCCAGTGATGAATACATACAAGAAGCGTTCAAAGCGACGGGTGAGGTGAGTACAGAGAATTTCTGAAGTTACCCATATTGGCTTACACTTCTGTAGCTTTCAGAGAGAGAGAGAGAAAGAGAGGAAGAGAGAGAGCGAAAGAGAGGGGGAGGCATCATGAATGTCAAATGTCTTGCAAAATAATTTACACTCTGACCCTGCCATTCAGCGGAGGTCCACGAGTAAGGAAAACATACACGAGGACTTATGTGTTGATTATATGTCCTTCGTCTCCCAAGATCCTAACTAAAGGCAAATATAGTCACTTGCTGCCTCCTCTCTTGCCACTTACCCTTATCCTGCTGGCTAGAAAGCCCTCCATTTTGAACAAAGACTGAAATTTAACTACATTTCAAATGGGTTCAGAGAGGGCCAAATTTATTATTTAGTTTCTGTTTTAGATTCAAAGGTATTTTGAAAACGTGGGAGGATATCTCTACAACAGAGTCTTGAGATTGAGGTAAAGGTGTTTTTTGTTCATGAGTTTATGATGAAAATGCCCCTAGTATAATGCCTCTTGTATGGATGGCTTCATACACCGAGTGACACAATTGTGATCACTATACCACCTTTCCGATTACCTATGACCGTTATTTTAGGAATGTTGGGTTTATAGCTCCTATTTTTATGCCTTTTTTCTCTCTAGTCCTCAACCGTCACCACAGATAACGACATCTGCCACAGCAGAGGTTGCAATTTACTGCATAGAAACCAGCGTTCATCGTGTTACAGCCAAACTTAGGGCTTTCGTTCACGAATCTAGCATTTTCCACCCAGATTATCTAAAGATAAGACAACCAAGTAAGTCCCCACCAAACCTCATCGAATAAATAATAGCCTTCAAGTGGCAGTATGAAGTTCTGAGAATGATTTGAGTAAAAATAATGAAGCAACTCAAGTAAAATTGATGTCAATTGATTGCTGAAACTTTAGTTAATTATATCTTGATAAGAAGTATTCCAACCGATTGAAATGTGTTTAATTGAATGTCATAAAACACAAGTACCAATCAGAAGTAAGAAAGCAGAAAGAGCTGAAAATTAGAGCTAAACCACCTGAAGCACAGGAAATCGCAAATAACGAAGTCACGACTGCTTTCAGTCTTGTGTTGAGAAAGTGGTGTGAGTTTTCTAGACCAGTCACATAGCGAAGTACTGAAAAAAGCTAGAATTTTAAAAAAAATTTCTGAAAATTTAATTCATCCTTAACCTGAATGATTTTGCCAATAATTGCAATCTATGATCTTTCGCCGTCGAAAAGTTATTACCAGTGTCACAGATATACTCCTCTCTCTTTCGATGGTTTTTCCTATGTCTACAATCAGTTATTATCCATGATGTTTCAAATCCCTTACCTTAACTTTAATTTTGATGTCTTACTGTGAGTAACATGCCCGTTTTCTCTTCCATTTCAGTCACCTGCAACTGCAATCCTCCAGTGGTTGATCTGCACCTCAAGCATCGTATCCTTGAGTCAGATATTATATGGTCATCTGACAAAGACTTTGTTTTAAAACCAAAAGTCTCAATAAATTGTTCCTCACCGATCCAGACAAAATACCGTTGGACTTTTTTCAAAATTGATCGGGAAACCAGTTATTTCTCGCCATTTATGCCATTCGGCCTTAAAGACCAACCCATGGTCATGCTACGACCAAGGCTTTTTGGACCCGGAGAATTTTACGTCTCAGTGGATGTATCATTCACAAACAATATCACAGACACATCCGCTGACGATTTCGGGTTCTTCAGAGTCCAAATGCCAGTTTTAACGGCAAAAATAGTGGCACCATCGTCAATAAAAAGAGACGCAGGGAATATTACGATTGATGGCTCCGGCTCACACGACACAGAGTACCCACAGGATCAGTCTAAAGGATTAACGTTTTTTTGGCAGTGCAGAAGGCTTTGCCAAGAAGCTCCAATAACGCCATGTTTTGATGCTGATTCCAATTTCTTCAGTGAAAGATTTACAATTGATGCCTCTTCTCTAAAGCCAAAATGTACTTACGAATTTAACCTGACTGTGACAAGAGAGCCGAGGATATCGAGAGCAAGTCATAGGCTATATATTGAGCCTACAATACAGTTCTCTGTTGTGTAAGTTTAATCATGTCGATGTACTTGCGTTTTATTTTTTGTTTTATTCAATTATTTGCTCTTTTATCAGCCTATATTTCCATTTATTTTTGCAATTTTAATTTGATCGGTTTGTACAAGCATTAATGCTCTTACATGTAAATGCGTTTGCCGACGTCAATTTGACTTTTCGATGTTTCGTTTTATTTACTTAATGTTTTTTAAATCATTCCTTTGTAACAGTTCTAAGCCGAGGCCTCCTCGATAATAACTTCGGCCCACTAAGCATATGTTCGGTGAATAATTATTCGATGTATTCAAATGATTCGCCAAAATTTGTTACTCAACAATCCTCCTCGAAAAATTCGTGTTGTTTAACTGGTAATCTTCTATTGACCGCTGCCAGATCATAGTTTTGGTTCATTTCATTGCATTACATTGCGTAGGTATGCATATTTATGTTACCCCAACACAATCTGATCGAGAACCGTAAATATTTGAAAAAAGCAATCACTCGATCGGCAATTTAACTGATGGAACTACTGTATATTGACCCATTTTCATCTCTTTCTTTTAATTTTTGGTTTTTTTTCCTTTGAAATTTTGTATTTGGTTATTCGTTTGTAAAATTTCTGTTTTACTTCGTTTGTTCGTTTGTTTTGCGTAATAGATGCGTCATTAATTGTGGACGGAAGGTCAGTGTTAAAAGACTCTTCTCCCTTCGTGTGGTTTGCGGTAAAGAAGAATGCGCGTCATTAGCGACTTTCTCCTGGATGATTTTCTCAGAAGACGACCAAGGAACCCTCACCAGGCTTGGTATAAAAATCCCAAGTGACTCTATAGAAACTTTTGCAAACATGACACAATTGAATATACTTAAACTTGAAAATCTTTTTGAAGTCAAAGACGGGCAAAAATTTCAAGTTAGGGTCACAGCCAATCCGTACAAGAGTCATTTTGAAGAACAAGCACACCATACATTTATCGTCAACGCTCCGCCGACAAACTCCGAAGTGCAAAGAAAAGACAAAGGTTGTCAGGTGAAGCCTAAAGAAGGTTTTGCAATTGTTACGGACTTTTACATCACGTGTTTGGGTTGGTATGACAAAGATGTTCCGCTTCGTTATGCTTTTATGTATACGTTCGACTCCAGCACAATTCTCATTCAAGAGGGAAATGTGGGAAACGTGACAAGTAAGCTCCCTGTGGGGGATCCTAATAAAGGCTATGAGCGTCTTGTCGACCTGAAGATTTTCGATGCTTATGGGGATTTTACTTCTTTGCCCAAGAAAATCAAGGTAAAATGAGTTAAATTCAAACAGACATTCAAACAAGATGGTATAATTGGTGTTATTTCTGTTCAGTCCGGTTAAATAGCTAGAGTCATTTTCAAATGTCATTTAGTTGAGTAACCCTCTTGTTGCTGCATATACTGTTGGCTGCTTTCGCTTTCTTTGAATGACATTGATACAACGATTGGCCTTAATTTAGAGATATGATTTCAGAACCTTTTTTACCCTCTGTCAGTCTGTCAGTCCATATAAGAATTCGCTGCAAACGAATTTGCTAAACGCTTTGTTAAGAGCGTGGCCATTGTTAATTATTGCTATTGTTCACTTTATGTCACCTTGGGATTTACTTTACGCATCCAACCGTTTGATTGACAGCAGCTGAAATCTGCAAAGAGACTCATGTATTCCCAAAGCTTTACCTGCTGACCAATCACAACCGACTAGTTCAGGATATGCAAATTATTATGCTGCCCACTGATTAAATGGGCACTGCAAGTACATGTCGCGAAAGACAATAGCATTCTGGGCGATGTTCAATACATACCAAATCGCATGACCAGCTTGAAGAAAAAAATTGTTTAGCTGCCCATCAGGACCCAGTTTTTTGAAGGGTGGATAAATCTCTATCCGGTAGATAGCGATTCATCTCCCCTTTGAACAACTACGCGGAGGTTAAAGCAGAGTATATCCATGTGAACATAATCTTATATTCTCTTCTCAGCGCTTTAATTAAACGTGTCATACTTCTTTCTTTCGGTTTTTAGGTGAGGCCGCCGCCTGCTTCGGAGAAGCTGTTAGATGTTATCAATAATGCACAAAACAACATGCGGAAGCTGGTTGCGGGCAACAATGTTGAGAAGGCAGCTGATATGGCCATTACAATTCTCTCCGTTATTGATTACAACGAGAAACTTAAGAAAGACGAATCGGTAAGATCAGAACAAAAGTCATTCTCCTCACTGTCCCATATAAAATTCTTACGGTGTTAATTTGGAGAATTTCGGTTTTGAATCAACTTCTAATCCCCTAGTGACATATTTTTTTTATTCCTATCAATTTTCTGCTTGATGTTGAATTGGAATTGTAAGGAGAAATTATGTCTCTCGGTCACTCATGAAAGTTAAACGGATATCCAGCTTCGACTTTTGTATGATGATTTAAAATAGATTTGGTTTGTCATTTGCTGCCAAAAGCTCTCAATACTTTGCTTGCGATTGACACTTAGAATGGTAATCTCTCTCACTTTACACTGGTTAAAGGCAACACATTTCCTTGAAAAATATCCTTATGATTGCAGTTTAAGGACTCTCTGCTAAATATCATGTCTGGAGTAAAAGTTGACAAGATCAATCTGGTCACCAAGATTGCCGTTATTACGGCCTACTCAACCAAACGGGTTGACCAATCCTTGCCCCAGAACTCACAGGTAAGTCAAGGATTAAGTATTCGTTACTGAATTGGTGGACCGTTTGCTGTACGAACTGACAGCCAATGACAAGAAACCGTTATCCTAGTAAGATAGTTCAGCAATTGGTTTTTATTCATTTTATGGTATTTCAATGATATATTTGGGAAAAAGAGTTTTGGTCGCAGAGGTTTGTCTATTTCCTTACTTCGTGAAGCTTTTAAAAGGCGCCTTTTTCGTATTTTGAGACTTATCAAAAGCTCTTTGCAACCCTTAGATTCTTCTTGGTAAAATAATCGCCTTTCCATGAGCGAGAACCAAGTGTCCCCAACAACGAATTCCTCTAGTCAGATAAGGGCCCCCACAAGACCTAGATGAGTAGAAGATGATTCGCTGCTTTGATTTTTTTCCGAAGGAGGATGCATTGACCTTAATAAGAAAAACAACTACATTCTTGCAAAATATTAACACCAGTGCTATTAAAGATCTGAAGGTCATTGGAGAGATAGGCGAAAACATATTAACAGGGATTGGAAATGTTCTGACGTCTTCTTCTAAGGATGTCGATATAGACTCTCCGAATAAGGATCCTAATTTTGATGTGAAAAAGGTGAGTATAGTTTGCTTTTTTGCAGAGCATAATAGGTTGAAAATATCTGTTTCTAAGTATCTACAGTATCGTTGGTTTCATTTTTTCATAGTACCCAATAAACCCACTAGGGCTTATTACCTTGACATTCATATTAAGATTTAGCATGCATCTTATCTAATTTTTTCAAATCTAATCTGATCTAATCTTCCATCGATAAATACCCTGTTTGCTACGTCATTTGTATTCGAAGAAGTGTAGTTTTCTCTTTTCTCCCACCGCTGGCTACGCCTTATCCTAACGACCACTAAAGTCAGTGAGTGAAAATATTCGTGATGGGAAGATCTATTTCCAGCCAGCTTCTGATCAAAGTCTATGACATTAAGCACTATCTCCTTTCTCTTGTACAGGGCAGAAAAATCACCTCAGAATGTGTGGAACTGGTAAACACTATCACTGCTGAAGAGGAATTCTGTGCAAATCCTACAATTATCAGTACACCTTATATCAATCTTACAGCTTGCATTGAAAAAGCCACTGAAATGAAAGTAAGCAAGCTGCTTAAGGGTGAAAGTGGAGTCAAGCTACCCGATGCCAAGGATCTGTTCCCGCCTGATCTCTTGGACGAAAACACCGTGGTGGATGTTAAGGTGAGGGACAAATATAGCTCGAACTAGCCATGAAGTGCTTTGATAAATTCAGTTCCAAGACTGGAAGGAATGAGGAAGATGTAATTACATCCTCTTGTTAATGGCGTCATGTATTGGTGTTGTTGGGGAGGAGTATTCTAAGTCCCAATTAGACAGACGTTCAATTCCTTGTTGAGCATTAGAAAGATATATTGGTCTTTCACTTACATGTTCATTTCATTTTTCTTAGTTTGAGTTACGTGTGTTAATGATTAAGAGTTAACTCATCTGTTGTCTTCCTGCTTCTGCTCTCGCGTCTGTTTGTGTCTTCTCCGACATCGAGGACGACGGAAATGTTTTGATCACTCAGATAAATTCATTTCTTCTGTTTCAGCTTGTGTCGTTTAAAAAAAATCCTTACACATGGCACCCTAAGTCCAGAAGTATTAAATCATCCGTGCTTGATGTTACCTTAAAGAACGTCACATCTGGGAAAGCACTTCACGTGGAGGGTCTCAGCAAACCTGTAGAAATGTTTATCAAAAACTGGCACCGGGAAAGAGATGAAATCAAGCCGAAAGAGACGTTCTTTGTAAAACCAAGCCCTCCAAAATCGATAAAGAACATGCGATTTCACAAAATCGTTCTTCCATATGGCGATGCTGATGCAAATATTCGAATTGTGCCATCAAGAAACGAAAAACTCGAAATTTACATCAGGTACAAAGTGAGACCAACACCGGCAGAAAATAACTTTCAAACAGTTGTCCCAAATTTCTCCTCATGCTTAAGCTACTCGGAAGAGAATGGTTTCTCTGACTGTCTCTCTGATCCTTATTTGTTTACCATTTCACCCTCGATCACCGGACATATGGGTACTCACTTTATTGGTATACGGTACACCCCACAACTCCCTGAGATGAACAATACTCAAAGTAGAACACGCGTCAAGAGATCGTGCCGTGGGGCTAACGGTCGCCAGAAACGGTCATGTGTCGAAGTGAAGCCGCCTCCACTCCCCGAAAATATTCTAAAGCTACAATTTCAGAATAATTCCGACGTGCAGTATGATCTGTTCATCACCATGGGCCTGTGCATGTACTGGTCCCCTAAAGACGACGAGTGGACCAATAGAGGATGTAAGGTAGGAATACCGGCAATCTTTTGGCATAGATAAAATTTGGCCTGCTTGTAGTTAATCGAAAAAAAGAAGAACTTGATTAAAGGTAGGCCTCGTACATTAAGTTCCTTTCCAGGCACAGATTTATCATTGACAGTATTAAATTATGCATTTGCCATCGCTCGGGAATATCCTTTGCATATGGCTTTGAAAACTTTTAAGTAAGACTGAGTACATCAGCAGGTTAAATCCTCCTGAAACAAAATCTTACTAAAAAAAATTGTTTTGCTCATTGGTTTCGTTTTCCTTCGGAAAGGTCGGACCTAAGGCCACACCTGGAAAACTTCAATGTCTCTGCACACACCTGTCGGCTTTTGGAGGTGACCTGTTCGTGGCCCCAAACCCAATAGATTTTGACAAAGTTATGTCGGAGTTTGGAAACCTTGCAGCAAGCGGGAACTTCGTTGTTTTGGCATTTGTCTGCGTGATATTTGGATTGTACGCAACTGGTCTGATTATCGCCCGAAGAGCTGACAAGATAGACAAATTTGAGGTAGATGTATTTTCTATTGTAGTTTCCCTTAGTATGTCGTCTGAAAAAAGGGAAGCCGAGTATCACAAGCTGAGAGTAGAGAGTTGATTAGCTCTCTTTAAATGACAGAGACGAGTAAGTGTCAGCTGAAAAAACTCATAGATCTATGAAAGGAACAACTTATGTTTACTGAGTAGTAAATACGGTAAATATAAAATATAAAATAGAGTAGTTGATTTTTACCTCAGATTGCACCAAACATCCATGTGATAATAGGACAAGACTGCGCCTTCACATACGACATCTCGATTCAAACAGGGATTTGGAGGGACTGCGGAACTACAGCGAACGTGGCAATCATCCTATTTGGCGAGAATGGATGTACGCCTCCTATACTCTTAACACACCGTCAGCTGGGAAAGAGATTTTTCGCTAGAGGTAGCGTCAATACATTCACAATTCATCTCCAAGAATCGCTTGGGTCTTTGTACAAAATCAAAATCTGGCATGACAATTCTGGAGAAAACCCGGCTTGGTTTTTTCACCAAGTCTTGGTTACTTGTAATTCCACAAACGAAAAGTGGTATTTTCTAGGAAACCAGTGGCTTGCTGTGGAAAAAGGAGATGGGAAAATTGAAGTCGACATCATTTCTGCAGGAGAAAGTGAATCTTTGTCCTTTAGTAACTTGTTCTATTTCAGAGGTGCGAAAACCCTAAGTGAGAAGCACCTCTGGTTATCATTGTTCACCAAAGCTCCGCACAGTACTTTCACCCGCTGTCAACGTCTTTCATGCTGCCTGTCAATCTTGTTTGCAACCATGGTCGCCAATGCGATGTTTTACCAGCAAAGCACAAGTAACGTCGATGCCTTTCGCGTCGGTCCTATTAATCTATCCTGGTCTCAAATTAAAATAGGCGTTCAAAGTGGGCTCGTCTCAATTCCTGTGAATGTCCTTGTCGTTGCTATTTTTAGGAATATCAGACCATCTGGCCTGATAGACAGCGGAAATAGTCAAGACGGAGAGGAAGAAGAGGAGCAAGCGAATGGTTGTTTCCCTCATTTTTGTGTTTACATTGGCTGGGCATTATGTCTGATGGCGTCATTGGTGTCAGCAGCTTTTGTTGTGTTCTACAGTCTCATGTGGGGTAAAACGGTAGCCAATCAGTGGCTCACCTCGGTAATGATTTCCTTTTTCCAGGACGTTATAGTGATTCAGCCAGTGAAGGTGGTTATAATTGTTTCACTCTTATCACTCATCGTTAAAAAACCAATCAAAAATGATGAAATACGTGGACAAGGTCACTCCGATCAAAGCATAGACAATAGTTTAACTTCTTCTCCACCAGGAAACGAGGAATTAAACAAAATGCGCTCAGTGAGAATTTTGAAAAGGAGACTTGCGAAGACACTGATAGAAATTGGTACATGTGTCGCTTTCTTGCTTCTTCTTGTCATTGTTTGTTATGGAAACCGTGACAGTAACAGATTTCGATTCACCACGGCGGTGAAACATGTCTTCCCCAACTTCGAGAAGGTTTGTATGAAAGTGTCTTCTCAGTTATTTCCTCTTTCGTTTACGAAGTGTTTGGTAAATCCTAAATGATTTTTGTATCGCTATGATGACATCTGTTAGCTGTGCTCAACCTTCCAGCTTCATTTATGACATAATTAACATAAGTCGTTAACCTCCGCCAGATAGCAAATTGCACTTAAAAATCGTGTTTTTTTTTCAATGCAATGTTTCCCAAAATTACAGACAAATCGTGCAAATAGAGAGGCTAACTGCTCTCGTACACATTCATTCCTTGTAAAAAAATTTAACGCAAATATATCGATGATTAAGCTAAAATTAACAACCCATGGCTACGGTATTTTCTGTGACTGACAGGTGCACAACATTACGTCATTCTGGACTTGGACGAGGAAAAACTTATTATCAGGCCTTTTTGACGTTAAATGGTACAACGGAATGGCGTTTTCGTACAAGGAAGGATTTATCAGAAACCGAGAAGCTTTTATGATAGGAATGCCAAGACTAAGACAAAAGAGAATTAAAGAAGGTGAGAGAATAGACGAAAAAAGCATTAAAGGTTCTATACTAATGTCAGCAAGATTACGTTCTTTTAAAAAAAATTTCCGTGTTACCGATAATTTTTACCTATTACTTGTAATTTTTCATCGATGTACTTATGGAAAAAGGAGAGTTGACAACTGTGTTTAGCCTTTCCTTAAGCCTTGTCAATAAGCATGATGTCTAGTAAAATCAATTTTCGACAAAAAGACATAAACTTGAAACGTTTTTTTTTATTGATTCATCAATATTTATCATTTTTGAACTTATTATGTCGTTCAGATCCGACTTGTAAAGCTTTTCACAATGAAGCAGAACTTGTCCGGCGTTTTTCAAGATGTATTCCACATTACAGCACAGAAACCGAAGACAAAACCAAATATCACCTGCGAGGATGGATTCCAGTCGACGATTTTGAAGTATTCCAACATCAGTTTGAAAAGTTCTATCTTTGTCCTAGACCCTGGCGTTATGAAACAGCCGAACAGCTGGGAACATTATCATTTCAGGGACTGAGGTCAACATATTCGGGGGGCGGTTACATTGCCGACCTTGGCTACAATACCGATGACGCACTACAGGTGATTGACAACTTGGAGATGAATGACTGGATTGATGACATGACGGCCGCTGTTTTCGTAGAATTTAACATTTACCAGCCCACCACTTCACTGTTCAGTGCTGTGAAGTTTCTGTTTGAGAGATTTCCTAACGGGGGAACGAACACCATTATCAGGGTCAAAACTTTGACGATTTATTCGCCAAAAGATCGGTTTTTTCGAGTTATTTACGAGACATCTCAGTTACTTTTTATGATCCTTCTTCTCTTCTGTGTGGGCGCCGAAATTGGCAAAGTGTATCAGCAAGGTTATAAATACTTCAAGAACCCATGGAGTTGGCTAGAAATTATTCTTTTGTTGAGCTCAGTTGGGTCGCAGACCATGTTTTTCCTAAAAGAATCTTACACAAGCAAATTCGTAACAAAGGTACAGGAAAACCCATTTCAAAGCTGGAGCATGGACAACATTTCATTGTGGTCAGACCTAGAAGTGACACTGTTAGCATTTGTTGTATTTCTAATAACTATGAAACTTTTGAGAATAATTCGCTTCAATCCCCATATTATTCAAATGAGAATGACGCTCATCAGTGCCTCGAAACATTTTACATCCTTCACCTTGGTTTTTTTAACGATGATAATCTCTTACGTTACGCTCACGACATTAACCTTTGGTAGTAACGTATATGAATACCGTTCGTTCACGAAATCATTTAGCACCATACTGCTGATGCTTATAGGTGCCAAGGCTCCCTTCCACGAACTTCGAAGAATCAACATCGTTATTGGACCATTTTTCGTATTTGCTTACATGGTAACCATTGTCATGATCTTCTTGAATATGTTTTTGGCTATACTTAATGATGCATACACGGAATCTCGTAAACTCGGACATGAGGGCAGCGGAGACCTAGAGGTATTTAAACTAATGAAACTGAAAGCTAAGAAATTTTCTAAGAAGACAAGAGTGGCAGTGATCAAAGTTCTTGAAGCGATACCGCAGTTACTGTGGCAGAGGCGGTCAGAAACTGCCGTTGCGTTTGAAAAAGAGGCTTTTGTGTCCAGCTCATGGGAAGAAAGGAATGACATCTTTGGATTTCATGAAGACAATAATCCCTCTCTCACTGATATAATAGCTTTATTAAGTGAAATAAAGCATGACATCAGCGATTCTATTCTCTCCATCGATGACATCGTTCCCAGGGTGACGATTGATCGCGACAGCGAAAGTACAAGGTCTTGTCGACCCGACAGCTCGTCGGATTCATTTGACTTTCATTCGTGTTCCTCCAACTCGTTATTTACCTCTGAATCAGAAAGCGAAATTGCAAAGCTAGAAAATCTTATCGACTTAGGAGACGAAGGCGACTTTTTTCATAGTGACTCTTTCATCATGGACAAATGGTATCACAGAAATGCTGAAGTAGGAGAAACATTCGTGTAGAAAATATAGATGTGAACCCAAACTAGCCTGAAATAACTATTGATTACCTCGGATGTATAGATTTCGTTTCTCCCCACCTCATGGACTATGGTCTCGCTCCAGCTGAAGAGCGTGCATGAAGTAGTTTTGAATTTGCAATACAATGTAAAAAAACCTTCGAGCTAACTAGATATAGAATTGAAACCAAAGTTCATAGGAAACTAAAGGCAAAATATATTTTCATAAAGAAAAAGAAACTCCTTATTTTAAAATCTAGGCGTCTTCAGTTCCCCTTGTTGCGACCGGCTGCAGAAATCAAGTCCCCTCAAACATTTTGTCGTCGTCAATATCATTATCTTCCTCCTCATCGGCATCCTCATCTTCGTCGCCCACCGTCAATATCATTTCTATACTTCCAGCTAATCTCTGCAAACGATTGTTCAATTATTAAATAGGACATAAACAACAACCTCAGTTACAGCGATTTTAGTTAATTTAGGATGTGGAATCAAAGAAGGGTGAAATAAAGATAACAACCGAGAATCAATGCTCCATTTTCATTGTCCTTTGATCAGTTGTTAGTTCTCGAAAGTAGTTGGTTAGTCATCTTTTACTGGTTTTGAGCACTTTACAAACTAAGGTCATTTACCATTATTTTCTTCAATGAGTGGTTAAAGTCTTGGTACACTCTACTACTTGTGGACTTTTTCTTTTTCTATAACTTTCATTTATCTCTCCTTTCGTCCATTTCAATGTTGGCTTGATCACCAACATTCTTGTGCTAACAAAATCAATAATCACAAACATTCTTGCAACGTTGTTTGGGGGGAAAGGGGGACTCTAAATAGCTTATTAGAGATGAATTAAAAGATTTAAGTTTATTACTTTTGGAATGGAGTGTTATCGACCTCCTCCTAAAGGGGGAGGTATGGTAACTACTCTCGCCACTCATTGGCGGACTGATCAGGGACTGATCATTGTTTATGGCCTGGACGACTTATCCCGCCTTGATCCTTCAACCGCCCTCCTCACCCCCCCTCCCTTCACTCCTTTGAGGAGGCATATAATATGTGATATGTTTATTCAAGATGTTAACAGGTATAAAAGCAGGTCTTGTATCAACATTATCTTCATTCATTTATGATAGAGTTGCGGCGAAAAAGCGCTGATCTCGCTCCAAAATCGTTTTTTTGGACGTCGAAACAACCTTTCGCCATCTATTTCCTTCGAACAACTTGCAATGTTTGCCCCGAGGCGATCCCAGAAATCTTTGCGCAAACACAAGGATCGGATTACAGACAACTCATTCATTCTATAATGGTTTAAGGGCGGCCTCGAGCTATTCCGTGAAAATCAAGATTCTTTGCTCTCCTTGTTCCTCGGTATGAAAACGTATCATAAAACATGCAAACAACTAATCAAAATAAGCCAGCCATAATTGCATTTTTATTTCTTCTTATCCTAAGTGTTTCCATATGTAAAATTGGTGCGAAGATTGTTAAAGTATTTTCTAATTTGATTATTGCACTACTTATAAAAAAAATTAAAAATTAAGAATTTAGTCGTTATGCAGTGGAAAAAAAGCGAAAAATGTTAAATGTTGTTACTATGTAAACTGCGGTGTTTTAAAAGAACTTCAAGAGAAAACTAATAACCGCACACGTCTAAAATTACGATAATTTCTAACGTTTACGTGTTTGATAAAGCCAATGAGCTGGTGACACGTCACCGGTCTTTCAGCTTCAGTTGATGAATGAAGGTCAGTGCGCTCGAATTTAATTGTCGATATCTCACCCGCTCCCTGCCCACACTCCTGAAATATTGAGTTGTACACTCTAAGATAAATTTCATGATTGAAGATAGATTTCATGATAAATTTCATTTTATTTTCATAAATTTCATTTTATTTTCATAAATTTCATTTTGAGTTGTACACTCGAAGAAAGATTTAATGTCCAATTGCGGCCATGTGTTTTTCTTTATTTCCTTACATAACCAATAAATAAAATGAGCCATTCATTCTTTTCTCATTATGCAGGAAGTGTTTAAAGTAAAAATATAATCCAAACACATTAGGGCAGTTTAAAAAGATGCCATGACAACCGTCTTCTTTCAAACGGAATGTTATGGATAATTAAAATCTTTTCATGAAGGAGACAAACAATTCGCACTTATCGCAATAATAAGTAGTTTCCACTTCTCTCCACAGTTTAACTAGGGCCAGATAATCCACATACATTTTACGGGAACGTCCACTGTCAAACAGGCCAAAAAAAATCAGTGTTCGGAAATTTGTGCACAGTGTGCATGCAAAGGTAAGGATGAAACGTTTAATTGTTGAAAAGATAGGGTTGAACCACGTAATTGATACATCCAGCACACAATGCAACATCTTGAGGGTTGGCTAAAATGTTACTCACAACCTTCATTAACACTTATCGCTGTTATCGGGTTAGAGCACTCTTTAATCATATCAACTGAATATCATCTGCGAAAAAATAATGTTCCCCAGATGTTTCTTTAACTCACATTAATCAATTTTTGAAACGTCGGCAGCGTTGCCTCTTTCCAAAGTTATGTAACAGGAATAAATTTTTATGTTCTATTCATACACATTTGTTTCTCGGTTTTATCAACACTTTACTACGATTTTCTGAATAAAAAATGATACAGTGAAAAAAAGAGATGATTTTGATTATCACTTAAGACCGTTTTGACAAAGAAACAATATTGATTTCTTAGACGGACTCGAGGAAAATGGCTACCCTTTCTATTTTGGACGCCTTCCATGAAATTCGATTGATGTCTTAGAAATATTGTTCCACAGTGAGAAAATAAATTTTGAGTATTTTCTCTGCCTGGAAGTTAAAATCAAGACTAGAGAAAAATTCATGAAAAAGAGGCATTATAATCACCGATGATAGAAAATTTATGCCATAGAGAATCATAATAACATGATTGTTGTTTTGTCTCCGAGTAAGTTCTTAGTACCGAAAGCTTATAGTGAGTGCAATTTAGAATCAAATGGTCCTGACCAGCCGTTGTTAACATTTCTTTCATTGACCTGTTAAATCGATGATTTTGATGGAGAGGAATCCTTAAAAACGGAAAGGAGACATGTTTTTTTCTTCTATCTTGTTGTGAGCTGAGATCGAGATTAACTTAAAATTTACCACGGTTTCTAAGGGTATAGTATCAGAATAAGTGGACGTAGACATTGTGACGAGTACAGACACGGAAAAGAGGCCATTTGTTCTCGTCATCTAAGACACGATCACTACGAAACACCGTCCACGCCAAATGTTTATACTGATTGTACCTAACGGTAAAACTCAAAGCTATATTCTCACGTACTCTCACAGATGCAGTTACGCCGTAACTGTATCACTGAAAGTACGTATGAATATGGCTTAACTACAGGATACCTATCGAGTGCCATTGATAGAGAACACTAATGGCGTCGTTGTTTTATTCTGTTTCTTTTTGTTTGATGTTTCCGTTTCATGTCCTTGTTTTGTTTGGTGGCTTGTTTCACTGTCAAAACAAATATGTTTGTTTGAGTTTAGCAACTTAATTAGAATTGAAGACAATGATACGTTACTTGTAACACCAGTGATAAGGGAGGAAATCTCAGTGAAACATGTTTGTTTTTGGACTTTTTAAAGTAGGAATATAGATCCCCAAGAAAGTTGAATGTCAATATAAGTTACTCGTACAATCATGCGAGAATTACCCATAACTAAACTCAGTGCATGGGAAATTGTTTCTTATTCTCGCTGTAGTGTTTTTAAACAAATTAGCCAATCTTTGGGTCACAGTTATTGCAATCATTAAACTTTACTTCTGTTTCCGTCATTTATGTAATTGGAAGTACTGTTTGCTTTCATACGGCGGGAAAAAAAAACCCTAGACAAATGATTTACACGAGGATTAAAATGGCTGACGGCCCCACTTAGGGTTTTCATTCATTCATTATTTATATTGTAATTATTTTTTCAAACAACACTTGGTAAGACATTGTACTGGTACCAGTTATTTAGTTTATAACTGAAGCTTCAGGGATACAAGTAGTCAATTGGACTTTAAAAATCTCATTATTTTTTTCACAGAAAAAGCTAGAAAAAAAGACACTTTAAAAGATTGAGAACTGAATAGAAGTCTCTAAAAAGGTAGATAGAGTTTCAGCTTTAAATTTGCAAACCATACCCTTTTGTTTTGCTAATTTCACTCGCCAATAAAAATTGATTAGAAAATATTAATTCTTAGTATTATAAAACTACACGACCAGAATTATCGTCCCTTAAAAAGGAAACAAATTTACTTGTAGCCGAGTCAGTTCAAGGTGTATACCCGGCTCAAGTGACATCACTTTTTATAAAGAGCTTCAAAGGTAAATTACGTGTACTTGGCATTGACAGACTTCGAAAGATTACCATCAACAAAGGAAGAGAAAAGAAGGCAGCTGCCGATGTAAACGAGGTAGGTATTAAAAAAAAATATTCTCAACCCTTTCTCAATGAACGACGTTGCTGTAACTACGGTCTCCTCTATTCCTAGCCGCTCGAAAGACTAAATATCATTTGTACGTTCTTAATGTTACCGCCTAGTTCTGCGTCTTATCATTATCATATGTTACATTCATTATCACGTACGTTGGAAAAGCTTTATACAGATCAGGTCCGTGGTGTTTTTTTCTCCTTATGAAAAAGGAAATTTCTTTTTTCGCACACTAAGAAATGACAAATAGTTTGAGAAGAACGAACTTTTTCAAGCTGTATGTTGAGAAAGTTTCAGCGTCGATGGTAAGGCGTTTGAGAAGTCGGGTCAACAGGGTATGTAAATAATCGAGTTGTTAAAAAACAGTCATCCATATCTGTTTCGAGATGTTAGTAGTCTCGACACTATTTGAGTCTTTGTTCTCTTTATTGTTACAAAATTATTTCATCGTCATTATTTCATGATTCCTTCACAGCCCATAAAATGTTTGTGCAAAAAAGCTTTAAAAGAAATATGATCATCGAGGTCTTTGCATAATCAGCAAGCAAGCAATCTTTGTTAAACAAGACAGTTTACGTGGATTTAAATTTTTAATTTTCGTTGATGAGCGCCTTGTGTATGTAAAGTTACTCAAGCAATTGAGAACTACAAAAGGTCAAAATCCGTGGGAAGAAAGTGGCTTACCACAGACTTCGTGATATGTATTAAACTGCAAAGTCTTTTTATCCCTTGCTTTGAAAATGAAATTAAAGAAATTTTGTGGCAGATTTCTAGATAAGATTGCCAAAAATGTGTTCACAAAATGATTTCACATACATCTTGTACCTGTGCGTTACTAGTCGAAGTAAAAAAAAAAATGAATGCTCTCGGGAAAGAATCGCAGTTCGATGGTTTAAATCATGATGTACACAAATTGAGAAAACGTTCTATCCTTCATTTTACTTTAAATGTTAAGATTTCCAAATATTTTGCAAATTTATGCAGATTCTAGAGTCGACAGGAGATAAGATAAGTGCCTAGACCGAATGTTAAAGAATGGAAAATGTGAACATTCATCGCGAGAATAGGTCAAAGAAGTCCCCTACCCAGGGATTGAACCCCAAACCTCTTCCGATCTCGCAAACGAACGCTTAACCAATTGAGCGACAAGGACCCCGCTGATGAAAGTGATTCATGTATATGTTAGATTTAGAACAATTTCCAAGGGGTAAGTTTTCTGACGAGGAAAACATTGTAGCTTGCGGGCAGAGATAATTTGGATTGGGTATTCAGTTTTCTTCCGTTGCATTTTTGTTTGTTTCCGTTAGCTTTTAAATAATTTGCTCCTTTTGAAATCCTTTCAAGTGGCTTAATTTATCTGATGTATTCCGTGAAATTATCCAAGTTAAAGTGATTCTAGAAAATAAATTTTTTGTAAACAGATGCTTTTATCAGCTAGTGCCAATAATTTATGTTTTGCAACCCGTTGCGAACGAGTGGGGGAATTAAAAATCATAACTAATCTGTCACAACATTTAGCAGGGGTGCATATGATAACAAAGCAAGACAAAAATTGCTGTCAGATTTTGCCCAGTTTCGAGCTGAGGTCTGTCTACGCTGTATATGAATTTATTTTTGTTTATCGACAACCTATTTGAATATGGCGTCAAAAACGCTCTACTCATACCAGCAGAAGCTTGGAATAAATGTAGCCTTTGTGCGTCACATTTGACCGAATAATTTTCAGGGATGCAGATGATTTGAATGTAAATTAGGGTATCAATAATCATCAAGTCGAAAAGTTTCGAGAAATAACAAACCGCAACTTACGTCTAAACTGAACACATACGTAATTTTGAGTCTGCAAAGCTTGTTTTGCAGTCCGGGAGGGAAACATCGCGAGGCGATAAACTTCTGCGTTAAATATAAAAACGGTTCAAGCCGTGAGGTACCAGACATTTTGAGGCTGACGGGTCAGTATTTTCGAAACGTATGTTAGCTTCATTCAACTGATGCTACGGACAGTTAGCTAGTTATCATTTTAATCTTGTATAGAACGATGTTTTTTGTTTGCAATCTTAAATCAGATTTTCAAAGAAGTAAAAAAAACTGGAATACCTTGGATTATAAAAGATTTCGTATTAATAGCGTGCATACGGTTTTATACTCTTCCAAACACATTGGAGCAAGAGAGTACTGCGTGAAATGGTATAAAAACTTTTCTATAACTAATGATGTACGTAAGCTTTGTTTGGCAGAACTTTTTTTTTAGGAATGCACTCGCACTTGTTTAAGCGAGGTGAATATTTTCATCGTTTCCTAAAAAATTCTCGTTAGCGGAGCTGTTAGGATAACTGGGTTTTGTAAGTTATCTAAGCTATACACCATACTTTGCTGACAAGAATACAGTCTTTCATTTCATTACCTATTCTGTTTGTCTGTTCATCCGTGTCTTTGAATAGAAAATGTAATTTCGTCCATTCGTTTGTTTAAATTCTTGACATGTTTTCAAGCATTAACAGGGAATAAAACAGAATCTAGTTTTTTTTATTACTGCCGCTACGTTTGAAATCACTCACATTATTTCATCAAGCTCTTTTTTTTAGGACTTTGAAAGGAATTTTCTTGCCAAGAATGAATTTTGGCACGCCATAGGCATAAATTACTTTTTAAATAGTACCGTTTTCGGTAAATTCAATAAGAAGGAACATACGTAAGTTTTTGATTGATTTTTAAGTTCGAACGTCCAATTTCTTCCTGCAATGTATTACTATGACTTTTGTCATCCATCAACTTCATCTAAATCCAACTATACCGTAGAAAACGTCAAGCCACAGCCTTCTGGTACTCATTCTCAAAAGGAATGTAAATTTTCAATGAGCGCAAATTTTTACATAAATGGCTTCATAAGCCCTTCATCAACCCCTTTCAACTTTTCCTTGGAAAACAGGAAGCCGTATGAAGTCATAAAAATCATGACAGCACGCCAGGAATAAACCTTGCAAAAGCTGATGGTTTCATTACTGCGGTGTTAATTTCCTTCTATATGTATTCTATTTTAATTCTCAGTTTTTCGTTTGACTTCAAAAGTGTTTCAAACATCAAAGGGAGCGGTAAAGTGCCGGCCGCAAGGAACGAAAACACGAAAACACGAAAAAGAAACATTTACCGCAAAAGTTTTTAATCTATGTGCGGTTATGAAAATTGATGTTAGGTTATATCGCCTTGAATTTGTCAGGTAATTTCTGGTTACATAAAACTCAGCGCGGACTCGGTCCTTTGGTGAAGAAATTACTTTATGATTAGTAAGGACGAAGTTTCGATTTAGTCTACAGTTCAATTAAGATACAACCAAGTTTACATTAAAGTTTCATAGTCCATTTCCGCTGCGATTAATGTCACTTTATGGCCTTCCTTTTCAACTGACCGATCCTTCATTAGTTCTGATTACAGATTAGCATTCAATTTCCGTTAATTATCCTGGTTAGTACAGCAAATGAGCCATCTTAATGAGATAGACAAAACACAGGGGAACCCTAAGTGTGTTTAAAATTACATTTGTATAAACAATTTTAAAGTTAGAGGATTTTTTAATAAAGAGGCACGAAACAAAATGCTTTCCTGCTGTATGCGCGATTGAAAACAAAACCATCTATTTCTATCACTCCAGGTCAAGAGGCAAGGATTCCCAGTGATTAGTCGACATGCTCGTCATCTTACCTTTCCTTTTATTGGCGCTTACAAGGTATGGCTATGGGCAACGAAATTGTTCAGGTGAGTCAAGAGGCTATCTATGTAACACTTACGTTTGCAAAGCAACTTGGGAATTCCTTTCTTGTCACAAATTTAACAAACTTTGCGGCTGTATAAGAACAGCTTAATTTTTATTCAATAAATGTGCAGAATTACGAATATCCACGCTATATGTATCGAAAAGAGATACGAAACACAAACTTCATTTATTTGGAACTACTAGAAGTAACAGTCTAAAATTCTGTTGTAACTATTGCTATATTTTATATAACTAGTGCTATATTTTTAACAGATGACTGCACAAAAGCCCTCGGGATGGAAAACAACAAAATTAAAAACTCTCAAATTATCGTAGTACTTGTTTACAACGACGACTATGCTAATTTTGGTTCTCAAAATGCGCGGCTGCACAACTCCCTTGGTTACAGAGGTGACCCACAGGTTGCTAGAGTAAGTAATTTTTTAGTGATCAATTTCGACGAGGAAATGGTAATCACTGCCATAGCAACTCAGGGTTTTGGAGACCCCAAGGTTAATGAATGGGTTACAAGCTTCCAACTGCTTTACAAAGATTCCAAAGGTGATCAGAAGTCTGTGAAAGGCACTGATGGCCAGGCACTGGTAAGGCTATAAGACCAATTTGTAATACCTGTATTTGATTAAGTCTAAAGAGACTTCCCAAATGCTCTGAAGTTACTTACAGTTAGGCGTCTAATCAACAGATTCCTTGCTGCTCTATCATTTTTCAATAATAGATTTTCACCAACGCATTAGCAATAATTTTAGGACGTAAAGGAGTTTAATGCTGGACTATTGGAACTCTTAACTACACATGTCATGTTACCCATAACAAGAACAATTTGTGAATGGGGACATTATCTTTGCGGCTATTCTCCTATGAATCATAAGAACCAATTGAAGTGCGTGTATCATAGATAAGAACCAATCGAAGTGCGTGTACATTATTCGTCGCACGGTCTTGCTAAACAATGCACGGGTGGCGTTGAACTCAGCTTTCCCATTTCCAAGATAATTGAAGCTTTGTGGTTAAAAATTACTGAAACGGTAGATATATATGCAGACCATTGATAACTAACGTTTGACGTGTAAATCAATGATGCATGATTTGACTTTACACAGTTGCTGAAATATCACAAACGTGTGAATAAAACTGCAATAGGTACTATTTATTAATCGATTTCTACCTCACCATAACGAATAAGCTGTTTTACCTTTTAGGTATTTCTTGGAAATATGGACGGTAATACGGTAAAGCTGAACTCATTGCCCATTCCTGTACTCACGACGGTGGTTACTATTATACCACTCACTGCTAACAATAACGTCGGCCTAAGGCTGGAGCTTTATGGCTGCAAAGGAGGTTAGTGGTCCTCTTTGATTTAGATCTCATCAGTAATTATCTTCATTGTCTTCTATATAATTCTTATGACGTTACTTTGGAGAAATTGGTACTGGAGCAACATAAAGTCCCTCAATTGATATTTTTCTTTATTCTCATCACTTGCCTAATTGATATTGTATCGATATTGTAAGGAGAGATTCTGTCTTGGCCACTCCTGAATATTAAAGGATTGGCCTGCTTCACATGTTATATGGTTAAAATCTACTTCCAATCACGTTCCTCTCCACAATTACCATTGCTTCCATCGATGGATGATGACAATTCTATTATATCTGATAGTCTCTTCTTTTCCTTAAATTTGTGACTGCTTTAGTTTGTTTTTTCGTTCTCGTTCTTTTTTATTTTATTCTACGTCGATGATTCTTTTAGGCCATTACTTTGTTGCTTGGTTGATGTTAAAAGAGACTCTATTTACTCTGGCTTACACGGATCCTTTAAATTATGAATATGAAGAAGCCACAGCAACAGTCTTGGATGAGGTCAGTTCGGAGAATGTTTGAATGAAAAGCCTCTAATAAATTTTATTAGATGCTGAAGTCCATTGTTACATACTGATGCTCTGTTTTAGGTCCTAGTATCCGGTTTTAAAGAATACTTTCTTATTACAGACACTAATGTCCGATTTTAGACACAAGTGTTCGATGTTAGACACTATTGTCCAATTTGGACAGGCATATAGTGTCCAATTTTCGACTATAGTGTCCGATTCTGGACCCTGCTGTCCAATGTTGGACACAGCTCACTGATTTTGGACACTTTTTGTTCTTTTGCCCTATTTCCGACAGTTCTGTTAGATTTCAGAACAAGTTTTGATTTTTACGGGAGCTTTCCACTCAATATCCATTCCGTCTCAGGAGATTCAAATCGACGAATACTTTTAATATAATGACAGGGCCATGCCAAGTCACAGGCATTATTTTGAAAAAACTTCGCTTCCATTTACCAATATGCGATGAAGTCAATTCGAGGACTCGAGACAGCTCCCTCTTTTTTTCGGCATTTACATTTAAAAATTTGTTCTTTCAGATCGATAGAATTCTTGGGACATCCAGGGGATTTCTTCGCGCTCGTATAATAGAATTAACGTAAGTAGCCAGTTACGTCAGTGTGGATCAGTTCTAGAATTTGCACCATATCCAGCTCAATTAACCGGCTAGAAGAGTTTGTCCTATTACAGGTGCCAAAGATCTGCAGTTAAATTCCTTGTCGAGACAGAAATTTCTTTCGTTTTTCTTGCTTGGAACAAAAACAAAGGATAACTTCCTTCTCATATTTCTACTACTACTGCCTTCATTATCCTTAATCCAAACAAGCGCGCAAAGGTTTGTGTCAAATTTCTTATTGCAGCCCACAAACGTCTACATCTATGGCTACAATGGTTACTGCCATGGTAGAAATCCACTGTTTACGATCAAGTGAACCAGTCCTATTGGCGAAGCTTAAAACTGCGTTGGAGGAATTCGAAACAGCTTTTGAACCAAGCTACATCAAGTTTCAGTATCCAAGTAAGACAACGCGGTTTCTTTAAAATGTAAATTTACATGATGACGTCCTTTTGTTACACTTATTAATGTTCCTCGAATTTTTACTGTTTCTGACTTTATTGAGATGATAAAATTCTAATCTGTACACAAAAACGATATAAATCTTCGTTATTGATGTCAATTGACGTCATCGTACAGATATCCTATTAACATGAAAACAGTTCAAAGAACAAATTAACTTATTTTTGTCAATCACAAGAATATAAATCACTTTTCAACTCTTGGCATATGTTTCATGTTTCAGCAGTATAAGACCACAGTTTGTAACAAAAAGATATCATACTGGATGTAAATTACTTACGTTTTTAGGGCTTTGATCATGATCATTCTTTTCTGTTATTTACTCGCAAGCTTTCCTCAGGTTCGGGTAATACAATTTCGACAGTATCGTTTTCCTCTCTTATTAGAGGCAGACATAACTAAGGACTGAAATATGAAAAGTCATCATTTAAATCGTTTTGTTGTGTTTTGTTTTGGTATTTTTGCAGAACGATGTGGCTGTACACCGCTAAAGGCAAAGGTTAAACTTAGAAAAACGATCAAGACCGCTGAGGTGCATAGACGTTCGCAGATGCTCAGATTTCCTGTTGAGCTAGAAAACTCGTGTAAATCTAGCGGATCAAAATTCTACTCCTGGACGGTCTCAAAAATAGACAAAGAAACTGGCTTATTTGGTCCATTACTCAAGTTAGGGAAAAAAATGTGGTTCTTTTTACCTCTACGTATGATAGACGTTGGATATGCTTACATCCAATGTTTGGTGGAGATTTCCGGTAATACTGGCTCCATAGCTTACGACTACGGATACGTAAGAGTCGTTCGAGATCCCCTCGAGGCACGTATCACTGATATATCCAATTCATCTTCTAAAATCGTATTAAGTGGAAAGGAATCTCGTGATACTGGCAACAGGAGGTCTGGAACACGAGGTCTGCGGTTTGCTTGGTTTTGCAGGCTCGGGAACGAAACCTTTTCGCATGAGGTTGAGCTTGTTGTGGACAGGCCACTTGGTAGAACTAAGAGTAACTCGGGATGTCTGGGATTTGGCCCTGGTAGACTCACCTCTACGGATGAAGTATTAACCCTGAATATAACGGATATGATCAAAAGCAAGATGTATATCTTCAAGCTCATTATCGAGAAAGACGTCAGGAATGCAAGTGCTGTATATGAATTTACTGTAAAGCCTGTCGTGTCAATCAGTGTAAGGTAAAAATGCCAAGAATGACCCTTGACAAAAAGAAATGAAAAAGGCAAAGATAAGTCCAAATTTCATCGCGAACTTTACTCTGGGCTGATTGTATAAAATTTGACCGTTATATGCCAGTACTTTTTATGAAGTTTGCAACTGCAGATTTTTCCATTCGACCACTTGGTCAGTGTTCCTAAACAAAAAAAATAACATCCTTTTCCTTTTAACGACAAATTAATTTTAAAAAAATTAAAATCAACTGGCTTTTTATTTTCCCTTGAGGAGAGCAAGGGTAAAACTCTATGAACAACAGAGTTAATATAATTTGCTTTTTCCTTTGTTTTTCATAAGGTGCTTATCAAATTGTGGTGAAAAAGTCACCCCGCAAGATTATCTTCTGTTAGAGGCTCACTGCGTGGGAGATTCGTGCAGCAGAGTCTCAAAATACGAGTGGAGTGTTCATTTAGTTAACCAAGAGGACCTCTCCGTTCAAGAGATCCATCATAAACGAATTTATCCCCAAATGAACAGCCAACGTTTTTTGATGGAAGATGTTTCCAAATTACAAGACGACAGAAATAAACAAATTATCTACGTCGTTAAAGCCGTGGCTAAACTGGACGAGAAAACGCAGTTTGAAGGAGAGTTTACCTTTGTAGTTAACTCACCTCCTAGGAAAACTCCAAAAACCAGATGTCACGTCACACCGATGGAGGGTGAAGCAGTTTTAACAGATTTTATAATCTCATGTTCGGGCTGGAATGACGAAGATAAACCGCTTATTTACGAGTTCAGGTATCAGGACAAGTACGGCATGGTCCTTATTCAAACTGGACGTCTGAACAGAGTAATTACGAAACTTCCGGTGGGAAAAGCCACGGAGGATTATTCGCTAGTTCTTGAGGCCCAAGTAGGCGACTCATTTAAAGACTTCACTGAAACCCGTCTTCTGGTTAAGGTACTCATAACAATCAACACTCTTTTTTCTTTTTCACGTGAATAGCCAGTTTTCTAAAAGAGGCCAGATTGCTTTACTCTGCATTCACCCTTTCGGAGCCGGCCTTTTTTGCAGCCAAAGAACTTTTCGAAAAAATCAGTCGAATTTGTTTTTAATTTTAAGGAGAAGGGTAGCCTGAAATTAGAAGTCTGTCTCAATTCACCGAAACCTTTATCAAGGTGATACCACTTTTTCAAAGGCGAATTCATAATATTTGCAGCTTAAGTTGCTGTTTTTTTAATATGTACTGTAGGTACGTCCACCCAAGCAGTCTGAATTAAAGAATGGACTTGTTGACAAGCAGCTTAACGTCATCCGGGACTTGGTGCAAGCTGGTGATGCTGACCGAGCAACCGAACTTGCATTTATGTTGATGTCAACTGTGAAGGACTTTAGTGATGAATCATTTGAGGAAAAATCGGTACGAAGTAATGCTAGAGAACATAATTTGAAATTTTCATAATAGCGAGTAGGATCTTGTGAAATTTTCCTTTAGGTGAGTCTTTTTGAGGGTAGCGGTTTGGGTGTATTCGACAACCTTCGTTTGGAAGAATGCTCGGTAGTTGTGCAAACCAGAGACACACCCTGCTTAACCTCTTTGGGTTACAATTTACTCAGACGTAAACGCGAAAAATTGTGTTAACACGAAAAAGTGTCTCCTACAGTTAAGATATATGGTGCGTAAGATAAAAAAAAAAAAAAAAAAAAAAAAACTTGTAGGACTCTTACTTAGGATTTGCTTTTATCTGTCCCTTTTTGTTTTTTTGACAGAGTGCCATTGTACACGATATGAAAGATTTAAAAGTAAATAGCGTGGTTCATGTTACAAAAGTCACGGCTGTGGTTGCTTGGGCAACAGAGGATAGGAAAACTGTTCCCATGTCTTTGCGAGTAAGGTTACATTACGTTACTACATACAATATATATATATATCGGGTAATTGAGTATTATCACATAAACTGCGGTGTTATACAGGGATTTCCGGCCCTGAGAAAAGCCGTAACAACATACGTGAAAAAATATCGTTTTTTTCACGTTTGTTGATATAGTCAATCAGCTGCTGACACGTCACTCGCCTTTGGCGCCACTCGGTCAGGTTTATGAATGAACCACAAAGCCTTCACGATTCTCAATACAAATTGTTTGTCTTGAGAATCCTCGAATTATGGCGGCTAAAACACTAAAAAATACGTATTGCTGACAGACAGTGATGTTCAAACTTTCCTAGAAAGAGAAGAAGACTAGTATACTAAAAGAAAAACCGAAAGTTATGTATTCAGTGGCTTTGGTTTTAGCATTTCTTTTTTAGCATTTGTCACTGGCTGATTTTGGCCGTTTGCCTGAAAGGCTTCTTCTGTCGGTAAGGACAAAGTCAATAAATAAGAATTTTGTAAATTGAAAATTACGACCATTGTTGGTTTTGTAATCATGATTCAACGCATTTTTCAATCTTAAGAGTTAGCGCCGACGCACTTTACGATTGTTATTCAGGGATTGTCGATTCATTTATTTTCATTCATTTATGAAGTCGGCTTTTCTTCTCAGTAAAGATAAACAAAATAATACATGGTTTCTGGTAGATATGGAATTTCTCTTCTCGTGTTCAACTCGACATCTCACTATTGGTGGGTATATGGTGACGAGAAACAAGGACAACTTATACCAGATATGTATATAGGCTAGAATTAAGCTTGTCGATGGCCAACATAGCTTTAAGGGGATATATTTTATTAGGTATTTCTCTGGATGTAAGGATACCACAAACATTTCTACCAGGGCTGACTGTGCATTCCATATCAACAACACAATACATCGAGTCACAATATCTGTTTTCATTACTGAAAGAGACTTACCACGCTTTTGTTTCACAAGGCTGACGCGTTGACCCTCCTGACTGAAGCCACAGACTTCATGGCGTTACAGTTCACTTCAAACAGTACCCACGATGCCCAGCTTGCAAAGAATGTTAGCTCTGGTCTCCTCAATAGCATTGGAAGTATTTTAAACATTTCCTCAAGAGATGCCAAAGTAGAAACAAGGGACAATTATGTAAAAGAAAATGTAGGTGAAATTGTGCTTGACCGTTTTTGAATTTGATTTAGAGTTTTGCTTTTAAAACGTTAACGTGGGAAATTGCTCTATACTGCTATTTGACTACTAAGATGAATACTGTTGCATGCCTTGAGAACTGATCGCCAACTATCTTTTACAGCATTTTTAGAAATTGTCTTGTAACATACGGCAATATCCCCCCCCTCGAATTTCATGAAAACTGTACTCAGGGAAACCTTCTAAGGTTTCCCTGTCAGGAGTGCTTAAAAGTATAAGTTAAACTAAGCTCACAATAGTTGGAAAATGATTAGTTCTTATAAAAAAAATTAAAGTTCTTCGCTTGTACCGTAGGGAAAGGAAACAACAATGAAGACAATGGAATTAATCAGAAAAGTCGGCGAAGTCCTTTATGTTACTGACGATAACCGCCAAAATAAAACAGTGGTAAAATCTAACTTTGTTGACATAGTGATCTATAAAGAAAAACCGGAAGATCTCAGTGGGAAGAATATAAGCGAGAATGGAGCAAGTGTTGTCATACCTGACTCGAAGGATGTATTTCCCAACGCAAACGAGAGAGTCACAATACAGGTACGTCGACTCTATTTTATCGTTCTTTGGGTTACCCTTAAAAAAATACTCTTTCACTGAGGCAAAGAGATATCCGTCACAGTTAACGCTTTCGAAAAGTTTGGCCCGAATCATAGACAAACTTTCAGCTTCAGCATAATTGGAATGAAAATGGAAGTAATTACCTCTTCCTCATCATATTAACTTCCCATCAGCTATGCGGGAGTATATCAATCTATATGTATATATATATATATATATATATTATAAAATTTGCCGAGGTTAATTGATACGATCCACTTATATATTTCCTTGTGGCTCTTTCCACTTCAGATGATGACATTTAAAGAAAATCCTTACACGTGGGATAAGACTGCATCGAGTATCAAATCATCTGTTATTGATATCACCCTAAAAGGTGGCACGGGCTTTGAAGTACAAATAAACAATCTCAGCCAGCCGTTCGTACTGCATATACCTTATAGGGAAACAAACAGAGACTTGAAAGCCGAGAAAGAAAAACGACCATTGTTCTTACAACCAGGAAAATTTCGATACCACACTCTTGTTATCCCTACAGAAAACCACCTTGTGTCGTTGAGGATCGCCACCGTCGGAGATCACCAGTTAGCTGTTTACTTCGGGAGAGAATTTAAACCTACTGTCAGCAACTACACTTTTGTCAATAATTTACCAGATGTATCCTCCTGTAACGGCAATAACAGTCTTAGGTTGACGAACTGCAGCGATGATATTCATGCTCTCAAACTTATTGGATACCCTCCTGGTCTTTATTATGTTGGTATCATAAGAGTTCCTCCTGCTGCCAGATTTCGGAGGTCATGCATTAATAAAGGAAGGCGTGCAAAGAGATCCTGTGTTCAGGTTAAGGATCCACCTACCACACCACCCCCAACTCCTAGAATTATCACAATGCGATATAATGCGACAACAGACGTTAACTACACTTTCTCCGTAAATATAGCGGCGTGTTTGTTTTGGTCGGAGCGAGAAGAGAGATGGTCGAGTAAAGGATGTCAGGTATTTAATTTTTATAAGAAAATAAAATACTTTGAGTGAAGATAGAAAAGAAAAAAGGCTTGGACTAGTAAAGATCTAGACACACCCCATAGTTAGTATTTTAGGCACTTTGAACAAATTAACGCTCTTCGTTCTCTATGATAATTCGTGAAAATAATTGTTAAAAATACCAACATTCCTTTCAAATATTTATATTGGGCAGTATTCCTCATTAAATTCTTCTCATAGCAATTTTTTTATTTACCTGAGAATATAAATCGCCAGAGTTGTCCCGATATCGACGAAGTCACCTCATTCAGTTAACTCTTGATCTTAGGTTGGCCGTGGATCAAAGCCTGGAAGAGTCCACTGTCTGTGCAACCATTTGACGTCATTTGGCGGAGAGTTCTTCGTGGCCCCAAATCCTATTGACTTTGACAAAGTTTGGGAAGAGTTTGGCAGATTAGGAGCGACAGGAAATTATGCTGTGTTGGCAACAGTTTGCAGCATGTTATGGTTTTATTTCGTTGGTTTGGTATTTGCACGAAGAGCTGACAAAAGAGACGAGTTGAAGGTATCTTTAAAATGTCTGTTCATGCAAATTACTTCACCCTACAATTAAAAGGTAGTGTTCCAGAAGACAGACAAGTTTTGCCGTGGCTTGTCCTCGATTATAAAAAAAAGTCATTGCAGCGTTGAGGTTGTCATTTTCAGGTATGGAGTGGAGATGCTTGTTAGCTTATGACTTAAAAGTACTTTTTATATCGTGTTACGAAACTACTCAGGCCGCGCTTGAGTTTAAAGAAGACTTTTGCAGTCGAAAGCATATCTTGCCTGATCATTCAGCCATGTATGTGCTTATACTGCATATATAAATTAAGCAAAAATTGTCCACACTATGTCCTTTTTCACGTAACTTTATCTTTTTTCACCAAAGGTGATTGCGGAGTTTGACCTCTCCAGTCCACAGGATGGTAACCACACGTATGCCATTTCGATACAAACTGGCGCCTGGCGAAACTCTGGAACGACAGCAAATGTGGGACTAGTATTATTTGGCGAAGAGAGCGTCTCAAATCCGATTTTTTTTGCACATCAACACTTAGAAAGGATATTCTTTGCAAGGGGGAGCGTGAACACATTCACCTTGTCTCTTGAGAAGTCTTTAGGTTCCCTTTATAAGGTAAATGTATGGCACGACAACTCTGGAAAAAATCCATCATGGTTTCTTCTCGAAATAATCATAGAAGAGCTCAGAACAAAAGAAAAATGGCATTTTGTTGCTAATAGGTGGCTTGCTGTTGAGAAAGGCCTTGGGGAAATAGAGCTGGAGCTACGAGCTGCTTCAAATGAAGACCTATTGCAGTTCAGGAACGTATTTCATTCACGAACCCAGCAAGCCGTGGGAGATTCCCATTTGTGGTTTTCCTTGTTTACTAAGCCACCTCACAATCAATTTACGCGATGTCAAAGACTTTCCTGTTGCATGTCAGTGATATTCTGTGCCATGGTAACGGGAACAATGTTTTATCGCTTTGGTGCCCAAGCCACTGATACCTTTCACCTTGGACCACTAAAGTTAAGTTGGACAGAAATAAAGATAGGTATTCAAAGTGGCCTTGTGGCTATACCAGTCAATTTCCTGGTTGTAACCATCTTTAGGAACTCAAAGTACAGTAGAGATCAAGGAACGTCTTCAGGATGCTTACCACACTTCTGCATTTACATTGGCTGGGTCCTGTGCATATCTGCAATGTTTGCAAGCGCTGCATTTACTGTCTTCTATAGTCTATCTTGGGGTGCTGAGATCTCTAACCAATGGCTTGTGTCGATGACATTGTCTTTTTTTCAAGACGTGTTACTCGTTCAACCTTTCAAGGTGTTATGTATTATTTGTTTACTTTCCGTGGTCGTAAGGAAGCCAGTAAACCATGAAGAGGTGTGCCAATCACAATATCAACCTGAACATCATTCTGTTCGCACTGACGAGTTAAAACAAGAAGCAAGGATTTTAAAAATGGACGAAATTGAAGACGCGCGCCGAAAGCGGCACAGGGAAGTGAAGGCATTTCGTGCCATTGTGGAAATTTATTTTTTTATTGTATTCATCTCACTCTTTATGATCGTTTGCTACGGGAATAGAGACTCCTTGAGGTATAGTGTCACAAAATCTGCGGAAGATCTTTTCAAAGGCTTTGCAAAGGTAAGTCGACATAAGTTTGGTGCACGCAAAAGAAACTATCAAGCTTGTAATACAAGGAGGTAAATTAGGTTTTGTCTAAGCTTTGCTTGGACATTATCTACTCTTTAAAGGTTATGGAAAACTTTTGACGCTATTGTAGATATATAAAAACATTCCTGCTTAATTTTGTTCGGGATTGACTAGGCTTTCAAAATGCCGTGTATGAACGCCATTTAGGGCAGCTTCTAATTTCGTAACCCAGCCGCAATTTAGGAACTTTATTTTTCACGGTTTCTAATAATACTCAGAATCTATTTTTGTAGGTTAATAACAAGTCTTCTTTGTGGAACTGGGTGAGGAGTACATTTGTCCGCGGACTGTTTGACACCCGTTGGTACAATGGTGAACTGTTCGACTATGAGGAGGGTTTCATTGCCAACAGAGAAAATTTTCTGGTCGGAATGCCAAGACTTAGACAAGTGCGTATACTCCCAGGTACGTCTACAGGTCGTATGCGATACGTTTCTTAGCTTTTAGCACAATTCAAGACATACCCATCCCATAGGGTGCTCAGTAGAGCAAAATTTTGAAGAGCGCATTATGTAAGTCGACCTCTCCACGAGCAGAGACAACAGCCGGTCTCAAATCACGACATGGTCGTCTTGTACCTTCCTTTACAGTCTACAGATATGTTATTTATATCGCAATCTGTTTTCCAATTAAGGCGACTCTAATGCACTTATCTTTTAGTATTCATCAAAATGCATTGTAACCTTCTTCGTCGTCTTAATAATATCCGAGGAAAATGAAGTAAGCAAGATGTACGACTGATTTTAAGTACAAGCTTTCTGTCCGGTGAACGGCCTAAAGGAATATTCATTTATGTAAGTTGCCACGCAAAGGAAATTATAAAGACTATAGAAAAATACAGCCCATACATTTTTACCTTCACAGAAATGTATTGTGACGTATACAACCAAGTAGAAGGACTAGTTTTTCCACGATGCTTGCCCTTGTATGACACTCATGAAGAAGATACTACACCATATTACAAACCTGGGTGGATACCAGTCAGCAACTTTTCTGGGTTTGCAAGCAGTGACGATGAAATAAATCTGTTGTGTCCAAAACCGTGGCAATATATAACTGCGGATTTACTAGGTACTGTTCCATTCAAAGGTAAAATGGCTACGTACGGAGGTGGTGGGTACGTAGCAAATCTAGGTTACAACTCTGAATCAGCTCTTGCTGTGATTAATAGCCTGGAAGAGAACAGATGGATAGATGACAAAACAGCAGCTGTTTTTATTGAATTCACCGTGTTTGATCCTTCGACGTCCTTATTTGGAGTTGCGAAATACGTTTACGAAAGATTACTCACAGGAGGCGTTCTTACAAGCAGTAACGTGAAAGCGATTACTGTATATTTACCTCATAGCTCCAACAGTTTCAGGTTGTTTTATCTTCTATCTCAAGCACTACTTATGCTGATCATCGTTGGTTTCGCAATTATGGAGATGGTAAAAGCATTTCGCGGGGGTCACTCGTATTTCAGGCAATTTTGGAGCTGGGCTGATATGTTGCTATTATTTGTCTCGGCCGCTGGGATAGGAATAATGTTTTATAAGGAGAAGTTCATGCGAGATTACGTGACCAACGTTCGCGAAAATCCGTATGACAACTGGAGCACAGATCATATTGTACTATGGTCCGAAATTGAAGATTATCTTCTTTCAGTAGTGATGTTTTTAGCGACAATAAAATCTCTGCGACTTATTCGTTTTAATCATCACATTTATCAAATGAGATTTACTCTTAGAAGCTCACTGACTCCAATTTGCTCTTTCATGGCGATATTTCTTGTCGTTGTCGTATCATTTGCCTCATTTGGTCTGCTGTCTTTCGGATCTTCGATTGATAACTACTCTTCTCTACCCTTAGCAGTTGGATCACTGCTTCAGATGCTCATTGGCGGTAGGTTTTCATATTATCAACTCAAGTTCGCAGCCGACGGTTTTTTGGGTCCTCTATTTCTTTTTCTGTATCTGATGACTTCAATGGCTGTGGTGCTCAATACATTTGTGGCAATTTTGAACGAGTCGTATTCAACGTCGAGGATAGAGAAATCAAAAGATATAGATGACATTGATTCCGTTGAATTGGCTCAGTACTTGATGTCTTGTATAAAATCGTGGATTGGTTTTTGTCGCAGTTTTTACGAGTTCTTAAAAGAAAGTGTGAAATGCAGAAGAGTATTCACTCCTCAAAAGCCTGTTAATGAATATCATTCAGTACCTTCCTCCAAGACGAGCCATTTGGCTCCAAGGCTAGCATCTTTGGAAAGCTTAAATGAGATCGAAGAAGGCTTATCAAAGTTATCACTTGTGGATGATTTGCTATCTAATGTGCAAGCACGTTTAAGACGAATATCTGAACAGACACTACTTGAGGAAAGTCTCTATACACTCCAAACGACCAATGAAGGCAAAACCTCTTCAGAATATAAACTTGACTTTGAAAGTGATTCCGACAGTTTTCTTGAAGTAGTTGGATATCCTTCATCTGCTTCTTCGACGTTAAATTTTGATGATATTTTTTCATTTCATGGTTTGTCGGAAAGTGATATATCAGAAACTCGTTTATAACTTATCTTCTTTAGGGATTCTATAGCCGAAAATGAACTTTGAAGCATTATCTAACAGTGTTTTGATAACCATTTGAGATAATTTTTAATTTTGCTTCCTCACTTGAGAACCAACATCATGGACAGACAAGATAATGCCACACAGTTTGAAAAAAAAAAGGAACACTAAAGTGAGCTCGTCGTTGACATCGTTGCTTTCTTTTCGCACTTTTACACCTTCAAGGAAACAGACATAACATGCCTTCGTTCAAGATGAAAATTTGAATATGAATTATATATTGTCATTGTTAGTAATGAAAACACGGATATCTTATTAAAAACTAATATATTGTATATTAGGAAAAATGGAATCCCTCTCAAATAAAATCAAATAGTACTCAGATGTTAACCATTTAAAAATACTTATTCTTCTAATAAAAGATGCGGATTTTCTTTTCCAGTTTGTCGCTTTATTTTTGTTCAAGCTTTATTCAACGACCATAAATATATGACCCATCCTACATTCCTCCATACATGACGAGCCAAAAAGGACGCAATAGAATTGCACAGTTCAAATATATGACTTTTATATATTCACAGCCGTTTATTCACCACTTCACGGGTTTATTTGGAAACCACACAGTGACCAGCTCCCAGTTGGCTTGTTAGCTCAGTTGGTAGAGCACTCCGCCGGTATCGCAAAGGTCATGAGTTCAAATCCCGTACAGGCCTGAATATTAATTTCAGGCCTTCTTTTCATTACTGCTTAAGTAGAGTTCATTACTGCGAAGATCGCTATCATATTCACGTCTTTATCCGCAGTTCAAATATATGACTTTCATATATTCACAGCCAGAATTATTTATGAAGACTTTTTAAAGCATGAAAAAGTCATTCCATATCAACTGCCTGACAATGAAAAGGCTTGTTTATGCACTTAAAAAGTTGGGTGTGAAATTTTTTTCATTGCATATCGCGCGTTTTCTACTCCATTGGGGTATTTTCAAACAATTTTCTGATGGTCCTTTTTATTTCGAGTGGCTGCGTTTTTCGGGAAGCAGCTTTTGGGAAATGAAATAGAAGCAAGCCTGATTAGGAACAATTGTGTTATAGCCCAAGAAAAAGCTAATTGGCTTTTTGGGTATGTATGTCTATTGAGGAAGATTTCTAATTGCATAAATGTTTGAAAAAAGGATTTTTTTTCACAGTGCATTATATTTTGGCAGGCTAAACTATTGGTAAACCTAGAAGTCTTTACGATTATTTCCTCATTTAAGAATAAGGGAGCAGTGCTCTATCACTAAGTCCTCGATGAAAATCCAGGTTTACAATTAGCAACATTGTTCCTCCTGAATATCTCTTATTCGGCAAGATTATTTTCGCGATATACGGTGCAGGAAGGGTAATTTAATTATTCAGGGTGCAATACTGTCTCTTGCATATTCAAAAGCTAATTTATTCAGAACAAACACATAACTTTATATTTAATAAAAATATCTGATGGCATATTTTATTGAGTATTTAAAAGAAATTTAATAACCTGCATGTACACATTATAACCTTTTTAGTCTAAAGCTACCCGAGCGGGATCATTTCAAGGGCAGTAGCCCTTTAAATTTGAAAAGTGCCATGACCGTGAAGCCCGCATAATTCAGAAGCTAATTTATAACTTAAAAAACGAAAGGAAAAAAATTATTATGTATGAAATATTAAAGAGAGCCGATACACCTAAATGGAAGCTGATAAATTATGTTCCCAGCCTTACGCTCATTTAGTAGCAGCCATGATCAAGCCCATTTCTTGTCGCGAGTTGTCAATACTGGAAAGGTGACAAGAAATATGTTCTAGTAAATAATAATAATCTTATACAAGAGTCTTTAACTTGAAACATGCTCGGTACATCACTTTTATAGCACTTTTACTTCCGTGACTACACCTGAATAAGATATCGATGGTGTCATTTCATACCTATTAAGATACAACTCAATATTAAGATTAACAATGAGGATTTGTTAAACGAAAATAGTTCCTTAATTACCGCAGGATTTAGTTAATTAATCGATGTGGTGCCCGCATCTTTTAACATTTATTTAGCTTCGACGCTTCACCGTAGAAGATATTCTAGACTTATTATTGCTCTTCGTCCTAAGCTGTGTTTGAAACTTTTCGTAGAGTCATGAAGGCGTCTCTTACTGGTCATTTCAAGCACCTTTTCTATCATTATTCAAATAAAAATATTTAAAATAATAATAATAATAAAAATAATGATGAATTTCTATAGCGCCATATGCATTAGCTCATGAAGCTCTACAACACTTTGCATTGGACTTTCTATGGACTGCAATGAGCAGTTTACAATTTTTTGAAGGAATTTTTTTTTCAGATGCCCTCACTTTCCTACTATTTATTAGAAGTGTGTAGGTTCTTAAACTAGTCAAAAAACTCACTCCTCAAAACCTCAAACGACACTCTTCGCTCTTCCTGTATAATGCAAAACAATGTCTGTTTGAAGGTAATTCTTTTCCTAGACTTCACCAAAAAATGAAGTGGTAAACTCTGACTTGAAAATTTTCTGCGCATCATAAGAAAACTGGTGCGTATTCTCTTAATTAATATTGGTCACATTCGCGTTTATTGTAGGTAATTAAACTCTAGATATATGACTGACTGGCTCGTGAATAATGGATAAAGGGTTTTAGCAGCACAAATAGACAAAATTTCACAGTAATTAGAAAACATGCTTTAAATGGAATTCCTGTTCACCTGTTCTATCGAATTGATGTTTACATGCTGTTTTTTATTAATAATTAACAAGAGGCTTTACTATTTTTATTGTGACCGTGGTGAGGTTTCAGTTGACATGGAAAAATGGAAGGAAGAAGTCAGATCCTCCATTTTCTCCTGGTCATAATTGCCTCTTTCCAACAGACCGAGGGAGTCTTTGGTAAGTTAAGTTCTTATATTTTTCGCCTATAGAATGCTTTATCACAAATCCGACAATTGTTGATACCCATACTATGAATGACTTCGAACACCGCAGTACAGATAAAAATATCAAAGTGATAGGACTGTATAATCCATGCATGAAGGGTAAATATATATCTCCGAATTCTTATTCCATTCCTGGTAGCGATTCATAGAATTCTGATAATGGAATAGTGCATAGCAGACCTGAATTTAGGTATTGTAAAGGCAAGGAAAAACGAAACGAGAAATCCAGGATCATTGTTTATTATAGCAGACTTTTTGGATGAACCAGTAGAATGGTTAATTTAGGCGCTCTTAACTTCCCTCTAACCAAAGGAATCATTATTTTTCCCCGTTTGACATGGATATACATATTCATGGAAAGTTATTCATTCTAGTCTGGTAAAACATGCTGTGGTGCAAATATCTAAAGTAAATGCACGTCAATTGGCGCGGCCTTTACGAAGAAATCTAATCGCCTTTTTTGACAGTTAACCTTAAACTTTTAGAATAAGTCCAATTCAGAAAAAAGCATTATTCCAAAACAGGTCTTCGCCGACACACGAATATGATAATAGCCAAAATTTCTGGGAAAAACTGAGCTAGGTAAATTTCAGGTGGACACACCTTACGATGGTAACGCATTCAAAATGTTTTACTCTGTGTATCAGTTTGAGCCTGAAGATAGTTTTGTTTCTCTCAAATATTGTTCAAGTGGCAACGGATAAGCGAGCTTATTTTAAAGTTCACGTCTCTTTTAAATTCTAACAATAACCATAATAAGAATGATAATGAGTATTCCAATGATGGCGCTAATGGATCCATGTGGACTTTTCATGAAAACGCAGCACCCTGTTTACAATTCTTTGCCACCCTTCTGCAAATTGGTAGAAAACGCGATTGTTAATTTTTACGAGATGGCTCCCTTAACATAGAACGTAACGACTCCGCACACGCAAATAAGACTACAAATGACTTGCACACTATGTCATCGTCTTACGCAGATGACTGTAGCAGTCCTCTTGGAGTTCAAATTCGCAAACAAATCCCAGACAACAAACTAATGGCATTAAGCACCTTCCAAGATGATTTTAAACAATTTGGACCCCAACGTGGTAGACTTCATTCGTCGTCCGCCTATCGCGCTGATCCACGCTTAGTAAGCAAGGACGGTCTGGTCTCCGGCGCCTTTATTATTGTGCTTCCACAGGAGAAGATTGTAACGGCAGTTGCGACTCAAGGTTTTAGGGACGAATGGGTGACAAAATATCAATTGGTATTTTATCCTGGAGATGGGGGTCCTTCAACTATAACAGAGGTAAGAAGCTCTGAGGTACATCTATTCACTTTCAACGAAAATCGAGTTGACCACGTCGTGATATTTCAGTTAGTGCAGCTAAGGTGGATTTTAAGTTATGGTGCCACGTTATCCAGAGGAGTTTCTTCCACACCACTTTCTCCCTTGTTGTCATATCGGTGTAAGATCCCCTCCACAAATGAGTGAAAATTTGTTATTATGTTATATATCTTAAATCTATATGATCAGTTTTGAATCGCTGAAATTTTCCGTTTTTTTATATTTTCAAAAAAATTAATTTTAGATTTTTCAAGGCAATATGGACGGCGACACTGTCAGGCTTAACGTAGTTAGCTTCCCAGTAAAGACGTCTCAAGTTCATATCTACCCGTTTGAATTGCATAAGAATATTGCTTTACGTCTTGAGCTCTACGGGTGTGATCCAGGTGAGAACGAGAACTTATGAGATGAGCATTAGCAAGAATACGCTTTTCATGCTATTCCGACGATTTTTCTCCAAACATATGTAGTTAGAAAATAATAAGGCGAAAATTGTGCGAATTTTTCTAACACTCCACACACTACATTTTTTCAAAGGCCACCCTGTTACCCATGGCATTAGGGACACCCTTTGGCACTCTCTTTGTGCTAAGTTACATAGTCCTTATATCATTTAATTGACGTTTTGAATGTGTCCGTTTTTATTACAAGACGAAGTCATCAAACTCTTTTTGCATTTTAAAAAGGGTATCACTTTAAAGTCTGGCTAAAAGTACTTGACACACGCTTTAAGCTCTCCTTCCTGAATCGTACAAACGAGGAAACAAGAGAAAAAGAGGAACGTGTGCTATCTAAGGCAAGAAGAGAAATCTTTATATATTCTATATATTTTTTTTTCGATTTTTGTTTTGTTTATAACGTTGTGAGTCAGCTATTTGAAGTTAAACATTTATCATGCAAAGGATAAATGTTTCCAGACATGGATGGGTATACAAGTCAAATATCATATTTTTGTTTTGTTTTGGTTTTTTACAACTTCTTTTAAAGGTTAAAAGTTACCTTCAGAATATACCAGGATTCTTGGAAACAAAACTTCACAAGTTCAGGTTTGGCAACATATTGTGCTGTTAATTTTTGTCCTTTGATTTTTTCTTTATTATTGTTTTTCTGCTTGTTATTTATGTTCGTTTGTTTTTGTATTCTTGTCTTTGTGTTGCCTCTTTAACTGCATGCCTTTTCTTCCTTTAGTCCACCTCTCTTCATCAATGACTTACAAGATACACAAGAAAGCATCGTCGCTGAGATCGAAATCTACTGCATAGAATCGGCCACTACAGTGATTAAGGATAAAATAAAGAGGGCTTTAGCCAATCAAAGCGCTGACTCTATTTTTGACCAAAACATTCTACTTTATCCAAGTAAGTGTCAGTCCCTGGTTCAAGCATCAAATCCCAACACTTTTCGTTCAGGTGTTGCTAGAGAGTCTCATGGGAATAGGCAGCAGCCAACCGAACCAAAGAAATGGCAAGAGAAGCCGACAAGATTTCAAAATTAACACACGTGATCATTCATAATTGATTTTGCCTTTGAAATATTTGTCGAGTGCGTGACACCAGAGTGCGTGACAACAGAGTGCGTGACACCAACGTTTTAGACCAGATAATCAGCGAAGTAACGCAAACATGTGGGCTGAACTGAAGACCAGGGTTAAACAATCAGATACCTTAGACCTTAGAAAATAATTAGAGACATTAGAGACTTAGAGACTTTTACATCATGGTGCCACTAACAAATGTGTGACTCCTGGGGATTTGCTTTTCTCTCAATTAATCGTAGATGTATTATTTCTTATTTTGGAATTTTAGGGAATGCATTTTCCTTTTATTGCGCATAGATTTACTTTTCTTTAGTAATTTAGTTGCATTTTAAGGTTAGTAGGATCATTTTAATTGTAATAAGAGTGTTCCCAATTAGTGCTTGTCTTCCGCTGGAACTAGATCCTTTAGACACTGAACTAAAGTCGTAGTTATCATAATTACCACTATTATGATTAGTATGTATAATATACGTTCTTTGTATACTACATTCTTTCGACATTCAAATGAAAATCTATGTTCAAGCTAATCATCTTACATGTGCAGGGCAAGTATAGAAGCAACCTACCGTGATAACGTAAACTTTGTGGTCTTGCTGGAATTCGTAATTGCAGTTTTTATTTCACTTCTTTTCTAGGTACTGACGAGTGTCAACCACCGAGCTTCAACATCTCCATAAGAACAGACCCAAGTCACCCGCAGCTTGTTCCAGTCGACACTACAAATAACATGGACATGTTGACTGTGAAAGCAAAGCTAAACCCAGCATGCCCTTCTACCCAGAGGATCAGGTATACTTGGGAGATTGCAGCCGTTGATGTGAAAACAGGACTGTTTAGTATGATCTACCGGTGGGGGAAACCACAATATGGAATCAACGAGATTGTTTTAAGGACAAATTACATCCAGGCGGAGGGCAAATGGCTAACTTTCATTCGATGCATCGTTAGGAATGCTGACAAAAGAGGTGTATATCGTCTAAAGTACGATTTTGGTTTCATTAAACTCGTAAAGATGATGCCGTTGAAATGTAGCGTGAAACCAAACCAAGGAAAGGCCGCTTTAGATGAGTTTGAAATTAGCTGCGAAGGTTCATATGAGCGGATCAGAGCCAGTAACTACACTGTCAAACTAGAATCAAGCAGCAAGGAATTTATTCTGGCCACCTGGAGATCGCCTATAGGATCAATAACACTACCAGCTGGAAATCCAGAGGAAAATTATTATCTTCACTTACGGGTGGAGGCTACGTTTCCTTCATTGCCTTCACTCTTGGACAATGTTCAAGTTAAGGTAACTTAAAACTGAATCATTTGGCTCTGTATAAATGTAGTAGGTTGAGAATGTTGATTAATCTGTTGGCTTCCTTTCGAGGATGATGATTAGCAACAATAAAAAAAATAGTCATTGCAACTCCATGCCATAGACATTGTAGTAGGTTCCGACGGTAACAGCAATTTTTATTTCCACTTTTTGCTATTAAAATGATGCTACCTTTGATTGATAATCATATTCTAATATACAACTCAATATTTACAACATCGATCAGGTAAATAAGCCTGAACCTCACGAAATTCTTCATGCTGTAAGAAAGATTAAAGATCTCATCTCGGCCAGGAAATACGAAGAAGCTGCTTACAAAATATGGATCCTTCAACTATCATTAAAGGATACGAGTATCAGTATAAGGAGAAAGGTACGTGACATTTATATGCTCACCCAATACACCTTATCACGCAGCGCCATCTTAGATTACGTGGCATACCAAACCGAGGCTGGACGGGCATAAGAAGTCGCGTCGTGACCAGTGAGCTGTTATTAGCGATTGAACCTTTCCTTACGATTGAAGACTTAGCCAGCAGTTTTTAATCTATGAAATATTAATTCATTTTATATCCATAACACTAGATTCAATTGATGAATCTAATATTCTTTTTACAGCATGTTTTTTATTTTACTTTTGGCTCATGCTGTCAAACGCACATGGTTATGTTTTGTTTGTTTTTATTAACTCGGATTTGGTAATATGTAATAATTAGATTCTCCCTCGTTTATTAGCGTTATAATATGTGGTTTAAAACGAATTTGCCAGATAAAGAAAGGCTCTACTCTGGTGTGCTCGGCTCACTTCAAGCCAGAGGATATGTATAAAACTATGACTGGGCTTACACGTCGAAAACAGCGCAGTTTGCATGGACCAAGGAGGGCAAAGAGTACCAACAAAAAAAATTGCAAGGGTAAAAAAAATTTGCGGACCAGCAAATAGGAGAGAAGCGACCTCTATTCTTTGTCAATTCAGTACGATTCAATAGTCATAAAAAACTGCTGGCTAAGTCTTCAATCGAAAGGAAAAGTGGATCGCTAATAACACGTGCCTCTAACAGCTTATCGGTCACGACGCGACTCTTACCTCGAAATCCGGCCCCTCATCTCGCCTAGTAGCGGCGAGCATTCGAAGGAAAGTTGAAGAAAGATAAATTCTCACCACTTTTATTTCACTTGTCGTTAGAACAGAAATTAACGCAGCAATGATCGTGAGCCATGCTTGCTTGTAATCTTCACTCAAAACACTGTGATGTAACACAAAACCTATACCTTATGCCCGTTCAGCCTCGATTTGATGCACCACGCAATCCAAGATGGAGCTGCATGATAAAGGTGTATGCAAACAATGTCTTGTACAAAGCTGGGCCAAGATAACCCACGGCTAGTGTGAAATCTGATTTCAGATCTGAAAGCTTTAATGTAAAGCTAAATTTTGTATAATTCCTTTTTCTACAATTCGATGGTTGGATGCTCTAAAGTGAATGGGGAAAATTATTCCAAAAAGGCCTAACCCTAATTAAAATGTATCCTTGGCTTTGTACTAATTGGCCTTGGAACAGCTGAAGAATTTCCAATTTTAGTTACCCCTGGCCAAAAGGATTTCTAATTGATTTTGTTTTACAAACAATGCATGGAATAAAAGTTTTCATTCATATGTAGTTTGCCTTAAGAAAATTATAGTACTTGAGGTTTGTGTGCTCTACATATTTTTAAACTAACAACTGTAAAGCATAGCTTGTCTTGGTTCTTCTTTCAAAGGTTAAAAAAGAGCTTATACAAATCATAACCGACATGAAGATAATAAGTCTTCAGCAACTCAACCGAGTGGCAGCCTTTGTAGCGTTTTGCAACAAAATGAAAAAAGAAGCTACGCCGCGGATTCAGGTACTTCTCTAAAATAAATCACTAAGGATATAAGCTCCTTCCTTCTTAAAGCCGTTACAGGCCTTCACAGTCTTGGAACAGTATTTCCTACACATAATTTTAAGAAAATTACACTGTGTATCAGTAACGTATATTAGCACTAAAACTTAATTGTCAGTAGTAATTTGAATATCCTTTTTTTTTTTCCGTTTTTTTCTTTTTTTTTTTTGCAGAACAGTTCTATCCAAATTCTTACAATGGCCATACATTTCTTGAAGAGCCAGATGGACAAAAACTTGAGTCATATTACGGATGTCATTGTGGAGGGAGCTACATTCATTCTTACAGCAGCGTCAGAAAAACCACCACTTGAAAACAGAACTGAAGACTCAGGAACGGTAATTTGACTTCTTTGGATTCCTGACGGTGGATAATTACATTTACATGCATGATTAACTGGCTATGTAATCAGTTAACTTGGGTACAGAGCACAGCTGAAGATAACCTCTCTCTCCTTACATTATTTAGAATCCATTTTTTAAAAGGATACCAACTTGCCTCAACAACAAATACAAGTGCTGAGAGGTAAAGCCAAGTTCAAGGAAGGGCTTTCAAACTATACGAGGAAAATAGACCCATGAAAATAAATAAGGAAATCGTGTTCAATGGATTTCTTTGTAATCCTGAGGAAAATACATCTTAACTGATTTTCTTTTTTACTTTTAAGTTAACATTTTAAACACTCCCTAAAACCTAGTGCTTACCCCATTGTTGGTCTTACTATCTACAACACATAACTTACCTTCTGTACTTGCTTTGTCTTCAAAGGAGATTACCGAAAAAGCAATAACGCTTTTACAGCAAATAGCAGTCATAAGAGGAAATTCTGCAACTGATACAGATGAAGTCAAACTTCGCTCCAAGGGCATTTCCATCCTACGAGCAAAACTGAAGAAGAGCAGAAGGGTCTTGTACCTAGAAAGAAATGAAGTTCACTTGCCAGCGGAACTACTACAACGGAGTGGTACAGTACAGGTTGGAAATCGCTTATATTACTTAGTACTAAATTGGTAGAGAGTCACTCTACTTTGTTTTACAATCTGTTTCTAAGTAACGCAGACGAAACGCGTTCTATTTAAGTTGCGCTTACCGACAGCCTTGGATTTAAAATGACAGCGTAACAAATTGAAATACTTTTTTCGCTTGAGTTACGTGCATTAAAAATCGCGCCCACTGAACTTTTCCTAACGACGGTGTAATTCGAGAAATTTAACGCTTGATAATGAATCATAAAGGAGTGGTATGAAACTTTATTACACCCATTTTGAAATCACTGATGGTCTCTGTAATCTGATTGGCTCTAATTGGTGCGATTTATTCACGAATCGCACCATTTTTTGCTTTATATCACATCATTTTCTTAGCCAATGAGGAGGCTACACTGAAAACAAAACAACCGATCAGATTTCAAGGCTTGTATAAAGTAACCAATCTAATTGCAGGAAAATGAAAGACAAAGGGTATCATGTGGAAAATTTTGCAACCTTTGTTTCCAAAACTCCCCCTAAAAAATGGATGGATTTAATTTCAAACTAGCTCAGTGCTGCATCAATAAAATATTTGAACTGACCAATTCCTGTATTTGGGCGATTTCAAAATGGATGTATTAAAGTGGTAATTGGACCTTGTGCCGTGCAATTTTGGTCTGAAATCATACTTGTGATTTCAAATCACACGAATGATTTCCAGTCAGCCCAAATTGCACTCCACTTAGTTCAATTACCATTATAAATCTATCAGAAGGTTTAGAGTCAGCTCTTTTGATAGGGTTAAAAGTGAGGGGGTTATGCTTTCATTTAGTTATACATACATTGACAGCCTAGCAGAATAAAAACAAGAGAAAAAAAAATTACATGCCTGTTTTAGGTATAACCATTACTCACTTCCTGTCCTCCATTTAGTTCATCAGGTTTGATAAAAATCCCTATACGGGGAATCCAGAAGTCGTTCCAGTGAAAGTATCATACATTGATGTTACGTTTTGGTATAAAAATGAGACCAAGATGAGGATTTACAATCTTAGCCATCCAATCAGGATTGTGTTTCCCAGAGAGCCAGTGACTTCGATGGAAATGGAAGAACCAGCTGAGAGTCTATTTCTTACAAAGAAAACAATGCGTTATCACGAGTTTGATATACCCTCTCATGAAGCCGCAGTTATTGTGAGTATACGACCGGAAAAGAACATTACATTGATTGTTTATGTCAAGCACGGCACACGACCAACATCTGAAAACTACGACATAGCTGTTACCTTGCCGAGGGCCAACCATACTTGTTTGAGTTTTATCAGTGAGGAGAAAGATAGCTGCACCCTTCGTGACCCATACGAATTTGATATTTCACCAAACGTCACAGGACAAAATGGAACTCATTTCATCGGCATTAAGATTCTAGAACAATCACCAGATGCTTTAAATACATCAGTGGGAAAAAAAGGGGATCATGGTAAAGATGGCAAGTCCTTGGATCAGATGTCTTGTGTAAATGTTAAGCCACCACCGACTGCAAAAAGCAGTGTACCTCGAGAATTCGACCCTGCAGAGGATTTCAGATACAACCTAACTGTTAGAGTGGCAAGCTGCGTCTTCTGGGATGAACTTATGAAACAATGGTCTGTCTATGGAGTGAGGGTAAGTAATGAGTAGTACACGGAAAAGAACTCGGCCAATATCCAGCCATTCATTGAATATCCATTGAAACAAGATTTAGCGAAAAAAACTAGACACAGGTCTTTTTCTAGGTACTAGCCAGTTGCACTTGACGAGAGAACTTAAAGTGCCGGTGTGATTATGTCTGAGTATTTTTAATCTAAGAAAACCAGATATTTCTCTCAAATTAAAGGCAGCAAACAAGCACCGAACATGAAATAGCTGGCAATCTTTAAATAACTTTGTTTTAAATTTTTAGGTCGATCCTGAAAGCAACGAATATAGAGTTGCATGCCTAACCAATCATCTAACGATGTTCTCTGGCTATCTGTATGTAGCTCCAAACAAAATTGATTTTAAAAAGATTAGTCCAGACTTTGAGGATCTGCCACCAGAAAACGCAGTGGTGTTGTCTACAGTTTGCCTCATCTTTGTGTGTTATGCTGTGGGGCTGATGTTTGCCAGAAGGGCTGACAATAGAGACAAAAGAAAGGTAAGCGTTTTCACATGTAGCGAGGTGCACGTTTCTAATCAATCATATATTTCCCTCACTTGAATCATTTTCTTGACGCATCAGTACTATCAAGTTTGTTAACCCAAGGATAAACACAAATCGAACCAAATTTGCCTGAGAAAGTTTGATGTCTCAGTTGTGAGAACGTTTAAATGATATTTCTTCACTCTGAGAACGAAGATTTGATAGAGCACGGATTTAAAGATTTTGATACAAGTCCATACAGTAATATAATAGTCCAATAAGTCGTTGAGATTGACAGGGTTTTTAGGCTAACGAATTGTAAAAATTTTAATTTTCTGTTGTAATATTAGCTTTGAAATTAAACCTTTTCCTTATGTTTTTCGACACAGGACTTTGAAGACACGCTTAAATTCATAATTTAAGTATTTTCCCATGCCGAAAACGTCAGTGAATCTCATAAGCGTCTCTTCCTCTCACAGGTTGTAAACACTGAGGCGACGTCGCATAGCCCCGGAGAATCCTCTAGTTACAGCTACCAGGTCTTCATCCAGACTGGAATGTGGTACGACAATGGCACAACTGCAAGAGTCGGTATGATACTTTTCGGCGAGGACGGAAACAGTGACATAATATACTTTATGGATCCTTGGAGAGAAAGCAAACTTTTCACACGTGGTAGCGTGAATACGTTTACCTTTAACCTTCCATGTCATTTAGGGCAGGTGTACAAGATAAAAATTTGGCACAACAATGCTGGCAAAAGTCCTTCATGGTTTTTGTATCAGGTCGGTGTAAAAGACCTTTCCACCAAGGAGACGTGGCATTTCATTGCAAATAGGTGGCTTGCTGTAGAGAGCCCTGACGGTGCAATAGACGTCGAGGTATCAGCTGCTTCGCGAAAAGAATTAACGAAATTTAAAAGACTGTTTCAGTGGCGGGCTATAACAAGCCTTGCAGACAGGCATTTATTTCTTTCGCTCTTTGTCAGGCCTCCGCAGAACCCCTTCACACGTTGCCAAAGGCTGACATGTATGCTGTCAATTATTCTAGTGTCATTAGTAACAACTGCAATGTTCTACAGGGACAATAAAAACGAAAAAGATACAAATTCCTTCCAACTTGGGCCACTTGAGCTAAGCTTGACGCAAATTATCATCGGTGTGCAGAGCGGTCTCATTGCCCTGCCTGTTAACATCCTCACAGTGATGATATTCAGAAACACAAGGAGAAATGTGTCGATAGACTTCCCAAACGAATCTGAAAAGGAGGGCACCTCCTCTATACAGACACCAGGTTTTTTTCCGCCGTACTTCATCGTTGTTGGGTGGGTGATTTGCTTGACAACTTCAGTTACGTCAGGAACCTTTGCGATACTCTACAGCGTGCAATGGGGAGCGGAAAAAGCAAATCGCTGGCTGCTTTCCGTTGGAGTATCAATACTCCAGGATATATTACTGAATGGACCAATTATCATCATAGTAAACACATCTATCATGGCTTTAGTAAACAGGAAACCAACTGAGGATAACGAAATAGAAAAGAAGACCCAACAAGCAAACCTAGTGCACGTTGTTCAAGAAGATGAACTTGTAGCAAGTCACAAGCCGCCAGAGGAAGAACTACAAAGAGCTCGAAGCTTAAAACTTCAACTGAAAAAGCTACGGCGCTTCTTTAAAGACCTGGTGATCTACGTTGTCTATGTCGTCCTGCTAATGATTGTGTGCTATGCAGACCGTAAGCCGTCAAGTTACTTACAGACAAAAAGGTTAAAGAACACGTTCAGTGCATTCTACCAGGTAATATTGTTGCGCGACTGGCTTGCATTCATGTCGCTTCTGTTTTACACCACACCACATACCCAAATTCAGTCAGTAGGGTTATTTACCGCTTTTCTATCCCAAAATGCTCAAAACGACCATGCAGCAATTTATCTCAAGAGGTGCATGTCTTTCTTTGTTAGGACCTCCACCTCCAATCGAGGGAGAGACGTGGCCTTACTAGTGGCCCATTTAACCATGAAACAAAAGGACGAAGCTTACACCCTAGTTTGGCTAGTTTGTTTTTTCTTAGGCAAGAACAATTATTCTCGCAGCTGCATTTCCCCTTGACCCGGGTCTATACCAGAGAATACCTCATTGAATCGCTTCATGCTAAAAGCTCTTGTAGTATGCGTCGGTTAGCTCCCTTCTAAGATTTGGAATCCAGGCACATCTATCTCTTCACCTCAATTTTTTTTCCTCGTATAAATTATTCTTTGACAATGAGAGCCGATCGTTTTATCTTATCTAGGTTCAGGATGCAAAATCTTTTTGGAACTGGTTTGAAGAAGAACTAGTTCCTGGCCTTTACGACAGTGAAAAGACTCTCAACGGTAGTGAGACCGGGATGATAAGTGGCAAGATTGGCTTTATTGTGGGCCTCCCAAAGATACGACAGATACGTATTAAGTCAGGTCAGGCTTCGTTCTTGTCACTTTTGAGATACCATCTTATTAGAATCAAGTAAAGTAGAACCGGTTCATTCTCCTAGAATAAGTCTCAGTACTTCTAGCCCAGCAGTATTACGAAGGCTAACTGCGTCTTAATCCAGGCTACTCGGATTTGCATCTGAACTGAAACATCAGAGAGAGGGAATTCTTTAAACTATAATCAGAACCAAAGACGACAGCTTCAATGCTGCTTTTCGATATTTTTAGGCTATTTTCTCCTTTGTTTTGTTTTCATTTTTTTTTGATAGTGTTTCGGAGTGTGTGTTTTATCAAAACAACGATAAGCCCCTTCAGCCAACAATTCCTTCATGCTATTCATCAGGAAGTAAATGATAACTAGATAAAACATTTTTTTGCGCTTAACTGCTCAGACAATAAAGGTAACTCGATGCGCGTAATTTATTTTGATCATATACATTTTTTTCTTTCATCATCCATAGAACCCACATGCAGTGTGTTTCATGTTCGACCAGTTTTACGCAAGTACTTCGATAAGCACTGCACCTCAGATTTTTCCAATTCAAACAAAGACACCACGCCGTATTATAGACCCGGATGGAAGACATGGCCAATTTCAAACATTTCTATAAATTCACAGCAACTTAACAAATTATGCCCAGAACCGTGGAGATATAAAGAGCCCATGGGACTCGGAGACGTTTTCCTACCTTACGGTGGCGGGGGTTACATAGCAAAGCTTGGATACGATGCAACTACAGCACTTATGGTCAAAGAGAGCATGGAAGAGAATAATTGGATAGATGACAGGTCAGCTGCGGTTATTGTCGAGTTCATAGTATTTGAACCCGCAAATCTTTTACTCACCGAAGTTATGCTCCTCTTCGAGAAGTTCGCAAACAGTAGAAGAAGTACAAGAATTGACATAATTCCTCAATATATTTTCCCTTCCACTGGCTCCTCTCTGCGCCCATTCTATCGCGTGAGCATTCTTTTATGGCTTATTCTAATCCTCGCTTTATTTTTTCTCGAAATCATCAAGGCGACAAAGCAAGGGCGAGGGTACTTTAAAGGCTTCTTCAACTGGATTTCCATCTTGCAGATTCTTTCATCTTGTTGCGCGGGTTTGACTGTTTTTCTGAAAGAGAACACTTTAAAAGCTTTCCTTCAACAAATACGTGGCAATCCCTTTGGGGATTGGAGCCCTTTCGAGCTCATCATATGGTCAAGTTTTGAAGAAATTATTTTGTCTATTGCTGTTGTGACGACAACCATCCAGTCTCTAAGACTCATACAGCTTAATCGTCATGTCCATGTCATGAAATGGACCCTCCAAAGCGCCTGCCGGTATATTCTGTCCTTCAGCGTAATTATCTTGATGCTTGCTCTCGCCTTCGCACAGTTTGGATCACTTCTGTTTGGAGCTAGGGATGAAGAATACGCCACACTCTATTTTGCGCTGCGTACAGTACTTCAAATGGCCATCGGGATAGGAAAAATACAAGTTAATAAGATGAATGGTGATTCAAGCGAATGGTTTGCCCCCATTTACTTGTTTGCTTGTATGCTAAGTTTAACAATTGTTTTCGTTAACACCTTTATTGCAATATTGGATGATGCGTTTCATCAGGCCAATGACAGAGAGTACCCAGGCGAAGGAGCGATTGTGGTTATGAAAAAATGCGTAAAAGACTGGTTCAAGAAAACTGGTAATGTCGAAACTGCCGGAGGAGTATTCAGAGAATCTCCGTTTCGAAAGACTATCCGAAGAAAGTCAAATCAACCTTTATTAAGGAAGGAAACTCCTGCAGAAACTAACAGGCTTTTGAACTTTGAGGGAAAGCTTCGCAGTGAATCTCCAGTGCAGCTCACAGGATTTAGATGTCTGGACGACATTGAAAATGATCAATACAAAAACAGAGCAAAGCTCGCCGAAAGTGAAAGTCTTTTGAGCTACGAAAGTCTTACCGAGGAGACTGACAAATTGGCAGGCCATCAGATCCTTTCTCAATCGGGTTTCACTGAATTTAAAACAGAAAGCAACGTGACAGAAGTGAAGGACCCCATTGTTAATGATGAATACAATTATTTAATTGACGCAATTGGTGACGTTTATTGCGATACTCCATCAACCGAAGAGGAACTGCTTCTGTCTGATATCACAAGAATCATGAAAACCGTACGGTCCGATTTCATGGCGGCACTCCGAAAGGATGAAGACTGTTATTCTGCCTCTTCCTCTTCTCTATCATATGACGTTAGCTATGAGGAACTGAATGAGTCAGCATCTATGCTGTCTTTGATTCAAGCATGTAAGGACTCTTCGAACAGTAGTGCTTGGAGTTATGTCCGTGGCATGCTCAGGAGCCAAGGTAAACGTCTCCACCGAACCCTCAGGCGCCAATCCAAGACTTACAGTGAAGAGGAGAGGGAGAGCTACATATGAGTGGTAGCCGAAAGCAGAAAGACTGCTAGTGAAAAACATTGTGTGTCGAAAGAGGTAAATGCCTGATATATGTATAAAAAAGAATTTAAAAAAAAAAAAAAAACATGAACGCAAAAAGTGGAAATACACAGAGCAAAGACAAACAATGAAGACGGCAAATGAAACTTACCGATGCAACAGCGCGGGAGCGAAACCGACAGAGTAATGCGGCGAAATGAAAACGAAAGTAAACAAATTGAATTTGGAGAAGCCGAATTTACTCAGGGTTCGAATTTAAAAAGGGCGCGAAATAATAGCCTAGAAAATGTTTTATAAATGGAAGCGGGTTATACAACAGACTTAATAACAATGAAGATATGGCACTCACTGTAACATTTTAGGGACTTAAATCCTTAAATCTGTATGAATTACACAGATTCAGCATTTAGTCACCGACTTTCTGCAAACTTTCCAAGTTAAAATGCTCGAGGGTACCACTGACAGCCGGTTAACAATCATTTTGGACCTTCCGCTCGTGACTCAAGCGGAGAGAAAAACTTCTGAACGTGCATTTATTCCTGAGTTGCCAGATCTTCTAACTCACTGGAATTATCTTTGATCTTACTCGCTATAAAAATATATGGCCTTAAAGGACATTCTCTAAATTTTGAAGATCATGGATCAGTCGGCAAAACCATCCATTGATCGCGAGTTGAGAGCTAAAGAAATTAAACGTCAAAAATGTTGTCAACGTCCTGTTCACATAGGATCTTTACAGCTCTATGTACATAGTTTCTTAGATCTATAGCAAAGGACCAGGGAGATTGCATGTCTGCATACAAAGGGTTACAAGGTCCAATTTTAATCACTGCAATTTTTTAAATATGATATTTTCAAATAGGTTGAATGACGATTTCATTTAACAATGAAAAACCTTGCTCGCTATGGACATTTGTAAAAACAACTTTATTGATATAAAATTAGATCTTTTCTAAAGCATCTATCCCTTTTTTTTCTTTACCCGGCATATCTAAGTTATTATGAAACTGTTTTGTAAAATATTCTCTTCTTTTTTTTTTCTTATTTTAGTAGGACTCTTGTTTTAAGCGAAAGGGACGAGGTTTGTTCTTAGGAGTATCTTGTTAATAGAGATTGATTGCATGATTTTATCATCCCGTTGTAAATGTAATTTTAAATAGTCCCAACAATTAAGTTGTAGTATTAAAAAAAAACTCGCTTCTAAACCGTTGGATGAGAATCTCGAATACTTTTTGTTATCAAATAGAAGCCCTTTTACAGAATAAATTGTGTCCAGCTTTTACATAAATTTTCTTTAACAATGAGTAGTTAAACAAAGCCCACGCAAATTAAAACACCCAATCAGAATGAAAGCAAATTAAAATGAGAGGTCTAAGTACATAAATTAACTTTGTCTCAAGCGCGGGAAAACGCAAGTATCACAGTCAGGATTATTCTCAGTCTTGCATCTGATTGGTTGAGGAGGAGACGCTAGTTTTCTCAACCAATGAAGATCGAGGTAAATCAAAACGCCACAATTTCGGATTGTATTCGACATCCTATTGAAAACATGCTCCATTTATTAAACAAGATCCATGTCCGACGTGTTCGAAAAACTGCTTTCCATTCCGTCACTCCAGTCGCCTTTCGATGAGCTTGCATCTTCTCTGTCGTCGTCTTCTTCATTTATGCTACTAGAACTCCATTCATTTTGTGTCAGAAAGAAATTTCCTCCTATTTGAAGTATAGTTTTCCTCACGTCTTTTAGCGAATTGTACTCATCCACTGAATCAATATCTATCATTTCCTCCAAAACCACCTCTTCGAATCTTACATTTTCGGATGACAAGCAAATGTACTCCTCAGCTTTTCGGTTAATTTTGGAGTCCCTTTTCAAAATGCCAAAGACATCTGCTTTCCTTCTATTAAATCGCAGTTTTCTGAGCTTAGTTTCTTTTAATGAGTGTTTAGTGTCATGCCAAAGAATCTTGACTTTGTCCATGAAATAGTGCGCAGCAAACCGAGCTAATTCTACGTCAGGAAAACGCCCTTGTTTGAGAAGCCTTATCTCCCGGTAGGAACTGTGAAGGATACTCAAAAACATGTTCATTAATATCATTGCAATAGATAACGAATATGCAACGGTAAACAACTGGGCCATAATCTGGTTGGCTGCCTTGAGCTCATTTGTGTACATGTTATCACCCAGCAGCCTTTCTAAGAGCATCACGAGGGATCTTGCCAGGTTTGAGTAGGTAGACACATTGCTTCCGAATAGAAGAGTACCTAACTGTGTGTATGCAAGGATTGTAGCTGTGAACACCATTGAGTACGAAAATAGATGTTTCAATGCTGATTTCACGGTATACGTGAAGTGACAGATATGGTTGTTGAATTTTAGCAACCTCAAAAATTTCACGGTAACAATGAAGACGACAAGAGACAGCAGCCACGTTTCTACATCACACCACAATACAATGTAGTCCGAACTTGATGTGGCGAACGGGTTCTTCTTAACACGCTTTAAAAAATCACTCGTATATTTGGCCTTGAAGAAAAAGGATGCCATTGCAGCTGCAGCAGCGATAACTTGCAAAGCATCTATCAAGTTCCAAAAATGTGTTACGTACCTCCATCCTTGATTAAATAGTTTTAAAATCTCCATCAAAAGTAATCCAAGAAGGAAAACAATAAGTAGGAAGTAACAAGCTAAATAAATCGAACGAAATCCAGGATCCGCAGGGTAAAAAATCTTTAAGGTATCAATTCTGGTATTCATAATGGAGCTTCCTGTTGGGTACCTCTCAAGCAAGTACTTGGCTGCGCTGAAAAGTGTGCTTGAGGGCTCATAAACTGTGAATTCAACAAACACTGCAATTGTTCTAAGATCAATCCAATCGTTGTTTTCTAGGTCATCGATTACTCTTAAAGCTGATTCAGCATTATAGCCAAGATCAGCGACATAGCCTCCACCATCGTAACTGGCGTAGAACCCGTTAAAGGGGAGTGCCTCCAAGGCATTTGCTGTCCTATACCTCCAGGGCTTAGGACATACCTCATCAAACGAAGCCTCGAATTCGCTGATGTTATAAATTGGTGTCCAGTCACGGAGATTGTATGTCGTCTTGTCTTCTGAATGAGAGCTGTAATGTGACAAGCATCGCTTCACTTTAATGTAATCATCCGTCAGACATGATTCTGCAAAGAACGAGTTCAAAATTTTACGTAAATCCCCTTAAAGCTGGCTTATCCTCTGATGCGACATTACAAGACAATCACCCTTTGTGTCCGAACATCTGCTTATAACAGAAATTCACTGAGTAGTTGAAGCTACTACTATTTTCCGAGATGACTATGCTCACCCTTCAGATTTTGGAATCGCTAATATGAAATACGCTTTTAAAGTCGCCCAACAATCAGTTGTGGAGAGGGTGCAACGCATAGTCCAAAATTTACACCTATTCATGATTAATTCCAATTCTTCCCAACTACAGAGCGCGTCTTAAGAAAGATAAAACGTGCTTCCTTAGAACCTGATAACCCTTTAGCGTCTTACATTCTTACCTGATTTCACTCTAATCTGCCGGAGCCTGGGCATGCCAACTAGAAAAGGATATCCACTGCTGATGAAACCCTCCCCTAACTTAACCTGCTTCCCATTATACCATTTGGATAAGAAGAGGCCTGGCACTAGTTTTTCTCGAGTCCAGTTCCAAAATGCCGTGGTGTTCCTTATTCCCTAAAAAATTCAGAATGAGAGGGATATACCATCAGATAATTTCAAAATAAACTATAGCGTTGAAAATTTCCCACTATTCATCTTTGATCAAATTTCGTGGTAGCTGCGAGAAGCGAAGAGCTGTTAATAGCCAGGAGTACTGCGTAGGGGGGCTTATGAAACTCTTTTATCCAAATACCATTGCTTTGGTAAAAATGGGAAGCTTAAGGAAGTCTCCATGGGGAGGATGCATCCTGTAAAATGGCGTTACCCTGTACAGTTTTCTTGCCAACGTTGACGAATAGAGACTTGTAATAATAAATTGATATGTAACGACTGTAGGTTGATTATTGATTGTCATGGGTAGTGAAGGTATTAACCCTTCAACCCCTAATAGTGATTATCACCTACTTTCTCCTTACAATATCATCCGCGAATCAGTCATTTAGGTTACAAGAATAAAGGAAATGATCACCATCTAAAGAGGCTATTGATTTTTTAACAAATTCTCCTTGTCAGCACCTTAGGAAATGTGTAGAGCACAGTAAGGAGAGTTTGCATACTGATGTTAGGGTGTAAAGGGTTAAAGTGGCCCATCCAGCCGGAGTTCATCCCAGTTTCCATCACATGAGGCGCCCAATTCTACCTTACTACTCTCGACTGTACAAGATGCCAATCTATCGCAAGGATGCCTCAAGCATTTGATCAGGCTTTCCCGATAATTCGTTGGTACTTGTTTATACTCCTGGGTGGAGAGAGGTATTGTGAGTTCCAAGAACACGACACTATAACCGGGCCAAGTTTCGACCCACAATTCTCGACCAGAAGTTCAACGCAATGACCAATAGGAAACCGTGACTCCCACAAAAACCCACTGTAACATGGATAGGAAAGAAATCTTACCTCGCCAGATTTATTGAATATATCCCCGACTGACCTTCTCAGGTGATATCTTGAAACGTCCCTATTTCCATAGCATACTACGAACAGTAATATAACAAAAATCAAAAAGAAGCTGATTTCCCGGACAGATCGAAACATCTTTCGAAGTTTTATCCAGAACTTTCGAGATGTTTCTAGCACGTCTTTTTCTGGCGGTAGAACCATAGTGTCTTCCTGGCACGGATTTTTTCGGTGTGGCAAGCCACGCACCGGATCATGTTTTAGGGGTTTTCTGATTATAATCGATAGTAATGAAGAAATAATTGCAATTTGAACGGGTTGCAAGATAAACACGTCTTGTAAAAAAGAAATGAGCACTGATGTGAGCCATTCATTTGAGATATTCGCTCCCCATTGCAGGCTGTACAACACAGTGAAGAACGCTGAAGACGGAATGGCGAGGCTGCAAAGAACCCATGCCACGTATATGAAAACGTGTGGGAGTCCTTTTGGTGAATTTTCCTCCTCGAGCTCTCTGTGATCCTTTAGTGTTGTCTTAGTTTTGACATTTCGAAAAACAGTTAGAATGAATACATTTACAGGTAGTGCGATTAATGCACTTTGGATTCCAATTTTCACCTGTGTCCAACTCATGGTTAACGGTCCAATTTGAAAAGTGTCGCGAGGCCTCTGACCAAAGTCATAAAACATAGCATTTGTGACCATGGCTAAGAAGACCACAGACATGCAACATGATAACCGTTGCGTCCGCGTGAAGGGGCTTTGAGGTGGTTTTGCGAAGACAGAAATCCATAAGTGTCCATCAGCTAGTTGCTTTGAAGCTCTGAAGTGGAAAAGGTTTTTAAACGAAGATATTTCCTTCTTCTTTGAAGTTTTGAGCTCTAGTTCGATCTCTCCCTTACCTTTTTCGACTGCCAGCCATCTTTTTGCGAGGAAATACCATTTTTCCTCCGTTTCCAATTCCGTTATAACTAGATCTTGTAAGAACCACCCAGGACTCTCGCCGCTATTGTCGTGCCAAACTTTTACTTTGTAAAGCGACCCCAGTCTTCTTGGCAAAGATACTGTAAATGTATTAATACTTCCACGAGAGAAAAACGATTTCTGCAAAGATGAGTCGTTAAGGACGATCGTATCACTGTAGGAGTCCTCGCCGTAAATTATCATTCCAACACTGGCTGTGGTTCCATTGCCTATCCACATTCCTGTCTGAATGGATATGTGGTAGTGATGTGGTCCTTCCTCGTCGCCAACCGGAAGATAAACATTTGGTATTATCTAGTAGCGACAAATTAAAAAATAAATCTCTCTCTGGCACAGCTGCAATTTCTACTTTTTCTTGTTATTTAGAATAAAAAGACGCGCAAGCACTGATATAACTATGAGTTCTCTCCCACAGAAAAGAAAAGAACGTTATATGCTCTTAATAATCTAGTTTAGTACTCGATATTAAAAATGGAGTTCCTTTATCTCGTGGCTAGCCTGACCGACCAGCTCTGATTAATTGAAAACGCTCCAAGTGTAGTTGTTTACTTACCTCTTGCACCGAAAATGTCATTGGGTGGCAGAAACCAGGCCCCTAAGCTCAAGTTTATGCTGTACTGGAGATCTTTTTCAAATTACATTTATTCAGATGTCTAGTCTCTTTATCCTTCCTGAATAAAAAGTGTATAGCAACATTTTATTTCCTGACCTTTTGTGTATCTTGTCTGTCTGCCCGGCGGGTGAAGACGAGGCCAATAAAATATATCAAGAGCATGCTGCATACCGTTACCAAGACGACGAAGTTCTTCCTGAGATCTCTGAACTCACCAAAGACCTTGTGAAACTCAATTCTATTTGGTTCCACGAAGAACGCTCCGCCAAAAGAAGATAGGTGGTTACATTGGCAGTAGATATTCCCTGAAACTACTTCTGGTGCAATCTAAAGGAGCAAACCAGATGAAAGAAACTTTTAAAACAATAAAATACCGTCATTGACAAATTCCTTGACTGGAGGAGTAGGGTGGGTTTGTTTGCGACCCACCACCACTTACGACCCCAGCAGACACAAGGTATGAAAGCCATTGTAATCGAAGATGTACTTTACTTAAGTGTTTTTTATACTCATCATTTCAGCAGCAATCCCTACCTTACATCCCTCGTCGGTCCAATACTCCTTTCCTTCAGACCAATAGAAGCAACTCCCGACTGATACCACCAAGGTGTAATTTAAATCTGTAGAAGCATTGTATTCTGGCCTCAAAATGGTGGGTACAGGCGTGGGGGCTGGGGGCGGATCTTTCGTGCCAACACAAGATCGTTTCTTTCGTCTTCCTCCGTCTTTGCAATAGCTCCGGAGTCCGGTCTTGGGATCAACACTTCTTCTTGCTCTTTTGTGAAGAGGCATGTCTGTATGGCTATTGTTCTCGTAATAGTGTATCCCAATGTAGTGGATTCCAGTATGGCCAGTATCAGAAGCATTGAAAGAAAAGATATAGCTATCCTTGCCACATTTCGGTTCTCCGAGCTTGCATGGTATTGCAACTGAAAAGGTGTGCTTCGTTGGCGTGGGGTAATCATAAAAGCTCACATAGACACGTAGAGAGACAGGAAATAGGTTCTCTGGTTTCAGTTTTACATAAACTACATCGCGTTTGTGAGGAATGTTAACTTCATGGTACTGTATAAACTTAGAGTCGTTGATTTCAAAGCTTGGTTTGACAAAATAATGCACTGTCTTGCTCAGGACATCACCTTTAGATCCATTGTTGGTGTTATGCGGTATATACAGCTGCACTGGCTTCTTTAAATTGGAGAAAGACAAATTTTTCTTTTTTTCAGGCTGAAGGACAACGTCAATAACCCATGATTTGACTACAAGAGAAAAAAAAGAGTGTACCATCTATTCAAAATGGTCAGTCTCATTATGATATTGCTCTTAGGTTGTTTTCTTGTTGGTTAGCCGAAATATTTGTTTTTACTATTTTTACGTTGTGTTTTCATCTTAAAGCTCACGACTACGACTCCAGTCATATTATTGATTTTATGGCTACGCTCAGAAACACCACTTAAAGCTAAGAAAATGTGAAGTTACATGTTACATGGACAGTTGCAGCGATAAATAATTTCGAATGACATGGAGAATGAAAATATTTGTCCAAACCACAGAATTTTGTCAAGCAGTTCGTAGTTCGATAGTATGATCGTAGGGAGAAAAGGAGTTACAGTAACTTTTTTAGATGCAATTCACAAGGAATGGCTTTTCACTGTGACCTCACGTAACAAATTGTAATTTATATGATTCTCGCCAAAGAGAAGTGAATTGTCCCCCACGTTGTTAGTACTTTCAACAGTAACTTACTTACCTCTTGCTGCACTAGTGTGCCAAGTGTAAGGATTTATCTTGAATAACACCACCTTGCAAGTGAGATCAGCCCCATTTACTCCTTGTGCGTTGAGTGCCTCTTTGTAATTCGGTAGTTTAAACTTAATCTTGTCGATTTCTACTATTGCGTTTGACTTATCCTGTACGAAGAGAACCATCGACAGAAAGCGACTGTCAACAACCACAGGTTCCACAGCAGATTCGGTAACCAAGAGGAGATTTCGAAGTTTCCATGCAACTTTAAGAGCTTTCATGGCAATAGCTCTTCCCTGCAAATGAAAAATAAAGGAAAAGTGGAAATTTTTAATTTGTTAAAAGGTGTTTGGCTCGTGACGAAGCCTGAGTGAGGTAAACCTCTGAGCTTACCGACCTACAGTGACCTGGCTTGACCAAGCTTTGACGACACTCGTCATGCTTTGCGGTGTTCTTCTCATCTCAACGTAAAATGCCATGGTTTAGTAATGACCAATCCAGAGTGAACGGGTACCCCAGTGAGGAATGTTAGTTAGTGAAGTAAAAAATCATATCGTAATTACACTGTCAATCTTGAGTATTCTGCAATACCTTAGTCTTGTCCACATTATACCAATGTTTTCCAATTGCGGAGCCAAGTACATAGATTCTGGCATCTTCAGAAGATATTCTCAAAATATTTCCCAACCCAAGTAATACTTTGGAACTGATCTCTGCCACCGTGCGTGCATCTGCATCTTCGCTTTTGTTCGCTAGTAACGAGGACAGAAAATTTGTTGCATTTTCCAGCAGTTCCAATGCCACGCCCTGAGTACAATATAAAATAGGCCAAATGCATTTACTTTTTGTTATCAATTCGCCTAAAGATTGTCAACTTCTTCATTTTATCCATTCAAAGCCTAAAGCCTGTTTTATGACATTCTTTCCTCTCCAAACAGGGTATAGCTAAAGATATCAACTTGATAGCAAACAGGAAAAACAGTTGCCTAAAAATTTGTACCGAGCGGTAAAATAAGTACCCCATGTTACCTGTTTATCTTGAGATATCTCGTCTCTTTCGTCGGTTACCATGGCTAACACCGTAGTAACTTTTGTGAAAATGTCCATATCGTGGATTCTAGCTCCTTTCAGTGCGTTTATGGTATTATCTTTCAGCTAGGCATAAGTAAAAAACTTAATTAGGTAATTCTTTTTAAAAAGGCAACCATGAGCTAATCGTGACTTCGCATGTGGCTTTTAATCTATATATTCTTACCTTCCGAGCTGTTTCCTCTGATATTGCACTTCGCTATTAGATAGAGCGAAAGAAAAAATTACTCCATGTTTCCCCGGAAATTGCATATTATATCTGATCAATTATTAAAGCTAGCTACAAATTTTCTGTATCATAGCAAGCTACAGCAATAATAATTTTCAGCTGAGTATCGATTGAAATGGCTTTTTTTTTTTCGCTCTAGTTAAAAAAAACTGGAACAATCTTCCATAAATAATCTGTAAAACCAACTATGAGTTTGCTATCTCGTCCTTTTCCTCTTGTGTTTGATCGAAAGTATTTCCTTTTGAGATTTCACTTTTCCGTTGAGATGTTATTGTTTTTTGTAACTATTTGTAGCAAAAATTCGTACTGCTTTTGAGATGAACAAAATGTAACTAACCTTTGAATCATTCGAGTGCCTCCTCTGTTCCACAATTGACAGCACCGAAATCGCCACCTCGCAGGCCTTCTTATACTCACTCTTGTTTGCCAAGTCTATGAATTTGTTCTTACTTCCGTTTGCAATCTTATGTAACGTTTCCATCACTGAGTCCTGGTCCCTTACCTACTCAGAATGAAAAAAAAAACTGCTGAAACACGTTTTAGAAGCTCTACAGCGGAAACAAGCGGTCACGCAATCTTAAATTTGAAAAACACAATTTAAGACTAAAAAAGTGGGTTTTAAATCATTTCTTTTGAGAAAAATCTCGAAGAGATGAACCTCTTTACCTTCCCAACGCTAAATTTTAATACATGATTTCAATTGCCAACTCATTAGAATAGACTGCTCTCCTATTCTCATCGCTCCCTGAAATACATTTAATTTCCCGCAATACATTTAATTTTCCTTATTAATCTGATTAAGGATAAATGATTATGTTCTGATCAGATTCCTTTTCGTAAAAGTTGATCCGTCTAAAATTTGCCTCGCTCCCAGCTTGAGGCTTCTTAGCCCATTTCTTTTCTTGATCTTTATCCAAAGATCAAAATAATTTTTTTTAATGAGGAAAAATAAAAAATTGTAAAAGTCACTGTCTTACCTTGACTCTAATTTTGCTGGTTCTTTTATCTCCAAGTTTATCCATAACAATAATGCCCACCAGTAACTCAAAGTCCTTTGCTCTATCCCCCGCGGGAAGATGTGTAGACAACATGTTGTTTATTGCCTTTGGATAATTGATTACTATGCCAGCGCTCGTGTTGTAGTGATACTCGTACTTTAGGGGTTTATCCTCGTCATTCCATCCAACGCAAGTTATATTGAATAACGTTTCCACTGCGAAACCGTCATCAGGGGTGACAGAACAGCCACCTCCTTCCTTTTTTTCATCAGGCAAGGAATTCACAACGAACTCTTTCTCGTAATCTTCGTGGATCAAATCATGTTTAATCTGTATTCCAATCGTAGCCTTGATCTTTATCCGAGGGTTTCTGATTTCATCAGAAATATTCCTCAAGGAAAATCCCTTCTCGGAAAAAGTTTTCAATTGTCTTGGAGATATACAGGTAAATGCTTGTAAATTTTTCCACCTACGGCTATGGTTCGTGGAATGAAAAATGTAGACATGCCATTTTATGTTCCTAATCAAATTGCATAGTTTTCCCTCACAAATGGGTTTGAGCTTCAACGGCTTGGATTGAATGACCTTTTCACCGCAATTGGTTATGCATCTGCAATTAAAGATATTGTCACTATTAATATATAATCGTCATTAGATAATGGCTCAGCAGCAGAAATAAATGTATTACTAAACGAAAAAGCAAGATCCCCTCGCCTGCCCTTTGCTCGAGTTTACGAGTGAAAACTTAAACGTTTCATCTCGGTAGGATCCAATTGCCTCCGATAGCCCCAAGAAAGGTTGTAGCCATTAGTATCAGAAAGACATTTTGTATAGCACATTGATTGCAATTAATTTTGAAAACAAAAATAAAGAAACGTGATAATCATGCTTACATATTAAGGACGTGAATTCAGTTCAAACAGATGAAATTTGAATCGAGTTCTTAACTTGACACGAGTTGTTAATTAAGTAAATTTTTTTTGGACTAAAAATGCACGGGTATCTAAGACAAGCCGATACTATGAGCTCGTTAGCGTTAGACTGGATCACATGTTGGCCCTTTTCTACTCTAACTTTTTCGTTTCTTATGCAATCTAATTTCCAAAGAAAAATTATGGCAGTCCGTCTGACAAAAGATGTCGAAACGCATTTCTGTCTTACCTGAAAGTGAAGTTTACAGCTGGATGCACCTTAAGCATATGAGTTGCTTCTTTTTTCCTATTTCCCTTTGAAATCAGCACTTTAAAATGGTAGCTCTGCATTGACTTTAGTCTATTGACGTATACGACCAAGATTGATCCGTTTGAGGTCATCTTTCCGTTACCGCAGCTCTCATTTAAAGACATGTTATCCATCTTATAACTGCAAAACCAATTGAAACTAAGTACTCCATAAGCTAGGCTATCTGGATCATGTGACTGCGAAGCATTTAAGATTACTTCACCCGACACTCCTCTGCTAGCCTCCTGCTGGCCTTTTATCTCTGCCAAAAGTTCTGGCAGTTCCACCTTGAGGAGGTTAAAAGCTTCTATTCTTCTTCCACTAGGGTCATTGAGACGTGCTGAATATCTGATAATTATTGAATAGGGAGTATTGCAATATCCACAAATCTTGCGAGGGTTAAATACGAACCTCTCCTTAAGGCTAATGTTTTGAAATGCAAGATTTCGATTTTCGTCACAGACAAGTGACATTTCCCATAAGGAAGAACTTAATCGCATAGGCCTGGTGTCACAGCGAGAGATGACGGCGAGCAATTTCGGGCGTGAGGTTGTGAAAACTTTCCTGGTTAAAGATTTCTTATTGACGACGTGGATTTCGACGTCAGGGGAATAACAACTGGAATTTCCTGCAATTAAATCAAATGTTAATCTGTTATTTAATAGAAAGAATGAATATCCAAAATTAAGTTATTTTCTTTATGGCCCCTTTAGGACAGCTTCACCTACGATCTAGACAAGATTTGAGAGATCCAAGTTTGAGCCCTGACAAGAACTCTTTGACTGCTGTTTTTGGTGAGGACATTACTCACGCAGTGCCAATTTTCTATTCAGGAGTACGAGTCGTTACCATCTAAACTGTAAGAGAGTTCTTAAAAATTTCTGGGAAGGACATTTGCCTTAGAACAGCATCCTTAGGCTCTAGGATGGAAAAATAAAACCCACGGTAGGTTTATGCTGAATAAACTGGGACAAACGTTGGTGATAAGGGGCCATCGAGTTGAGGAAAATTCATTTGATGATTCACAACTCAAGATGAGTAGTGCAGTAAATAAAATTTTGCAAGTTTCTGTGCTACCCATGGAGTTGCTAAAATATCTGCTCGACTGCAACTGAATACATTCTTTTACCAACCAGGATAGTAGATTTCGATGCGTTCTGAAGACACTTTTTTTTCCAGGGTCGTAGAAACGAAGGAGGAAGCTTCCTTGATACAATGTATCTCCAACTCAGCGGAAACCAATGGTTTAAACGACCGTGCACTCAACCTGTATAGTAAAACAACAACAAAAAAATACTTAAAAGTGTTAATTTTTTTTTTTCACATCTGCTTCGCTACCAAGTGGGAGAGAGTCTGTTTCCATCGAAAATCGAACGTCGATTTTTAGAATAACTAAAACATTAAAGGTTTCAAAGCTCATCTCAACCCCAGAGTACAGCATGACTAAAACACTTAGAGCACCCACCGAAAGCGTCGAAACGTCACACGCAGAAACCCTTGGGTCTGCTCTAAAAGACGTCTTATCTGCAAGAGAAATCATGGTACAAGATATGTGAGCGAGTTTAGGAAACATTTTTACATGAAAATGTAAAGGTTATAGTGAATGACGTGTTAGCCCAACATTTGTACACCCCTTCCCGGGAAACAGAAAGCATATGCGATAAATTAGGTACTCGTATATGAGGGGCAATGGATTAGTGATAGAGCTTTTAATTGCAGATCAAAGCAGGATTCGTGATTAACTGTTAGATTGTTCGAATGTACCTCGTTTGTAGATTTAGCTGACCAGTATTGATACAGTTCTCTTGAGTTATCCGAACATTCGAGTTCATTGAATGCAAAAAGTTCAAATATTTTTAGCTTCACCAAAAAGTAGTAACCTGTGGATGAACGGAACTTGTCATAAGTAATTCCCTCGAACTGCAATGTAGGTCTATATATATAAAGAACAACCTAACAAAATGATGAAAGGGCCTATTTCTATCATTTATCAATAGTTTGTGCTTTCTAGTTTTTGTTTTGCTTCATTTCTTCACTAATAAGTTTGACTGTTTCATAAGGGAAATAAATTGACGGCCTTTAGGGAAACGTTTTCATTAAAAACAGCCATCCAAGAAAGACAGGATCTAATTTGTCTCCTTTGTCGCAAAATGTGCCAACATTTTGCACCGGAATTGGGAAGTGAACGAGAGGACAGTTCTTAAACCTCTGGCCATCAATTACTCATTTTCTAAAGATGCTGGTACTAACAAATGTTTGAAGATTGACTGATGTTTCTTTCAAAAATTCATAAAAAGTTTACCTTAAATAATCTAATAAATTTTACAAATATAAAAAAACTGACAACTTCAAGGGCAGTTTTGCTAAAAAATCTCCAAGAAATGACTCAAATGAGTAAAATCTAACCAGACTTACCCGGAGCACAACCATAAATTTGCATTCGTAAGCCAATATTATTGTTCCATCCCAGCGGTATTACCATAACCAGGCCCGTAATAACCGGAAGTGGGACGTAGTTGTAACGTTGTGTGAAAATGTCGTTATTTCCGGTGAAATTCTAGAAGCATAACAATTTTACACATGAATGAGTAAAAGTTCTTCTATAAAATAGCTAACTTTTGTGTTATATGTTGCGCGCAAACAGATGCCGCTGCTATGACTAATAAAACTTCCGGTTGGATGTAAAAATCAGCTGCGAAAAAGCTATGGTCGATTTATTATTAAGCCTCGAGCTAGGCAAATTAATTGCTATGCTCGTGGCTGGGAATAAAAATGTCAAAATAGATCATTTCTGTTTCTAACTTTTCTTTCATAATGGTGCTTGCTTCCAACTAGCCCAAAATATTTATTTCAGCTCAGACTGTTTCCTTTAATGGGTTCAAAAAACTGGAAATAATAACTCGTGGAAAAAAAATGGAAATAATAACTCGTGTGGCAGCCCTTTAAAAGTCTTTTTTCCAAAGTTGGGGGTAACACCTCCTGCCGTGCTCAATAAAGCTCCCTTGTGAAGGAACCACACGACGTTATGTACTCTTGTGATCAAGTCTAATAAGTCCCTCTTTAAAAGCTTATTCTAATCTTCTCCATTTCTATTAGTACGTGTCCCCATCTGGTTTATTCTGGCCTCTACAGCGTGAATTAGAAAATTAGTTGAAGGTGTCCATCATTTAAAGATTTCTGTCATATCACAGCTCCGATAGCTACGCACTTTATGATTCAAAAAAAATTATGCAAGTTACTTCAAATGATTTTTTTTCGGCCCAGATCATAGAAATAAGCTAAGAAAAAAACGTATCAAATATATATCCCCAATTCTGTAATAATATGTTTGTGGAGTAAATTGAATTCCTTTCCTTTCTCTGTTTTCATTTCCCGCATTCAAAGCCTTTAATTAAAAAACAATTTAAGAAATGTACATTGTAGGGTCGAAATACCGCTATGCCGGAGGGGTTTGAGTGCAAGATATTATATTCTCGATACGGCAAATCAATATCTAAATATGGCCATTAATGCGTTAAACAGTTTTTAAGCGAAGCCGGGTGAAAAAGTTCAACTCCACAGATCTCGACAAGCCTCTATGGTGTTTTTTAACCTAAGCAGAAGTTTTTTAGGAAGCGCACAACTTTATTAATAAAGAAAAAATTCACTGATAAACCCAAACATTTATCTCAAAATGAGTTAAGTAAAAGACATGACAGCTGAATTTAAATCGAAATGATTAGGACAGCAATGGAGTATTAACATATTCGCTTTTTTACTCTTGATAAAGAGCCACGCACATTTAGACAGGAAAATGTTTTTCTTTAAACGAACCACGCGATATTCATATAAGTGATATGTTTCTCTTGATTTCTACGTCAAAAGGGACGATGACACCATATGTGTATAAAAATTCAAATAAAAAAAGAAACGGCGCCAAATAAACTGAAATAACCAAGTATCGTCGTACCTTCACTTCTCCACTCGTTTCTTTAAAACTCAAATACTCTTTTCCAGTGGAATACATCAGCATATAATCTGTGATCCATTCTTTCTCACTGGAGTCATTATATCCAAGCGTGGAAATACCTGTTACTATACTTTCATTTAGTAACTTGGCCAAGATCCATATCTCATTCCGGTGATGAGTGCCGTTTTGCGGTCTTCGTTTCTCAAGGGCACGCGACGTTCGAATGCCCTTGGTGTACACCTCTTCGCCTGAAGCCGTCCTAACACTATCACCACCAAAAACCATGGAGATTTCCTTGATTTCCAACGGATATCTACAATTGGCTTGTAAAAAGAAGATGACCGGTAGGGGAGTCTTAAAATGACTTCCCTCATCAAAAATTACATGTTTTTGTTTTCGCTAGAAGCGCTTTTCAAGTCCTTGCATTTTAAATTGCAACTTACCTGTCAAGTTTTCAATCCCGTGTGGCTCGCTTGAGGCTTTTCCAAACACAAAGGAAGCAAAGAGGTTGAAAAACAAAATTGATTTCATCTTAAAACAAAATTGGACTTTTAGGCCGAAGATTCGACCAAATCCAAGAACATCTGTAACAATTATTGTGAGATGGTTTCATATTTCCATAGAAAAAACTCTATTATCACGAATGATATTCAATTGGTGGAAATTTACCGCCGGTTGTCAAAAGGAAGACGTGGAGGGAGCGTCTTCCTTATTGTAGTCTACAAAAAAAAAACACCTTTTTAGACACAAAACAAAGAAAGAAACAAAACAAAATTATCCCAGTGACCGTTCTGGAATGACGTTTCGTTTGTGAGTTCTGCTCGCAGACATCTGCCGTACCAAACGGGACGCCGTAGACTCTGACTCTTTCTTCCTTTCGCTGAAATTTTATTTTCGTGAGCCCCTGTTGTTCGGTCATTTTCTGATACGTTTGATTTCAATCGAGAACTTTCTTTTACCTCTTTTAGCTTCGTTGCACAAGTTTGATGTTATAGTCTTTCACTTGTGATAGACGACAGTTTGTCACTGAAAAGCTGTATGAATCCGAAACGCAGCAACACGACGACAAAATGAAAACACGGACACAAATTCTTTGACACCATCATAATAAAGAGTGGAATCGATCTGATAAAACGAAGCCACCTTAAAACTATTAAACTATTGTTTTTAAGTTAATTCAGGGGAAATTATTTCCAAAAAGACTGTATTTTTTATCTTTTTTATCTATTTATTTATTTTTAGAATGAAAATGAGAGATATTAAAAAATGACGTCTCGTTGACGACGTGTCACCATTATTTAATGCGAACAATAAACGTGTCTCAAAGATATATAGAAATAAATTTGTAAACACAGAAAATAAACATATCTTATGAGACGCTTTGGTGTTTAGAATAGTTGAGTATTTTTAACCGTTGTCCGTGTCTTGACTCGCCTTACGGGCTCTTCAAAATACGGTACAACTCGTAAAAATACTCAGCGATACTACACACCAAAACGTCTCGTAAGATACCTATTATCCAACTGTTTTTTTTTTTGTTAAGTCTTTCTACTCATTTCTCGTAAGGCGGGAAAAGCAAAGCGGATAGAGAAGCATAGCGCGCAGCCGACTGCTTAAACAGTTTTTTTTTTTATTCTACAAAATAACCAACTGTCCAAATAACCGTACAATATCACAGGATATTTGTACTCTATTCGAGCGTTATTTGTACTCTACTTTGTGCAGTTGGATAAATAAGAGAGAATATAAGAGAGATTAACGTGAACGTGTGAACGAAATAGCTTTTATTGTTGACCCAACAGGATCAGGCTTCCCGAAGTACATAATTATAACTGTAAAAATCATGGGGTGGTAAGTGAGTATAAAATCCTGGGGGCGGCATCGGTCAAGTTGAGGCTACAAGGATAGAAAAGTAGGGCAAATTGATTTTCTGAAATATTTAGTACCGCAGAAATTGTTTTCGGGCGTAAAGTTAGGAACTATCAAAGTACGTTCCGTAATTAAAAAGAAATTTTCAGTAATCAATTTGAAGTATCACTTTTTATGACATATACTCTCAGAGGAGAAAAAATCTCATTGTTCTTATTTTTATCTACTCTCAATTTCTTTTATTACTGTGTTCAATTCTGCGATACATTACTAAACTGATCTGAAGAATACCATGTTTAATTTGGCATTTTCCACGCGGATTTCATAGTTTTTTTTTACTTAACTTTAAAAGTAAAACAAAAACTTCATAAGAAAATTTCCATGAGTGAAAATAATCAAAGAGAAAAAACAACATTTATGTCTCGAACTATACATCAAAATTTTTTTGAAAAAATAATTGACCAAAATTTGTGGCGAGTCATCGTTAACTGTGGTTTCAGAGCCTTGAAACATTTGATTACGGCGATTATCTAGGTTTCATTCACTATTTCCCTCTCTTTTTTTTTGCGAAAAATCGTGGCTGCAGCTGAAGAAACTGTTTACTCACTCATACTGAGAGGCTGTATACCAAACAATTCAATAGGATGTTTCTCGAAATTTTAGGACAAATTTAGTATAAAAGGTTGTCGAACGACAGACGACATTTGTTAAATCTCACTCTGAGAACAGTTGGATTAATAAAGAGCTGTTGTCTGTCATTGCAGGACAGTTACTCAATTAGTTTTCTTAAAGTCTTACAGCCAAGGTCGAGGTCGAACAAATGACTGCGGGAGTCGTATACCGTATTAACTCGATTGAGCGCCTCCCTCGAATAAGCGCCGCATTTGTAACAGAAAGAAAGAAAGAAAAGTAAGCACCGCATTCCTAATGAAGCACTTATTCGAATAATTCTTTCATGAAATTTACTACTTCGTGTGCAGTTGGACTAGACGCAAATTCTTTTGAATGCACAGACTCAGAAGTAGAACAGCCGTACCCAATATCTCAGATCAACTAGAACGCTGGAAATACAATGGAAAAGTATATAATCTAAGGATGTCAATTCAATTTCTAAATAAGCGCCGCCCCCTAATAAGCACCGCCCTCGAATTAGGGCGCAAAAACTTAAAAAAGCCCGCGGCGCAGTAGCTCCTCGGGGACAATTTCAAAATTGCACCCAAGTGATGAGCTCCACCGTGAGAAAGAGCCAACTTGTTGAAAATATCCTAGATTGGCGGAAAAAGTGAAAGCTTATCCTTGCAGCCACATAATTATAGCTGAGCGATGCAACCCTAAGCGTGTCGCTCATTTCAGTTTCATTAAGCCACCAAAAGATGGAGGGATTTTCCCATACTTTCACGCAGCACTACTTTCATGATCGTTTCTCTTGATAAATACTTTTTTCCTTGTGCGTAAAAATTAAAAACTCAGAGTTTCTGGAATCTTCTTTCATTTTTATACCACCTGAAGTGATTTGGTAACGGGACTCCAACATAATTGAACTAAAATTTGGCATAATAGGTGATGACACAATGCACGCAATCTAAAATATTAATAGCTTTGAATTTCTCACGTAATTAGCATTTTAATTTATAATACTTAAAGTACGACAAATGAAAATTACTGAATGTAAATGAACCTAACCCACCAGACAAATCTTGACTATTAACTCCAGAGAGGACTGCAAGAATAAAAAAGGTGACTTCTATGGACCCCATCATCTGAGGACTACGTGAAAAAGAAAAAAAAGGAGTGAAAGTTACGGAGCGTGTTTTGTTACTTAATTGACGATGGACTTAGAGTTCTGCTTATTAAAAACAGAGAAAAAATTGAACAAAAAGCGAAAAAAAAAAATTTGTTTTTCACCTTTGTCCTAGTAAGCATTTGAATGTTGGAAGATAGATTTCAAAATATCCACTTACAAGGCTATAGGCCTTTCTTGTCAAAATAAAGAAACAAACAAAGAGCATTTCTTTGAGAAGGCATTTTGACGTTTGACAAATAGTCAACTGGAGGTATAGTGTGGCAATCGGTTTGCAAGATATCGATCCTATTGTACCATCCTCAATGCACTGAGAAAATCTACGGCTGAATTCAGGTAATGATTATCATTTGTGCTAGCTCACCAGATGACTCTTCAGTGGAAGTCTTCCTTTCAAAGTTAACACTCAACAACAAAGTTAACACTGGTTTCCCAAAGGGGATAAAACGTCGAAATTCAATGTTACTTTCAAGATTGGCGCCTGGAGATTCAACGGTGTCTACCAACTTTATCGCTACACTTGTTGTGAGTTCTTTGAAAAGACACCAGAAACTTAAAATGAAGCTTTTTTTTTCAAAGAACCCCCTGTAGTTTGAGCGAGAATTGTGCGCACGCCATAAGCTCCAGGTAACTTCTAAGTTTAATTTCCTGTTATCCTGCAGATCTTATCAAATCAATCCTTTAAATTAAATTTAATGGTGTATTGTCGGGAAATTTGTCTGCGGCCTTCTTCCTTCGAGCCCACAAGCGTGCAGGAACACACTCGATATGAACGTTTACATAAACCGAAACGTATAACATCGACAGTAAATTTAAAAAAAAGGTTTTGCATTATTATACTTCCATAGCATCCTTTTATTTCATGCAACAAAAACTTCTAACATCTACGTCTATATATATATAGAGGAAGTCTGTGTTTTCATTTTTCCGTTGTACACTGCTCGACACGCAGAAGTAGAGCGCGATAGAAAAAAAACAAAGAAACTGTACTTTCATCCCTACCAGCCTGTTTCGTGATTACTCACCCATCAGGAGATTTTTATTAAAGACTAGTTTCATGACTTAAATTTCGGACTGGAAACGTGACGTTTGGAGAAAAACCAATTTTTTCTATTTATTTTCATTAACGCGATTTATTTTCATTAACGCGATTTATTTTCATTAACGCGATTTATTTTCATTAACGCGATTTATTTTCATTAACGCGATTTATTTTCATTAACGCGATTTATTTTCATTAACGCGATTTATTTTCATAAAATGAGTAAGACCTCTTTAATTCATACATTATTTATCAAACATCGCCAGTGGGTAAAACGGAATAAAATTCCCTGATGAGTGAGTAATCACGAAACAGGCTTGTAAGGATGGAAGTATAGTCTCTTTGTTTTTTTCCCTACCTTGCTGAATATATATATATACATATGTATTAAAGATTAGTTTCGTGACTTAAATTTCGGACTGGAGACGTGACGTTTGGAGAAAAACCAATTTTTACTATTTATTTTTATTAACACGATTTATTTTCATTAAATGAGTAAGACCTCTTTAATTCATACATTATTTATCAAACATCGCCAGAGGGTAAAACGGACAATAAACAGCAGACACCTTTCTAGAAGGTAAAGAAAAATAGGATGTATGTTTTTAAGATTTTGCTTTACATCACTCACTTCTTAGGTATGGATTATGTTAAGTTTTTTTCTTTATACAGGAAGGGACTATTATAAGAACTGAAAGGAGGGCACTTAAAGGATCTGTAGATATCTGGAATTATACCAAGAATTCAAATAAATTAATTTTGACGCTATGGTCAACACTCATGAAGAAAATTGGGACTTACTTAAAAAAAGAAAAAAAACTATGATAAACAAATCATAGAGAAATAGAATTGGTATCCAGTTGTGATTTGTATAAATATATTTAGGTCTTCTTCAGTTGGAGAGTAATGACGGAATATTCATGTGTTTCCCAAACGGTTGGTGCTAACAGTGAAAATTAAGAAAACTGTATTGGAGGAATTGTATGGGTAGGGTATTACTAGGAAAAATGGGAAAGACAAAATAATAATAATAAATGAAAACATTATTATGGAGTTTGGGGATCCACATCCTAAAACATCTTTAGCTCAAATAAATTAGTTTTAAAGGATCAGACAAGGATAAAAAAAAAGCCGTCGCATCTATATATCTAAAATGGGATAAACAGCTCAACGCGCTGGTTTAAAAGGATTAAAAATAAATAACAGAACATAACGAAGTTGTAAGTATAATCAAGGCAAAGGGCACGGGTTTGCCTAGATATGAACCGACATCCCTTTTGTTTTTCTTCCTATGGCTAATGTCGTTCGTGGCGACTCACCTAGATAACTACAAACTAAAAGACATTAGGAGATACTTGTTTTCACCTCCTTGGAAATTTATGTATATCACTTTCTGCGTATGGCAAAAAGGTCGCGCGGAAAAATAACAGTGCCGTAGTCTGCATACGCGCATACATAATCCCGCGAACACGACAGCAACTCTGTCATATTCTGTTGAAATAACTCGTAATCACTTGCAGTCACGATCGCTATAGTTGTGTATCTAAGCGTTGATTGTTGAGGTCGGTCATGCTGGTGTATGTAGTAACTAAAAGATTGGCCACATTGGTTTGACCAAGAAATGAAAAGTCGGGCGCATATACCTAATGAAACGTTCGTCCTTGTTTCCTTATTGGGGGCCATTGGCTATTCGTGATTCAGATGCTCAACGGCGTGAGGCTCTAATTCCACTAGGTACACTGAGTACATCTAAAAAATTGCGCCATTTTTGTGCTGAATATATATTTTTTTCGTTATTAAAAAGAGTACCCATATAGCTAGGCCATCAAGTCTTGAGTCATTCTTAACAACATGTAGAAATCTCTGTAAGCAAAAGGATATCGTGTAGACAAGATTATCACCGACTCTAAATGAGGAATATATATATATAAAAAGAATAACGTGTTTCTGCCTAGGAGTGCACAAAACTAAACCTTCAAAACGCGGACGTCAGGCGTCACCATGTATTCATACATATGTCTCAACTATTGGACGCAATGGCGACACACGTAAAACAAATTCTGAAGAATATGATGCGCTCTTAACATTTAGCAGCACCTCTTCAAGATACCCATCTTCATCTGACTCAAATGCCTCATCTATGGAGAGAAGGCTAGACAGGCTTATATTTCCTGAATCTATAACTGCCCTGGTACCATTTTGTTCACTGATTTTGTAAGTATTTTGGTTTCTATCTGTATCATCCAAATCTTCTGTGAAAGATTCTATCGACGCTATTGGACATGTTGCTGTTATTTCTGTTTGGAGTTCAACTGTGAACAATCTCTGGATTTCTGACGAGTATTTTTCCTTAATAACGTATTTCCTCTCTTTCGATCGACACCGTGACGCACGACTTTTTTTGGTTGTTTTAAATGAGGAAACCAATCGTCTTCCTCTAAGCTTCATTTTTCTAATCAAGTAGGAAATCATGAACTCCCCCAAATCAGCATCGGCAAATTCATTTTGCGGAATTTCGACCACTTGAAAATAGGAATCGTTTAGAATGGCTATAAACATGTTCAAGAGTATAAACGCCATTGTTAGCATGTAGAGAAAAATAAACAACGGCCCCAAAATGCCATTAACTGATTTTATCTCGTAAAAGTACATCCTTCCTCCTAGAAGCATTTGCAACACGGCGCGAAGGGAGTTTAAAAACGAGGAGTATGGAAGCATTGTGGAACCAAACAACAAAAAACCAAGCTGAGTATACGCCAGCACCGTTGAAATAAACACAACGGAATAAGAGACGAGAGGGTTCACAGCGCGTGCCAGAGTCCCCAGCATCTGACACACATGGCGATTAAAACGAATGAGTCTGAGAAACTTTATGGTTACGATAAATATGAGAAATGATAGCACATAGATTTCAACCGCTGACCATAAAACAATATAATCCGCACTTGAGGTCTCGAAGGGATTGTTCCTGACTTTCCTTATGAACCAGCTAGTATATTTGGCTTTCAAGAAGTACATGACAACAGAGCAAATCGCGGTTAATATTTGTATCAATTCCATCCAGTTCCAAAACTTGGTAAAGTACTTTTTCCTCTCCCTATAGATCTTGGACATTTCATTAATGATGAGAAATAAAATGAGAACCATGAAGAGAAGTTGACAAACTTCGTGGAAAGTTTGATAGTTGTTATTCGATGCTGAATATAACGTGAGGGTTCTTACACTTTTTGAAAACACTACTCCTCCTGTTGGGAATCGCTCATACAGGCATTTCGCGACACTAAAGAGTGAGCTCGACGGATTGAAAATTGTAAATTCTACAAAAATAGCTGTGGAGAACTCATCCATCCAATTGTTTGTCTGTAGTTCCTTAACAACTCCTAAAGCAGACCTGATATTGTAGCCCAAGTCTGCCACATATCCTCCTCCATCGTATGTTCTGTAAAATCCTTCATATGTGAGTGTTTTTAAATCCCAGGAAGTTTTATATCTCCAGGGTTTAGGGCACAGTCTTTCTAGTTCAAACACTGATTGGTTATCACTTAATTTCGTCACCGGGATCCACTCAGGCAAATTATATGGCGTCTTGTATTCTCTTTTTGGCGAATACGAAGGAATACATCTGGTAAACGACGTTCCAAGTTGCGGTGTCTTCTCTGAACCTACACAGACACTTGCTGAAAATATGACAAACGTTCTCAAAGTCAAAACGATGAGGACCAAAAAATTATATTTATTAAATATAGAAGCATTTACTGTGTTCTGTTCTGTTGTAAAGCACGAAGTGGCTAGAGCACGAAAGAAGTGTAGGGTGAAACACGAGGCCTAGTCGAGTGTTTCTCCCCACTTCTTCAGTGCTTAACCGCTTCCTAACTGCTTTACTGCAGAACAGAGCATAGTCAAGGGCTTCTCTATTTGTTTTATCCTAAAGATTCCGTTAAATTCCCTAAGCATTACTTTCAATTTTATAAAAAAAACTTTGTTTTCAAAGCGGATAGCAGTGTCGTTAGCATGCTCTATACTCTCATAAAGCACGCGACAGTAAGCCAATTAGAATCCCCGTTAGAATGGTTCAAATAATCTGAATTGTTGAACAAGACTAAAGCTGTCAAAAATGTCAGACTATCAAAGCTGACAATCTGCCATAGGCTGCAACTGAAAGAGTTCGGCAGGTCGATTTTAACGTTTTTGCCTGAAGCTTTTTTATTCCCTAATACAGAATCTAAGAGTGAAATGTTCAGTGAAATCCGGTCGAATTGTGGCTCATAAAAACACGCAAGTTTTTTTAACATGACAATTAGCAACAAACTGCTCAAGGCGTGTGTTTTATGAATCAATGACCGCCGAATTCAAGGGAACACGAAGATTGTTAGGAGTGATTGTGATTGTGAAAAACGTAACTTAATGTCCAACCAGTTGACTAAAGTAAATTCTAATCTTCTATAAAACTAGACACCTACCAGGTTTTATTCTGATTTGCCTTAAACGCGGCATCCCCACCATGAAAAGCTCTCTGTTACGTAAGAAACCTTCATCATAATCAAAGGTCCACCCATTGTACCACTTGGTGTCGTAAAGCGCTGGCAAGAGTCTACTACGTATCCAAGTCCAAAAGGACGAAATATTTCTGCCCTTGAAAAGATGAAAGGAAGATTTATAGTTTTGTTGTCCATTGGCACTCTTGTATGATTAATAAAGTGAGGTTTTGGATTAAACTGTGTTCACGACCATTCAGTTTATATCAAAATAACTATACTAGGTTGGAGTGAGTTTTTTTGCAAAGTTTTCTATGTATCCACGAGGGTCCGTCTCATTTTTTTCCTACACTTAGACGAAACTCAGGTCACAATTAATTTTTTTTTCGTCTCTTTTTATAATAAGAATGAATTCGAAACCATGCGCTGGATCGTTTAAGATCAAGAAACGAAAGTGCAAAGTGTAATCAACATACTAACACGACCTAGCTTTCAAACAGTAACACCTTTCATGCTAGACAAACACAGTCTAAGAAAAAAAGTCTGAAATGAGATATGATTCTCACCTTGAAATTACGAAAGGCGTCTTCCATAGATGTTGTCAACACATAACGTGAAGGACTTCGATTCCCATAACATACAATGAGTAAAAGCAGGAGGAAAGTCAAGAAGAGGGTTATTTCAGATAGAACGTTATACATGCCCTTAACCTTAGCTCGGTAGTCTCTAGCTTTCTCCAGTTCAACCCCTTGTGGTGGCTTAGCAACTGTTTTATCGCTAGAATATCCTTTGTGATACGTTATTCCACAAACTTTCTCGCGATCGGGCGGCTTTCTGATTATAAGTGACAGTAAGGAAGCCAAAAGAATGACTTTTATTGGCTGAGAAACAAATACGTCTTGAATGAACGACACAGTAACCGAAGTTAGCCACTGATTTGAAGTTTCCTTGCCCCACATCATGCTGTAGAACACGATGAAGGCTGCGGAAGTTAGGGAGGTTAGAATGCAAATCGTCCATCCAATATAAATAAAGAAGTGAGGCAGACAACCGGGAACTTTCTCTTTAGGCTCATTTTCTCTGATGTCAAAAACATTTTCAGAAGGCTTCTGTTTAATGTTTCTAAAAATCAAAGCAGCTAAGACGTTTATAGGAATCGCTATCAAACTACTTTGGATCCCAATCTTAATTTGTGTCCAGCTCAATTTTAAAGGTCCCACCTGAAAAGAGTCCTTCGGAGACGCACCAAAATTATAAAACATGGCATTAGTTACCATAGCAGTGAACAGGACTGACAGGCAGCAAGACAATCGCTGACAGCGTGTAAACGCAACGTGGGGCGGTCTTGTTAACACAGACAACCACAAATGTCCATCCCCTAAGTTCTTTGCCGTCCGAAAAACAAATAGATTCTTAAACTTTCTGAGCTCGTATTTATTGGCCGCATTTATCTCATACTCAATCTCCCCAGATCCTTTCTCTAAGGCAAGCCATCGGTTTGCAAGAAAATGCCATATGTCTCCACTGCTGGTATCTTCCACTTGAATTTGTTGAAGGAACCAAGCAGGATCTTCACCGCTGTTGTCATGCCAAATAAGTATCTTGAATAACCTTCCCAGTGAGGTTGGCAAAGCGAAAGTAAAGCTATTTAGGCTGCCACGGGCAAACAATATCTTTCTCGCTTTAGAATCCGAAAGTGAGATAGGACCACTGCAGCCTTCTTCACCATAAAGTGCTATTCCTACCTGCGCTGTGGTCCCCTGGTTTGTCCACATTCCAGTTTGTACATGCACATTATAAACACAACCAGAGGTAGTACTGTCGTTCAAAAACACATTTCCCACAGCCTGAAAAGAAAAATTAGTCATACAAGCATCAAAGGTTTATCCCCTCGTAAATTTTATTCAAGTGGTTTCAGATTTCTTGCCAGAGTTTTACATGTATGCAGTCTGCATTCTTTTGGAGGACGATTCTAATTTGCGATTCTTGGAATATCAATTTTGTTACACGTAGCTGAAAAATACCATTCCGTCAAAGAGGCATTTTCAACTTCGCTTGTAAAAATTCCAGTCTTGCATCAGGATACATCGCTTCAATTTTCATTATAGAATCCCTAGAGAAGAAAAGAGGGGATCCAGTGAGCTCATTTCCGATAGCTTCTGCTATTTTCAGCAAGCGAATATGCAACGTCATACATTGAAAGCAAGTTCTGTATCAACATGATCAAATTGGACATCCTCAAGCATTGTTTTTCTTTCAATTCACTTTACGTTGAAATGTTTTAGGAGAAATTCTGTTCTTGTTTTATTTTTATCCACTGCGCAAGTAATATTTCTACTTTATAATATATTATACTTGAGATCAAGAACTATTTCACCTTCAATTCATCGATCTTGTCCGCTCTTCGGGACAAAACAAGCCCCATGATATAAAGACCAAATATGGAACACACAGTTGTCAACACAACGTAGTTTCCAGTCTCTCTCAGTTTTCCAAAATTTTCCCATACTTTGTCGAAATCGATTGGATTTGGCGCAACAAAGAAATCCCCGCCAAAAGCTGAGAGATGGTTGCAAAGGCAATGCAAACTGGCTGACTTTGTTTTTGGTCCAATCTAGGTTTAAGAACATCAAAAAGCAAAATGAGCGATACAAGAAAAAAGAATCAATTAAGCAGCATTGTGTGCGTGCTGGAAATTAAGTGCACTTCTGCAGCCGCCTCTACGCAGTAAAGAGCTTAAGTTAATTTGTGTATTCCCAACTTCTTCCAGATCAGTATTACATTGCGCGACGAAAATAATTCAAAGTAGGGAAATTTCAGAGGAAAGACTTGAATTCATTTTTTGGCCTTACATCAAAACTGACTAAATGCCAAAGGATTAGAGACTGACGGTGAGAGTGATCATTTTTTTTGGAAAATATCTCATACCAAAACTTTTTAGGAAATAAAATAAAATATTTTTCAACCCAATGATCCTATGTCCAATCTAGGTTTAGGAACATCAAAAAGCAAAATGAGTGATACAAGAAAAAGAATCAATTAAGCAGCATTGTGCGCGTGCTGGAAATTAAGTGCACTTCTGCAGCCGCCTCTACGCAGTAAAGAGCTCAAGTTAATTTGTGTATTCCCAACTTCTTCCAGATCAGTATTACATTGCGCAACGAAAATAATTCAAAGTAGGGAAATTTCAGAGGAAAGACTTGAATTCATTTTTGGCCTTACATCAAAACTGACTAAATGCCAAAGGATTAGAGACTGAAGGTGAGAGTGATCATTTTTTTTGGAAAATATCTCATACCAAAACTTTTTAGGAAATAAAATAAAATATTTTTCAACCCAATGATGCTATGTCAACCCAAAAAATTGGGAAAGTGGTATCTGTTTATTTACCGAGCACCCTTCATTTGTCCAGATCTGCTTGCTCTCTGACCAATACAAACAGCTCGTCACAGTCACTGACATCGTGTAGTTCACGTCTGTACTTCTATTATATTTGGGCACCAAAATCAGCGGTGTTGGGGGCGGAAGGGTAGGAGCATCTTTGACGCCAATGCAAGAACGCTTTTGGCGCCGTCCACCGTTTCTGCAAGACCGCGAAACTCTGCTGGGAGATTTTTCAGCTTCATTCGAGGAATGCATAATACCAATGTAATGAAGACCAGTTTTTCCGGTGACATCACTTGATAGTGAGACCTCGTATGGATTAATGCTGCAGTTGTAATACCCAATTGCTTCAGAAAACGCAGAACAGGAGGCGTTATTTGGTAGACGGATATTGAACTGGAAGTCAGTCGATGTCGGCTTCCTTTGGGCTGCCACGAAAATTTCCAAGAATTGTCCTTGTTCAGGACGAATCTCGAAAGAGAACTTCGAATCGGGGGATGGAATATCAATTCGATGATAGCGCAAATTATTAAAGCCATCGCTTGGTTTTACGAAATATTCTTTAAGGGATCTGTTTTCGCCCTTCGGGTCTGTTCGGGTAACCGGAATAAACAGCTCAATTGGTTCTTGGAGGCCGGAGATATTCAGCGATGTTCCATCATTCTTTAACGTGAATTCTACAACCTTCGATTGGATACCTTTTGCACTCTCATCCCAAGTGAAGGGGTTCTCGTCAAACGAAGTGATCTGAGGTAAAAAGAAACGAAAAATGAGGCTTTTATAGCGTATCATAGAGGAGGTTTGGCATGTTTCAGCTAAAGCAGGAGGTATAGTTTCCTTTAAGAGGTCATGCAATTTACAACCTTCCTATGGCGTTACATTAGGTCACAATCCTACCTGAGCATCAACATATTTCATGTTTGCCATGTCTGCCTCAAACAGGATATTAGCAGGTGGAAGGGTTGCCTTTCCTTCACCCTCACCCACAGTCTTGCCAGACATTTTTTGCGGCGTTTGTCGATCTAGCGTCACCATCAGCTTATCGGTGTAGTACACGCTTGGTTTTTCACCAGGTACCTTTGTTTCTAAGAGTCCACTTGCTAGTTTGTCGATCAGATGGAGAGCCTTCTTAACAATCTTTTTGTTCTATGCGTTGAAAAAGTAATAATTGATAATGAGATCTAGTGGATTCTGTAATGCTGCCTAGGCAGATGAAATTGTTAATTGGAGTACTATAAATAAGTAAAATTTAAAGCCATCCAAATTATTAAAAGGAATTTTAAAAGGAATTTTCAAATAATTGCATACTATAATGAGGTGTAGTGCATTCTACAATGCTATCTGGGTAGATGAAATTATTATGAAATTGGAGTGCTATAGATAAGCAAAATCAATACCACCCATATCATTAAAAGTCACTCCACATGTCAATCGTTAGATTTCACAAAGTTTAAAACAAATTGCTAAACAAAGAAATGCCAAAACTGACTTTTGATTACTACCTGCTTCCTCTTAAGGTCTATAATAACGTCTTCGCTGCCTTTTTTATCCAATAACGTATTTCGTTCAAAGACGACAGCCTTTTTTGCAGATGCGCTTAGTGAGTTGGAAATTCCTTGTAGCAGATTCCCTCCAATGTTTCGAACCAAGTCAACATTCTGTGCCTCATAGCCTATTCGTGAGGTTATGAATTCCGTCATAATTTCTAAAAGGCCAACGGCTTTTTCCTACAATGAATCAACATCTATGCTTAAAAATAATAAAATCCGTACTTTAAAGATGTAAAAAGCGTGAGTCAAAAGCTTGAAAGTAAAATGATTGGAGAGAGGTATTGTCATACCTGAACTGACACATCTATGCCTTTTTCTTCCTCCGTTGCCACGACAACAACAGCTGATAGTTGAGTTACCTGTTGCATTGAGTTAATCTCCACTACTGAAATCTGTTCAAGCACTGCTTCCTTTAGCTGAGGAAACATGAAATACCAGACGTATAGAGGTTAAATATTCAAGTAAGATTTAAGAAAAACAAATTAGTTTCTGGTGCTTTGACAAATTTCTGTATAACGTGAAGGGCACAAATGTTTTTTAAATGCGCAAAGGGGCAAATAAAGTATTTGGTAATGTGTTTATCTTGAGCTCACAATAAAGCTTAACATCAACATGGAATACCCTCTGTTTGTCTTCACTACCAATATTGGCTTCCTTCACAGCTGTCACTATTGAATATGCCATCTGTGCAGCCTCATCAAAGTTTTTTTCATTTATAAGCCCTTGGAGTGAGTTGTTGCCATCGCTGGTCGACGTTTCAAGAACTTTTGAAATGTCTTTTGCAGGTACCGGTTTCACCTGAAATAGAGCGTTTTAACTAAAAATTACTGTCTGACCAATTTACTGACTGACTGACTGACTACCTGACAAGAGTTATATGTACGTCACCAGGTGTTGATATACCAACCCGATCTCGCTCGTAAATGAAACGAGAAGGAAGTAACTATACGTAATTCGAAGTCTTCAACAAAATGATCGCTTAGGATCCCAATGAGGTACAATTTCTTCTGCTACTCTGGCTATTTTTAACTTAGAGGTACAAGCTCAAGTGATCACGAAGATACATTACCTGAACCTGAAATCTTTCAATAGCGGAGGCATTCATGAAGTCTGATACTCTGGCTTCTAATGTTATGTTTCCAAGCGGCAGCCGGGTGATAGTATAGGGTTTTAGACCACTATTTATCACTAATACACCTGAACTGGTGTGATATCTAAAGTAAAGAGGAATATAAGTAGTTGGAGGGATAAACATAAATTCAGGGAAATATTTTGATCTAAATTCCTCCTTGTATGAAATAAGATGCATTTTCCTGTGATTTTGCTATCCAATCCAATCGCTTGAGAATCAAAACGTGAAATTACCCAAAACGTAATAGAAACAGTACAGTGTTATATCCCCAAAAGTCGGAGGAATACTCTTATTTTGTTCACCTGAAATCGTAAGTTAAAGGCAGATCATCATCTAACCACCCAAAGCAGCTGATGTTAAATTCTGTTGTCAACACGAAGCCTTCAGCAGGTATAACGGAGCAACCACCACCATCACTCTCTGCACGAGGAGGAGAATTAGTGAGGAAAATGAATTCCTCTGTGAGAGTGAATTTATTTGAAAGTGCTACAATTGTTCTTAACTTATACTTGCTGCTCTTCTCCAGAAGTTGCTCATCACCAGGAATAACTAAATAAGGACTATCGATGTCAGTCAGTATTTTCTCCTCAAAGCTCGGCACCTCGAGCCAGTCCTCGCCGTTAGATTTCAGTTTAAATAATAACCAGCTGTATCTGGCTATTCTGTCGCACAATAGCCCTGAGCAGGAAGTTCTTATGGTCAACCGCCGATTGGCGCTCACTTTGGCCCCACAATTTGTTGTACATCTGGAAAATGAAGATAACTTTATAAAGGAGAGCATGGAATGTCGCACTTACCTTAGTAACATCCAAAATAAATTGGGACGGTATGTTATTACATAACTAGTCTCTAATATATAGATTTAGCCAAGCCTAAAAGCGGAGCTCGCATTTTTTTTCCCGCACGTCTCAAGGACACAACGCCTTGCCCCGGCCAGGACTAGAACCCGAATCGTCCGACTCGGGGCCCAATGTACTGACCACTGGACTACTGAACAAAGCCGTGGCGTTGGCGTGCCCGCGGTACAGTTGATCACGCATGTTAAAAGTAGCACCTTGTACGGTCGTACGGTCGTACATCCAAATTTTTTCGGCTTGATGGGTTACTACTATTTTGTATAATTATGGGGCTACGCTCTGCGAGCTCCGCTATTACGAAGCTAAGCTCTAATTTTGGCATGTAAAAGGTGACACAATCTCCCGTCATACTATGGAATCTATCATTGATGGAACCCATCCTGTGAATTAACTTTACCTAACAACCAGCTTTGAATAAAGACAAACCCACTCTGTAAATTAAACGTCAAGTGCAAAGGAGCAACCTCACGTATCTATATCGTGGCTTTGGGATTTCCTCGTAATTACCTTATCTCTTAAAATAAAGGGGGTAAGTTTCTAAAGAAACTGTGATGCTGCGTCGAGTTAAGTAAAGTTAGTAAAAAGTTACAAGCTGACGTTTCGAGTTTCAGCCCTTCGTCATCGCTCTGACGATGGGCTAAAGCTCGAAACGTCAGCTTCGTAACTCTTTACGGTGGCCAAGTTACGCTATCAACTTAGCTGATAATACCAAATTACCTTATCTCTTACCCGAAAAATAGCTGAAACGGCGGCTCAACGTATAGTTTGTGAGTCGTTCGAGTTAATCTATCTCCCTTCTGAACCAAAAGTTCGAAAACGTATGTATTGTTTCCACTTAATCTACCTAAATCTAAAGTGAGCATGGGCATGGAACTATTCAAATGCCTGGTTTCAGTTCCATGACAAAAACGAGTGTCATTTGGGTAGACCGTCGAAATTTCATCCTTGTCGTTCTGCAACACTCCTTCTCTTCTGCAAAACCAGGTAAATGAGAGACCGTTTGCCTTTTTGTGTCTTTCCACTGGGTCATAGCTCGCCGATCCATCCAATATCACAAAACTCTCATTGCCCATGAGGACCCTTGACGGACCGTCGATCTTCACAACGAGTGGTGGATGTGTGATAAGAACATACCCATAATCGTAAGTTATAGTTTCCTTGAAGTGATTTTTGAGGACACACCGGATGTACAAGTAACCAACGCCAAAAAGCCGGGGGAAAAGGAATTTAGGTCTACCGGGTTTATTCTTTCCGTACGGAATCATCTGATTAAAAAAACCAGTGCTTTCCTCGCATTTGGACACCTCCCAATGTAGTTCGTAGCTACCAGAGTTATACCTTTTACAATCTCCTTTATAAGTCGCTTTTAGAAGAAACCGAGAATTTGTGTGAATAATCACAGCATCCTCCAAGGTTTTCCTCAGCTCGACCTTAACTGAAGGAACGTCGCACTGACAGTTAACTGAAGAAAAAAAAGATAATTTTAACCCCTATACTATAGCAATTTTTCACGTGCTATTTTTCAGAAGGTCGATCTTCGGGGATATGCTTGCGCTTGTGTCAAACTTTTCCTATTGTTCTAGACTTGGAGGAATAAATAAGTTTCGTTATCAGGATCGATTCCACACCGTAATGAAACGGCCACCCACTTTAAGTAAGGTACATGTGTGATTGCTTCATTGTTTGTCATGGCTTATCCTCTCTAATTGGGGCTTAATGACAAAAATGTAATGCTCGACACATACTGAGTGAATTTGGTTTTCCCCGTTGCTATCTTAGGTTTATCGAAAGGCTTAATGTTCCAAAATCTTAGAAAAAGTTCGACGGCGACAGCAAAAACACTATGAGCTCAAAGTTTCGATGTAAAATTCTTACTATCCGTCTCTCTTTTGACGCCTTTTCGAATACTAGCACTGCTGTCCTAGGTAGAGATCTCGGAGAGATTCAACAAGCAATAAGATCCTAGAACCGAACGTCAGCCATGTTGTAAAGCATGAAGTGCATTTTTTGTTAAAAAAAAAATGTAAACCGTGTTTACTTACAAAGTTCCTCAAGGTAAAGAAACTCGCCAAGCATCGAGGAAAAGCCACTCCGTAAGCTAAATTTTAGCTCTTGAGCTACTGCAGCCTTTCTTGACTGAATACAATAAATTTGAACTTCCGCAGCCATAACAAGTTTCTTGGACCCTGAATGTGGACTAATCAAAGAAAGCGAAATTCAAGACCAAAATCAACTAAAGGGCGAAAAAAAGGAGCATTTTTGGATATCGGTCAAGATCCTATTTTTTGCGACCTTTAGGAGCAGTCTCTGAGAGTAAAATGCGTATCAAAAAACCATCATACAGAGAGCATAGGCAAATTCCCAATTTCCTACCTTAGGGTCCGCAAATCAGCAAAGAGAAATCCAGAAACACCACGCAACAAGTCTGTAACCTAAAAGAAGAGTTGTTGAAATGACCTTACCTTTATTAAATAAATTGAAAAGCTGCACATATCGATTATACCTATTTCATTTTTAATATGGGCTTTGAACGGCATTCAAAGAATGTAGTGATCATGAGTCGCACCTTGTAACCTCAAAACCAATATACCTCGATGTAACGGTTTGTTCTGATGGGCGCGCCTATATATTATGTCCTCTTAATGAGAAGAGGCACATTCAAAATGACCCACAAAATATTCATATTACTAGATTTAACACAAAAAAGCCACACCTTGAGTCAAAGGCTCATCAGTACAAACATTTGTTGTTCTATTACCTCAGCAATTACATCGTCTCTCATGGTAAGGTAGCTCTCGGTTGTGGAGTTGGCGTAATCCAGTTTAAAACGCGTTTTCCATATGGTCATCACCGCCACGAAATGGAATTCTGACGAAAGAAGAAAATGTAGCCCCATTGTTCAACCCAAACAAGAAGAGAGAGATTTCTTACAAATCCTCTTTCTATAATTTATTTTTCCTATTCAAAGTATCTCTGTAAAAATAAATTTAAAGATTTTTCTTTTTTTTTAACTGTGATGGGCTAAGAACAGACGAATCACGTGAGATTACAAATACAGCATACCTGGCTCACATCCATACAGCTCCATACGAAGACCGACATTATCCTTCCATTGGAATGGGTTGACTGTGATGCTTTTTGTTACCGCAGGAGTAGCAAGATTATGGTATTGGATTGAACTTGAGTCGACATTTCCATTACACATCTGCCGGAGCAAAAAGTTCTCGTTATAGATAGGAAGACTGTCAAAGCAGGTGGCAGCAAAACCATGTAGCGATAACTATTTATCGTTAAGTGATGGGTAACTTTCACAATTTTATCGCACTTTTTGTATAGCCTTTCAGGTTTGAAATTTTTTCATATTATCATTGTATATGCCGCACTACGTCACCCGTAAATACAGCTTGAGGCCAAGTTGTCAATTTTTTTATGGTTCATTGCATAGGAAATTTCATCCATGCGCTTTAAGTCGTTCAAGGTACATCATAACAACCACTTATAGTCTCACCGCCGTTGGTTCGCCATCGGTATTTGTACAAGACGCTGTTTCCTCAACCCCTTCCTTCTCGAAAAAGATTAGGTAGCTAGAGACCCATTCGCTAAAAGATGCATTTCCGTAGCCCTGAGTGGCAATGCCTGTTATCACCATGTCTTGGTCCAGCTTGATCTTTATCCAAGTAAAATCATCGAGTGCGTCGATATTGGCCCTGTATCCTGCAGGCCAGGTTGTGAGGTTTAGTCTCGCTCGGTGTGCTCCAAAGGTCTCAAAGGCGTTGTCGTAGGCACTCGAAGCAGACATTTGATCATCTCGAATTCGACCATCTGATATCCCCAGAGGTTTATTACAAGGCTCTATGTGGAGAGTTAAAGACTTAGATGTAGACATTGTGCTGAACTCGTTTATCTTTAACCACAAAAGTAAGTTTTGGCGGAACATTATTTACAATCTGGTCACTCTTGTTATTGGCAATCTTTTAAGATCTTACGCACAAGTGAAAATTGGCGGCCCGACGCCATCTTAAAGCATGGAAGATAACAATTTTAGGATCTGTTCCCCAAGACTATTTAAATTTAACGCTGAGGACAGCAATTAATGAATAATAACTATGCAAATTTGCATGTCTCTGTATACTTCGTAGCTTTTGTAAATTTTTCTTTATCTCATTACCCTAATGAAAGCTAAAGTTCTCAGCCGCAACGTTGAGATTTTAAAATATTTTTCGAAAAGTTTGAGAACTTTTTATCAGTGTTACGATTTTATATAGTTATCAACCAACCTGCATAGTTACCACTTTATTTGTAAAATCATTTAACTTCGTTTTACTTTTCTAATCATCGTACCAAGTTTTTTGGCTCATATAAATATGCATTGTTAAAGAGCACTCTTGTGCAATGGAACCTCAAAGTCTTACAAACAATCTGTTCCATATTTCTATGGAAGCATCAACTAGAAAGCTTGACTAGGAGTCTATTAGATCTCCCTTAAAGTAATTACACTAAATTTCTTAGTGTATGTATTAATATACTAGTACCTTCATGGCATCTACAAAAAACACACATTGGTATTTTTAAAGTCTAACCTAGAGATCACCTGTTGGGACTAGTACTTTTCCATTTCCATGTGCGAGGCTTGGGAAATGAATTGAAATTATTTCTACGCGAAAATAACACTAGACATTTCTGTTTTGGCATGTATGTTGATACTCCTTGGAATTAAATTCATTGTTGGAACATGCAGTGCCATCTTGATGCTTTGCTCTGCTCTAAGCGTGATGAGAAGTCTTTACTTGCTCATATCCTATGAACTCGGTATAGTCTAACTACTCAAACCAAAGGCTTGTTCTCTTTCTTCATAAATGATCAAAATACCGCTCCATATTAAATATTTCTTTCTAATTCCTGCTGAGTTACTGTAATCGGAAAGAGAAATGTTTGCCTTCATCTACTTTCTGTCACGTTTTCGTTAGGAGTATTGACAGTTTACCACCGACGTTATTTTCGTAATTCATTTGGGAAAAAAAACTCAGTTTCGACTGAAAAACTTTTGTACAAGCAAAATAAAAAATATATATGGTTAAATTTCCTTGAGAAACGAAGTCAAGGGAAAGATATCATACAGTTATGTTGTTATTAAAATATGTTGCTTTTAGAGGTACAATTAACACCCCCTTAAACCCTTTTAGAGTTGTTTTCCGCTTTGTTGACAAATATAGCGGGTAATTTCGCCTGAAGCATTATTTTATTCATAATTGTGTTCACTTACATATTCATCAAAAACCTTTTTGAACGAACTTCAACAGAGATACTTAAATTTGTAAAACGGTGTCGTGACGCTGCCGGAACTTATAATAAACACACACGCTTATCTTTATGAGTACGAAAAAAGTGATGGGAGTAGGGTAAAGCTGTACTTCTGGAAAGCTATATCTTAAAACAGGAAGATAAACGTTTGCGAATGCTATTAAACAGTTTTAAAGCAAAAATGCGAATATTTGACTAGTGTTCAGTTAAATGCAGGTTCACAAATCTGTCTTTTTACATAGAATTTAAAAAAAAAAACAAAAAGGACCAACTCCCTTTAATTCCTTGGAAGGACGTTTTAAAACTGAATATATAGGAGTCCAAGTTCAACTCTATCAGCGATAAGAAATTTGCGATGAAGAATTTGAATTTCAGGTTACTGTCCACTCAAATGGAACAAACAGTCATATTTCAATAGCTTTCTTGATGATAAAGCGGCTAGTAGACAAATAATTACGTGTTTTGTGAGGACTTGAATCTCGTTATTTTTTAAAAGAGCTCTTCTCTAAAATCTAATTTCAAGATCAACACGATGAAAAGCGTCAGGGAACCCCTGTTTCTTCATCTAGAAATTCAACAACGCTATGGAAGGATGAGTTAGGTACATGTACGATGAATTCGCCAGTATAACAGACGATAGTGCTTTTTTTACTACACACACACATGAATAGCAGGAAAAGTATCTATATATACACAGGACAAAGCAAACATTACCTGGACACCTCGAAATAACTGAACGGGCAGCTATAAATAGTAGGCCAAGAATCCGTCCCACAAGCATCCAAGCCGGCAATTTCTTCGACATGTGTTTTACCGTAAAACTTCTACTGTTTCAACTATTCCTCCAGATCCTAAGGATGGCAATCCTTTACAAATCAAAAGCAAATTTTAATAATGATTGTGATATTAGCCGTCTTGTAGGCGGTATAAACGTACCTGAAATCCAGTCGTAACGCAACGTAAAGATAAGATGGTCAAGTACCAGAGCTTTGTTTATGAGGGTCTAAGTACGAATGAGAATCAATTATAATTAATAACATTTCTGCAAGAGAGCGTTACTTCTGATAAAAGAATGATGTCGTCAATAAATTAACACAAAGTCAACAATACAAAACTGGTGCTAAGAAAATAACCGCCAAAGCATTCGTGATTTCGGACATAAAAACTGTCTAAAAGAATCTCGAAAGCTGATAAATACAATCCTTTCTAAATTATTGAACATTGATATTATGCATGTAAAAATAAAAAGAAGTAAATATTTTTAACCACTAAGTCACTAAGGTTACCACCGTTCGTTGCAAGAATTCTCAAAGAACTGGTTTTTGGCCGAAAATTTATTTTATTCTTGCAAGCAAGTCTTTTCTATGTCGCTTCAAACCTATATTTTAGTCTACGAGTGGATTCATGTATTTTGCATATACCTCTCACATCCGAGAGAAATTCCTGAGAAACTTATATTAAGCATGACATAAAAATATCTGGAAGGCAAGCAGCGGGCATATCATAACCACCATCTCTCCGCTGATAGTTAACCCTATCCATGGTTGGCATTTTCGCTTTAGAGAACGGACCACCCCTCCTAAAAGCATCATCCCAGAGGACTAGCGGATTCTGGTTGACATAAGAGGTTTCTGTATGTTTAAGACCTGACCAAGGGCCAATAAAATAAAATAAAAAAACTGCGGTTCATCCATAATTAGGTTTGGAAATTATATGAATAGTACTGAGTCAACTGTTCCGAATGTGTTTAACTTTTACTGGAATACTTAAAAATTTAAACAGCACCCATGGATAGTCTTGCTGATTAAAAGAAAGCGTTTCTTTTCTTTCAAATGTTCACGAAAAGCTTAGGGGTCGGTCTTTCTCTTAGAAAATGATTCATTCAGCCTCTGTCATTTCCATTCTTTATTGTGATTTAAATCAAAGCTTGTTCATTATTTTAAGAGTTCAATAAACAGTCAACGAACTAAGAATCATGAAATTTTTTGGTGCAGGGGCCGTGCTTGAGGTCAAACCAAATTAATGTACGTAGCAATCGTATTTAACATTATTATAGAGCACGGTAGTTCTGAGTAAAACTGAGCGTTCTGACGAGTTCTTACTTGATCCGTGTTTCGCCTAAGCTGTGAACTTTTGGTCACGAAAAACTGGTAATTTCAAAGTGAACATATTTTGTCCGAGTGCCATGTAATCTACTCCTCACTGACCTAGCTTCCTTGAGCCGTACTGGGGAAAACTGGCCCTTATTTGGTTTTTGTACTGCCACAACACGCTCCAGCCAATATTCCCCAGTACAGCCCTCACTCGGTAAGTAAGAATTTGATCATGGTATGATTTGAATAGAACCTAAAGGTTTACAGTCGAGTCGCTCGAGAGTCATCTCACCCGAAGTCACGTCGCCCGAAACCTGAGTCATATTGCCCGAAATTTTAGTTATGTCGCCCGAAAAAAAAGTCAAGTCGCCCGAAGAAATAAATGCTAAAAAGATCTGAATTTCAGACTATCAATAGGCAATAACGTTGAGAGATTTTTATCCCCCGAAGTGACGTATCTCTGGTTAAAATTAAGTTTCCTATTATTTATAAAGCAAACTGATGTGAAGCTAGTTGCAACTTCTCGCGGTAGTTTATTTCACCTTCAAAGTGATCCCTCTAAAACCAAACCTTCTGAGAAAAATAGGGAAAATTTTATGATTTGAGCAAAAAATAAAAATTGCATCGTTGGTGCTCGAGTGGGAGTCTAACTGTATCCTAATATATTTGAGTCGTGAATTAATTATAATCACATTTTACCTACAAACGCGAAATGCGAACGACGAATATATAAATTCTTCAGAGGTTCGTCAGTGTGGGAAAAGCAAAGTATATCTCTTTATCTTTAGAATGTTGTGTGTGTGTGAAAAATACAAAACTAACAAAAGTCCTTACCTTTCGTAGGGTTTCTTGGCTTGAAGATCGAGGTCAAATAAATCTTATTTCATCTTGTTTTCAGGATGACACTCGTCCAGCATGACTGATCCTGCGAACAAGAAGCTGAGCCCGAATTATTGACAAAAACGAAATCTAGATAGCTGTCTTGAAACTAAAACATAAATCCTTATGTGTATTTTGGAAATGAAGAAAGCGTCTGAAAATCGTAAACATGAGACTTGTCAAAAGGTTAAAGGCAAAATTCTGTCCTTTCGTAAAAAGTGAAAAGAAGAAAAAGAGAATTCAACAAATTTTAACCAATGAAGGGGCGAAAGATTCAAACTTTCTTACCGCGTAGTTTTTAAGTTTAAAATGTCCCGTAATGAGCGGCAACAGCAACATTTTTCTTACGGTAATTGACGATTTTAACCAGTCGCTAATTTAGGCCGCTTCGATTCATGTTTCATCACGGAAGCAAACATATTAAAGCCTAATTAGTAGTAGCTATTATCTCGCTTTAGCCCATGAATTATTGGAAAACACCATTCAAGTCAATATCCTTTCTTTCGAATGTGCTAATAAAATTAGAATTGAGTGGTCAGAGACAGACTGAATATCCTAAAAAGAAAGGTAATTGAGAAGCTTGAAAAATTAAGTTTTCTCCGGCTGTCCGTGCGCAATTAGCAAATTCAAAGACCATAAAATGCGTCATGGGCATTTCAACCAC